TGGTAGGCTTGTATACTCTTCGAAGTGCTGCACTCTTAACATGAACAGACTATGCGAAAAAAGCCTTTCTCCCAAGAGCTGACTCGTTCTCTTACTCCAGCATTTTCTAAAGTTACACAATATTCGATCCAAAAGAGTTCGCTGCCAGCCTTACTTCATATAATACAAGTTGCTGCAATAACATTTAATGCTTAGCCCTTGAAATGAAACTTTTTTTTTTTTCAACCTTGTCTCCGCTACAAAATTTTGCAGCAACAATTCCTCGTTTTCGTCGTGAAACTAGGTTTGTTGGAGTTTTCTGTTGTCACAGTCTGCCATAAAAATAGGTAAGCACCACTACGGCTAAATCCCAATTGAAAATATGTTCAACACGCTTTAAGTGGCACAAATTCTATCAGCACCTTTTTGACATGCTGTTTTGAAATGCACATCTGTACACACAAGCACCCAAACAAATATAGTGGCCTCGCAAGCGTAAAGTAAAATGCACCCAGCTCGCTTCTGTCAAAATGCTACCACTGCCGAGTTGAACCATCAACCTTCAGGATCAGGGTCACAATCCCACAGCCACTGAATTACCACAATGGATCCTTCATCAGGAGAGCCTCGTTGCCGCAACAATGACGCCGGCAGCGACGTCATACTCAAGCTCACACACTAGCTTGTTAACAGTGACGTCACTTATTTTAACCGTATATATCGCAGGTATATATAGTGTATTAGTAAAACAGGTCTACGCCATATTTTAAAATAATGAAAAATATGGCAGTTTGTAACTCCAGAGCGATTTGCTCGTGCAAAAACACTTGCTTTGTTGATCAATATATAAATAAAAAGCAGTTAAACCCTCCTTCACTGGGGTAGGTCTGGTGAATTTGGTATTAGGTGTCCTCACAAAAAGCAGTTGCGGGTGAATTGTGCATCAACAAGTGTTAATTAGAAAAGTACAAATTCGTACTATATTTTTGAGGACTGCATTCACAAGAACACCGCGTTGAAATGATTTATTGCCCCCTCCTTCCCGCTGGAAAGCCACGGCAGACTCATCATGCAGGCTGCTGTTGGACATATAATAAAAACAAGTATCTGTTGATGTTGTAAGGTGGAATGCTTTGCAAGCGATCGTGAGAAGAGCACTTTAAAGTTGAAGCATGTTCTAGGCTGCAATGCAAATGAATTTTATGGAGATCCGCAAGGTGGTGCAAGGGTCAAGAAAGGGAAAGTAGACAACCACCTGTCTGTGGCACGAAGCCACAAAGAAATCCGTGCAGACTTCACAGAAAGAAAAGCCTGTTAGTTGCCGAGAAATTCGTCCTAGTCCAGGGATCCAACCCGAACAAATGCCTTTCCCAGGTGAATGGAAGCTAGCGATTGGCAGCGTGAGGGTGAATTCATCAACAACTCGAATCACATGGGCACGAGTAATGCAGATGAGCTCTTCCTATGTTCTAGACTGTATTAGTGTGATTTCTCCGTCGAGCGCCTGGCTAAAAGTTTTCCTTTCTTTTATGTGTGATTTACTGGCATGCATTATTTACAGGCAAAGACTACGAGGCCAAAGTGAAATGATATTAGTGAAATCTTCATGTCATAAAACACTTTCGTGTTAAAAAAGAGACCGCGAGACAAAGAATGGAATGGAGCCAGTTCTGCCTATATTTTTGAAATTTCATGTGTGACCACTGCCACGCGCAAATCAGCTGTACGCGATTGCGTCGGTCGATTGCGCTATGCATCAGCAAAACAAAAGTAGTTAAAGAGGTACCGACACAAAAATTTTGCAAGATCGACTTATTTCGGCTGGAAACCTCGTTAGCTCATGTGCACAAGGGTTCATTATTTGGAGGCGGTTTCAGAGCAGTTTACATGAATATTACGTTGACAACTCTTTAATGCTCCCTTTTTACAGTTGAAAAATCGGGGTGCAAACACTGGCAAAAACCACGACCAACTCATGATGCATGCAGTGGCTGTAGGTCGTTTACAACAAAAACAAGCTGGCGTTGATCTCGTGAGACGGGGCGTTTAGAGTGAAATTGCGCGACACGCACTTAAAAAAAAACTGAAGTATGTTCTCAGCAATATTAGCCATTTCTACTCTTGACAAGGGTATTAGCAGTGTGGGAGCTCCATCGTGGGCACATCGGGCAGCGTCGTCGGCGAGGTGGTTACCACTGATGCCACAGTGGCCCGGCAACCATTGTGAAACAATGTCGTGTCCTTGATCAGAAGCGCAATGACAAGTGTCATTAATACGATACACCATCTGGTGGTAGTTTCCACGTCGTAGACTTCGCACGCCTTGAAGGGCTGCCTTGGAGTCGCAGAAAATGGCCCATCTACTAGGGTATTCTAGCGTAACAAACTCGAAGAGCGGCGAGCTCGGATTCCGTAGATGTCGTGACGTGTGATGTCTTGAATTTGACGGCGATTGATCGAGATGGTATGACAAAGGCACCTGTCGAACTTCCCGAGACCGAACTTCCCGAGACCGAACCGTCCGTGTAAACATGAATTCGGTTAGCATACGACAAATGCAAAAGGTCCAGTGAGATCTGCTTGAGGGCTGCAGATGACAGGCTTGCCTTTTTAGATATCCCCTGCACTTCAAGGTGCACAGTCGGTCTTTTCATGCACCACTCTGGAGATAGTGGTATGGTTGCGGGCGAAAATCTCCACGAGATGGAATTCTGGTTAGTCGCAACAACTTTGGAAAACGCTGCCTTTGGTCTTTCTAGTGGCAAGCTAGCAAGGTGGGGGTTAGGCACTCTGGATATGTGACAGATATGTGTCTGGAGTGTGTCGACAGTTATATATGTCGTGATCGGATGGTCTTTAGCAATACCAATTGTTGCTAACGTATTAGCGCACCGAGGTAGCCCCAAGCATGTGCGGAGGACTTGGCCTTGAATGCTTTGCAGGACCCTGATGTTAGTTTTTCCGGCGTTGGAAAGCACGGGCGTGCTATACCGCAAATATCCCAAGAAGAGCGCTCTGTACAGCTGAAGCATAGATGACACTGATGTGCCCCACGTTTTACCAGCGAGAAATCTCATCACGTGTGTGATAGAGCTGAGCCTCTTCTTCAAGTGCGAGATGTGAGCACTCCACGAGAGAACTCTGTCGATAATGACGCCCAGGAATCGGTGACGTCTCATATACGAAAGGTTCACGTTGTCGATAGAAACAGGATAACAGATCATGGGCTTGCGGGAAAAAGGGACTAAGGCGCACTTCTCAGTGGAAATTGTGAGGCCTTGAGCATGGAGGTACGTCGACGTTATTCTCGCTGCTTTCTGGAGCCGTGCGCGTACCTGGAGTCGTGTCACTGCCGAAGCCCAGATACATATATCATCAGCGCATGTAGAGATATTGACTGATCGAGGTAGACTTTGTACAAGGCCAATGATCGTGAGGTTAAACAGCGTAGGGCTGAGAACCCCGCCTTGTGGAACGCCACGAGCGGTGTAATGATCAACGGTGCGGCCTTCCGCAGTGAGAACGAAGAAGGATCTCCTCTGTAGGTAGCTCCGAATCCATCGAAACATTTCTCCACCGATTCCAATGTTCGCTAAGGCAAAACGAATGTAGTTAAAGAGGTAGCGAGACAAACATTCTGTATGTTTTTTCCAAAATGTAGTTCGCGACTGACTTATTTCCGCTGGAAACCTCGTTAGCTGAAGTGCACGAGGTTTCATTATTCGGAGGCAGTTTCAGAGCAGTTTACATGAATATTACGTTGACAACTCTTAAATGCCCCCTCTTTACAGTTGAAAAATCTAGGTGCGAATGCTGGCAAAAACCACGGCCAACTCGTGATGCATGCAGTGGCTGTAGGTCATTTACAATAAAAACTAGTAGGCATTGATCACGCGAGACGGGGCGTTTAGAGTGCAATTGCGCGACACGCACTTAAAAAAAAAACTGAAGCATGTTCTTAGCAATATTAGCCATTTATACTTTATAGATGATGGATGTGCGGCAAGGCAAACCTATCACAGAAGTTATCTAACCTTCAAAGTTTTGTACTCCGTTGAAATGCACTACAGCCGCCCAAATCTTAAGCGTACACAGCGGCGTCTTTTCTGTGCGTCAGCGCCATGTGACAAACCAAGTGAGAAAGAAGAAGTCATTTTGTGTAATTTGGATAAATTTGAAGATTTCAAGCATTTAAGGCATTGCTGGAATAAACAGTGGTGTGTATCTCGCCAGTTGGAGGCCACTTATACCAGACTGCACTGTACAGTTCCACAACTAAATTATTACCTTAACAAAGCTCGACTCAAGGCGTCACCGCTGTGCATTTTTTTTTGCAACGAAATTGAAACAATTGAACATTTCTTTTTATTCTGCCCTTCGTTACTCTTATCAGATAAAAAGATTTTTAGTAGCCCCATTACAAAAGCTAGTAATACAAGTAAATCTACCAGTACGTTTATCACTTGGCGGCACCTCATTTGGGTTACTGCCACAGGGATATATGCTCAACTGCGTTTGATTACATCAATGCAACTAAAAGATTACCGTGCTAGTGAATCCTAACCTTTTAAGATCTTTAGTTTATAATTCGTAGCGATGTCTGTCAGAAACAAGAGATGGTTTGGCCACTTGCTCAGCAAACACTTTTGTTTATTGGCAGTATAATCTCTAAACTAATTTTTTTCAGATTGGCTTTAATTTCATTTTAGTTTCATTTAAGTATCCTGCCACCAGGTTCTCGGCCCACCCCCCTCTGCGGGTGAGCGCCATCTATCTGAGGTCATCAGCATCAGTATTGCAACTGATTCAGACACACGGCGCAGACGCACGATTTAGACCGCACCAAGCGTACTACCGATCGTAAAAGAGAAATTTAACGTCGGCTCACTCGACAGAGAGGACGGAGGAACTAATTTCGACACCCGTGGAACGATCTTGATACCTCTTTACATGCAAAGCACCGCCATTCGTTGTATTATCGGCACTATTTCTAATTTATAAGAGTTGACGCGCTCGACTACCTTGCAGTCGGCTTTTCAAAGCTGCGGGCATCATCTCAAGCAGCGGGTCGTTCTCGTTCTTCACGATGTTGTCCGAGTCGACGTGGACTTCAGAGACGACAATCTCGTCCTCTTGCATGCTTCGAAAGAGGTTTCGCGATAAACTAGTGCACAGAGTCAGCCTTTTCTTTTCGCCGGAGACGCCACAAAGCCACCGCAAAGTTGCACAAGCGCGCCGCCATCAGCAAAACGAGCTAAGTAAAGCTGATTGTCGCGAGAAGTCTACCGCGTTGTGATTGCGATTCTCGTATTTAAATAAACACTTAATTCACACTAATGTTTTACCTGAAACTACTAAACTAAATTATAAGATTTTAAATAATTAATTAATATTATTACCAAGTCTTTTTAACCCAGACATTGCACTTAAGTTGCAATTTAGACGTACGAAACTGTTTATATTTCGCATTTTGTAGAGAGACCATAAACTACTACACGTGACTGATTGCGCGCATCCAGCGCGGCGCGCTTTGTTTTTTGCGTGCTCTGCCAATCTCTGGGAGCAACAAATCTTATTAGACCGAACGTAGCCACAAAAGTAAGCACCGTGGATGCTGTTCTAAACCAAACGCCTCTCCCGCTCAAAATATGTTCAAACTTCGCGACTAATCTAATCTCTTCAAATTTTGTTCGCATTTTATATAAACCAGTGTCGTCTCATCACGTGACCTCAATCGCACCAATGGCGCTTCAACACGAGTATGGCGACTCCCATAAATTGAGCATGCGCCGTGATGACGCGGTGGGTCGGGCTCTTCCCAAGTGCCACGTTCGTGTGGTGGCCTTCTTGTCTTGTCAACGTCGTGCTCGCGGTGGGTCGTTGAGGTGGTGCGGTGTGCGGTAAAGTCGGTTCGTCTTTACAAACTCGTCGGACTCCGTTGTTTCTACGAAGACAAAACATGATTTCTCTAAGGTTAATCGGTCTACTGTGCTGCTTAGCGGCGGTCAACTGCGCCGACTACGAGACGGAAGATGGTGTGCTCATCCTCAAGCAGAGCAACTTCGAGCAGGGCATCAAGGACCACAAGCACGTCTTCGTCAAGTTCTGTGAGTATGACCAAGCTGCCGTCTCGTTCTAACTCGCCTGCTGGAGCGTTTTAACTACAGCCGTATCGAGAGAGCCGTACAGTCTAGCCGTGTCAACTTGAGATATGTAATGTAAACGGTGTTGACCGCCCAACAAGTTGGGAGAGTTCGAGGAAGTTAGGATGGCTCCTACAAGGACAGCTTGCGCTAAGCTTTCGTCACGCGGTAGTGCGAGTTCGCACCTGTTGCGGGGTTTTAAATTTTAAAAGAAGGGTAGCAGAGAGCCTTTCAGTCTTGTTGCTTCTTTTTCTTGTCGCTGAAACGCACGGGTGGTCTTTCCGCAGGCCACTTAAGTGCGTTGACCGGTACAGGCCACGCGCCGTCGCCAAATCTGCCGATGCGGCGTACCGCTGGTTCGTTTTTCTTGTTTTTTTTTTTGCTCTCCCGTTTGTTTCTTTTCCTTTCGAAAACCTTTCTTCGTGGGTGCGTGGCAAGTCGCCATGGCCGCGAAAGCACTTTTGAAACTACTGGATCGGACGTGTGCCCAGAAAAAAAAAAGTGCCCTCGGCTTATCGCAGATTATTCGACTGCCACGCACTTTCTAACGATTGGTGGCTTATCGCTTTTTTTTTTTTTTCCCTCTTCATGCCGGATTCGGGCTTAAGCTGGTAGTACGAATTACTGCAAAAGCATTAGCCAGTTTATTTCCCGTGTCGTTCAGCATCAGTGTAATGACGTGTAGACCAGAAAAACAAGCCTTTCTTTTTTTTTCTTACCTCGTTCTCTCGGGGATTTAATTGAGTGTCCTTGTCGTGCACCGCTCGACAGCTGTCACGCTTGCTTGGGATGTTGATGGATGCGGCACTTGCTATTTTAAACGTCAATCGGAAAGTCACTTCCAACGTGGCCTTCGTCGGCACGCGCCGCTTGACTCTTTTTGCGCTCCATTCTTTCTACGGCATTGTTAATGGATTATTTGCAGTGTTTATCAGTATCGCTTGTCAGTTTGCCAACACACCCAATTTCAATTTTGTTCATGTGATGCTATAAGAAGGGTTGAGTACCACCTAACCTGTAGATATTTCCTCTGCAATCCGAATTTTATATGGATTTCGCGGAAAGGCTCGAGCCTTGGCAGTTGCAAAAAGTAGTCCTGGCGTGCCATACGAGACAAGTTGAAATCGCGCCATGTTGTCAAATTCTAAAAGGTGGCGCCACTTATCGGCCAATTGCAGTCTGTAGCGGCCCCTCTGAACCAATCGGAGTCGAGAACATGGAGTTCAACAATGCTCCTGGCAGTCGTAGTAGACCCGTAGTAGCACTCCTAGTTTGGAGATTTCTAAACCTATCCATGCCTGTCAAGGTCGGTTCCTTTACAGCATGAGCTGGCTAATTAGATGGTCGGTATATCGCTCGGTGAGGCCTAATTGATAACCCTGACGTGGCATACAACTTCCAAATTGATGTGCAAGCCCATACATGTGGCATTGCACAATTACTACAGCTGTAAAAAGGTTTTAAAGTTTCTTGAGATGGCACTACAAGCGTCTAGTTTGTTACACCCCAAGAACTAGTAGTGTCACCCTTGGCCTTCTCTTGCATAGATGATTGACTAGCAGGTTGAGATCTTGCACGAGAAGCTTCTTGCTACTCTTGTGTGGTAACTGACTGTAGGTTTCTCACTCTTCCAAATTGTGAACAGTGGGAAGAATCGGTATGAGGAATAATTTATTTGTGCGAGATGAGTACGTCTTCCGTGGCATTTCTTCAATGCCCTCATTGTTTGCACTGTCTAGAATTGCTCGCAAGCGCATGCAGTCTTCACTTTCCATTCTCTTGGTTAAAAGTCTTGGAAGTTGCCTTTATCCCCAGGGCTTCGTTGGAGGCCTGTACCCTGTGGTCGTGTCCTCTTCCATGGCCCTGGGACATTGTACTCTCCCGAGCCCAACAAGGAGGCATTAGTCGTAAACCGTGGCAGTGTTTCTGCGGGCTTAAGGAGGACATGACATGTACTGTGGTCGGGAACACATTGACAGCGCAGTTGCAGTGTAGTGATTGTAGTATGTACAGCTATGCGTACTGCCTACACAGCACACTTGAACCTAATGCACTTTTCTGAAGGGATAGCAGCATGGCACACGTCTTCTGCCCAGACCACTAATAGCTTCAAGGATTTAATGCATAGAGCAGCTTTGATAGCCTCTTGAGGGAATTGTGTGAGCAATATGTTACATCTCCCAAGCAACATGCGATAGTGGTAATGGTGAAGTCTATTACTGTTGAGGTTGCTTACTCTTGGCATGTGTAATTTTACTGGAGCGCTCGCACATGGTCATTCCGCTGTGGTATTAGAAAAATAGGTGATATAAGATTTGTTACAAACTGTCAATTTTAAGGGTCTGGAGAATGGTTCTGTGCCGTGGAGGCAGACTGAAGTGCATAGTTTAGTGTGTAGTCCTTCATTAGTTGGGCTTTATCTTGACCTCTTTCTAGGTGCCCTAAACCACTCGGACTTCAGAGACGGGGGTTTTTCTTATGATGCGATGTGGGCTGCCGGTATTGCGAATTGTGTTGAAAAGATTGCGTAACATCGGTACATAGTGACGGGCTACTTGTATTTGAGAAGTTGCTTAGGTGGTTCTGTAAAGGCTCAATGCTTGGTCACCCTCGCAGACTCCCCCTGGTGCGGCCACTGCAAGGCCATGGCGCCAGACTATGCGAAGGCAGCCAAGCAGCTTGAGGAGGAAGGCTCGGACATCAAGCTGGCCAAGGTTGACGCCACCGTCGAGAGCCAGCTCGCTGAGCAACACGACGTGCACGGCTACCCGACGCTCAAGTTCTTCCGTGACGGACAGCCACTCGAGTACAAGGGTGGCCGCACTGCGGAGGAGATGATCCGCTGGCTCAAGAAAAAGACTGGACCCTCGGCTCAGGCGCTCAGCTCCGTGGACGAGGCCAAGACTTTCGTGGACAGCGCCGAGGTCGTCGTCGTGGGCTTCTTCAAGGACCAGGAGAGTGCGGAGGCCAAGGAGTTCCTCAAGGCTGCGGATGCCGTCGACCGACACGCGTTTGCCATCACTTCGGATGATGCCATCTACAAGGAGCTTGGTGCCAACAAGGATGGAGTAATGCTCTTCAAGAAGGTCAGTGCTGCAGCACTTGTGGAGGTTGGGGCCACATTATAGTTCGTACCACTTTCCACTGCATATCCGATTGAGGCGACTGTCGCCAGTCGTTCAATGCAGTATAAGCTTGATTGTATTGCTTTTGAAGTCTAGATGCAGCAGGCGCTTGTTTGTTGTGTACCATCATCTCTGCAGCATGTTGCCCCGCTTACCGCTTTTCTACATTCTTTTTTTTTTTGGAGCGCCTTCTTTGCAGTATGCAGGCGTGCGAAATAAAAGAAACCTCATGGGCTCGTACGTTGCCATAGTTTTTGAGGCGTATTATGCTTTCTTACGCACAGCCAAATGTACGCCACCCTCATCTGTAAAGGGCTTACACTTCTGCATGCCTGTTCAAAATGTCATTGAAAAGCTAAAAATGATAAATGTTATAATACTCATTCTGTTTGTGTAGAGCGTTAGTTTTGCAGTGTGCTTTTAGCAGTTGTAGTTTATCTAAATGTCTGCACCTCCGAGTTAATGCGTGTAGTCCTAATGGAGGTGGGAATAGCATATGTCACTACTGAACTGAAATCTGCTATCGGCTGTAATAGCTGGCAATGTAAGTGGGATTTCATCTTCACTAGTAACAGGTTTGTTGCCAACTGTTTTGTGATCTTCAGCTTTATCATCATTGTTGGCCAGGTTTCAGTGCAAACAGTCTGTGAATGTATGTTTGCATCAAAATGGATGTTGATGTTCTCTACTGGTCCTTGCAGTTTGACGAGGGCAAGAACACTCTCGACAAGGAGGTCACCTCCGAGAACATTCAGACATTTGTCCAGCTCAACAGCCTACCCCTGGTTGTGGAGTTCACTCACGAAGTGAGTATTTGTATTGCAAGTCGCCAGCCTAGTCTAGCTAGTGTCAACCTCCTTGGCATTTACTGTTTGTGTTCGTACTGCCACAGCAAGTGTTCTTGTCAAGAGAGAGCGCTGCCATTAAAAACATTCTGGTGGAGTGTTCATCTGTGCACGCATTGCAGAGCAACTTGATTGCGTGGTAGTATTTTGTTATCGAAACTGAGGGCACTGCAGGAATTCGCCAGTCTTCCAAGCTCCAATCAGCACGCGTATGATTGCCTATCTGGAAATTCTAAAAATAAAGGCAGTCCCTCTGACATTAGGCTTGCTGTCCCTTCACAGATTTGCTCAGACTTGGCAAGCTGATCGCGTCTGCGCGTGACTTGTGGTTTCTGTTTCTGGGGTCTAGAATGCTTAATCCTTGTTCCATTCTTCAATGGGGTGTTCATAGCACGACTGCCACATATGTACAGAGTCGACCACATCGATAGTCCACTCTTCACTAGTATTCAAGGTGGTAAATCTGTAATGTTTCTACTGCCACTCGGAAGATGCGTCTGTTGGTACCATTATTAAATGAGATGCAGCAGACACAATACATTCGACTCTTGAGAATTTTCACTTTGATGGAACAAGTGCCTCGGTAATGATTGGTTTTGTTCTTCAATTTTGCACCCCTGTTAATCTTTCCTGGTTAATTTGGGTTCTGTATTCACGAGTCAACTGCCATAATTTTCTTAATTGTAGTGGAATCTTGATTTATTTGTCCAGTCCCCGTCAAAAACAAATGTATTATCGTATTAACCGATGACCTTTTTAAAATAAGGTATATTTTGTCAGCAACTTTTATTCATCAACATCGCAGCTGGTCAAAAGTTATGCTGTGCTTTAGGCATTTCAACGAGTAGCACCTAATCTGCTGCACATGAGAGGAGGAGAGAGAGAGAGAAAAGCTGTACTTTGCTTGGTCACATCTGCATTCAGGACAAGGCTACGAATTTCGTACTGGTGTGGCCATGCATGAGAGCAATCTTCTTTTAATCCTGAACACCAATGCTGCTGTGGCCTCAAAAGCTCTCCAATGTGTGTATCTGGTTTTGCTGAAACACTCTTCGAGCTAGTATACCGAAGAATAAAAATGAGATTTCTAGATATATTGCTCCAGACCCACTGTCGTGGTCACATTATCCAGTCTTGGATGGAAAGGTGTAAGCAAACGAAAATGCAGTGTTATTTCATTCTTGCACAAGGTCTCCTGGAAACAAACGGATCGTATTAGTTGAACTTCCACCTCGTGTATTAAACATCAGCTTCTATCGGGTCTTGCATACCGAGTTGTTAATCTTGTCTGCATTCGACCCTGCACACATAAAGATTTCTTGGACTACTGTATTGAGACTGCCATGGTAAGCCATCTGGTTCGTGTCATTTCAGAGCGCCCAGAACGTGTTCAGCGGCCAGATTCGTCAACACAACCTGCTTTTCCTCAGCAAGAAGAGCGCAGACTTCAAGGAAGTTCTGGAGAACTTCAGGGAGGCTGCTGCTGCCTTCAGGCACCAGGTGAGGCTTTAATCATGCTGTGCAGCGATGCCTAGTTTCAATGCATCATGCCCAGATCATCGAATCTGGCATATTGGAGCACGATCTTGAAGGGGTAATCTGGCCTTATGAACGTGTTCATGTCTGCCAGCAGAATTTTATTACTTTCCCAGCTTGCACATTTTTGTGTTGATTTCAAACATGTCCTAACACATGAGCTTTTTAGAATATCAAATAAATATTGTATTGTTTGTAGCGAGATTTTCATTATAAACTGCAACAACAGACACAAGACTATCATCTAGCATGAAAACTACAGCTAAACAAATGCATGTTCTAAACACATTAGAACAAAAGTAATGCAGTGTTTAACAAAGCGAGCCGTCAGCCTGCTGTTTTGTAGCTTATCAAAACAAAACTATTTAAATTGCCTCGCATTTCTACTCTACATGTTTCATCACAATCAGTCCTAGAGTAACTTTTTTTTTTATTAAATGCTGTGCCACTGGTTAATGTTGTCCAGCAATAGACTACCCTTGTTTGCAGACTCATTCTGTGGTCTCTTCATGTGCTTGCCATTCTACATTGCTCCAATGCTTGCGGACTTCTCTCTCCACTTGGCAGGTTCTGTTCGTGACCATCGACGTCGATGACGAGGACCACGAGCGCATCCTCGAGTTTTTCGGCCTCAAGAAGGACCAGGTGCCGGCCCTGCGTTTCATCAAGCTCGAGGGTGACATGACTCGCTTCAAGCCCGAGACGGACTCGCTCAAGGCCGAGGACATCAAGACCTTCGTCCAGGGTGTGCTGGACGGCACCATCAAGCAAAGCCTGCTGTCCCAGGACCTCCCCGACGACTGGGACAAGCACCCCGTCAAGGTGGTCGTGCAGAAGAACTTCGATGAGGTCGTCTTCGACAAGACCAAGGACGTCCTGGTGGAGTTCTATGCCCCGTGGTGCGGACACTGCAAGCAGCTGGCGCCCATCTACGACGAGCTGGCCGAGAAATACAAGGACCGCAAGGATGTGCTCATCGTCAAGATGGACGCCACAGCGAATGAGCTCGAGCACACCAAGGTCGACAGCTTCCCGACCATCAAGCTTTACAAGAAAGAAACAAATGCGGTGAGTCTGTGCACTTCTAGAAGTCTGTAAGGATCTGTAGTCCGTTATGTCTCGAGCAAAGATGTCTGTAGTTCCAACCCAAGTGCTGCCTCCACCCACGGCCATCGCCATCCCTTTCCCAGAAGATTCGCACAAATGCTCCATCTAGAAGTGCTTACTTATAGCTGTTGCATCAAGCACTTCTTTGATGTTTTGAGTAGTAGACGTTCCCGTGCATACATGTTGGTGTATTTGTTTTAGGTCTGAAACTCCACCGTCCTGTAAATTTCATCGAAGCATCTGACATTGCTGCTCAACCAAACGCAATGTTTTAGCTAATAACGAACATTTCTTAATGTGTGTGGCCTTTACGTTGCCATAGCAAGTGCTTGTGGTTCGAGCGGAAACCCCCAGGCGTGGCTGTCGTTCACAGGTGAAGCGCTGCCACTGGGCATTTTAGATACGAAGCATCTCTTGCTTGTACCCATCTGCTGCGAGGTCTGCAGTGTCCGCACTCTCGCTGCGCATGCGCAACTCTTCTCCTTGCCTGTCTCAAATAGTCGCTCCACTTCCACCACCTGCTTGCGGTTGCTTTCCCCTCTCTCTGGATATCCCTCCCAGCAGTGTATCCATTAGGGGTGGATCCCCCAATGGGGGTGTCCACCCCCATTGCGCATGAGTATCTCTTCCCTTCTCTCCTCTCATTTGCTCCCCCCCTCTTGCAATGCCGACGCAAGGAGTGTCTGTTGGCCTACGCAAGCTCCCTCCTTTCCTTTAGGCATTCCTCCCCACAGTGTTTACACGGCCATTGCGCATGCGTGTCCCCTCTTCCTCTCTCACCTTGTAACGCCGACACTGGGAACATCTGTTACAGTTCATTGATTGAAACAAACTGGTTCCGATGCACAATCGTTCACTGGCCGCCCCACATCTTGACCTCCAAGGTTCCCCTGGTGGGCGATTTCTCGTGTCAGTCTTTGAAACGATAACTTGCAGCGTGCGTGCCAGTGGACTGAGGTCTCTGTAACCAATCGAAGTCTTCAATCCCTCATTGCCCATTAGCAGTGATTGGCATTTTCCAGTAGGAAACGCCGGTCCATCACTGCGCGCATTGCACCTTGCCAGGTTTCTCTGCTGCGCAATGCCTCGAGTCCCAGCGTCAACGCCGCCGCGAGTGGACGCGTTAGCGCCCACTGCTTCGCATCTGCACGTGCTTCCCTTTTGCGGGAGACAGCATATTTTTTTTTTCTTGCGTTCTGTGTACAAGGCCAGTGTAATGTTTCTCGCATTTTAACTGACTGCAGCAACTTTAGCTAATGAATGTTGCACACGAAGTGAAGAAGCTACAAGGCGCCCATGGTGTGTGTATTTTTTCTTAGGAATATATTTGAAAGGTTTCGTTAACTGCCTCGTGCAAGCTATGGTGTCGAAGTTGCACATTTCGCATTTGGACAGCTTCTGGCAAGCAAATTAACGATAAACTGACCAGATGACGCTAGATTTGTTGATGCATTATTTTCATCTATTGGCAGTTTATTGTGATTTGGCAGTTGTGATTTTTTTTTGCAAGTGTGTGGCATAGACATTACACTTGTCCTTGTTACCGTGACTTATTAATGTGACTTATTATGTGCGAGCCATCAATCAGTCAGTCAAAGCTTTTTATTTCTTTCCTTTGAAAAGAGAAAGGTGGGACTAAACGCAGGATGAGATCGTTATTGGTCTGTGAATCCTAGCTTGCTTTTTTCATTTGATATGTCAAGGGCACAAAAATAATCTTAAAAGATAGGGTTTGTTTCTGGTTGGGGCATTGGGCTGCTAAGCTGATAGTCGTGGGTTCGCACCCTATCGAGGTGTACGAATTTCACGTTCTTGTGAGGTTTCATTGCCGTAAATGCTAAAAGGCTCGAGTTTGTCTTTTGCAAGCTTTGGGAAAGTGATGACATTTGAGATGGTAGAGACTTTATCTTAAAAGACCTTTTCCATTCTCGCCTTAATACTGCAAGTGAGGTCTCTCATTGGAAACGGACAATGGGCCGTCGGTCAAGATGTTGCATTGACTCCGTAAAGTGCACGGAGCCCTTTCTGACATAGGTCACGCTGTATGAACATGTCTAAAGATCGAACGCCACTGATGCTCGTCAATCTTCCCGCTGTCTAGAAGGTATTCAATGTAGTTCAAGGATGCATTCTGCAAAAGGGTACTCGCAGCGAAATTTCGAGCGAGAAAAATGAGTCTTTGGCAATAGAACTGTAAACGCGCGCTTCCGTATAGTGCTTGCAAATAGCTTCTCGGCAATGTTTGCATGTGAAATAGGAGCTGCTCTTTTTCTTTAAACTCGCACCCAACTAGAATTCATGTCCACTTCAAGCATGACGGGCTGTAATTAGTTGGGTGGACATGCAGCGCAGAGAAGTACACTTCTTGATAAAACAATATTTTAGAGTTTGACCATGGTTTTTTTCACTACAGTCTTAGTTTAGTGTTGGCATGATGGCTGGGCTTCGGAGAATAGCGTTGCTGTGCCGGAAACATTCATTGCCTCCAGCTTGTTTTAGTTCAGAGGGATAGTTTGTGTCCAAGCTGCGGGAGTGGCATCTCCTGGTGACGATGAATGCATTAACAGAAAAATGTGTACGGAAAGAACACTGAATGCTTGCCCATGTTTCTGCATGCAGTGGTCATTAGTACTTTCAGTCGCACTAAGTTATAGTTATGAGCTACACACCAAAGCGAACGTCGCCTTGTTCACACCGCAAATGACAAGTGATCTCTGCACACTCCAAGTTATCTGGTGTTATTGGTCGTCGACGCTACCTGAAGGCAAATGGAAGCCATATTACAGTCGCTTACTTCGAATAAAGTAGATTTGTCTACATGAATGTTTATTCCGCCTGAAGTGGGCATCCGAAACCACCGCCATGTTTTATGTACAGTTTCTGCAGAATAGCGTGTGTGTGGTAAACTCCACAGTTCGTCTAGCATACTGCGCATTCGCGTTTGGATTGTGTTATTTCGCTACACCCATTAAACTGCCTACTGACTTGATTGCGTTCTTTCTATTCTCCTGTGCAGGTTGTGCAGTACAATGGCGAGCGAACACTCGAGGGACTCTCCAAGTTCATCGACACCAACGGAGAATATGGCCAGGCACCTCCTGAGGAAGTACGTTACTTTTCCCATTTTAAAACTTGTTTTATTTACTTTGCAATACGGTTAATCCCATTGAGGGAGGGATTTTGACAAGAGTGGGTTGGAATAGTTCCAACATCTTGTCTCATTTTCGGTATACCTTGAACTACTGTATACCAGTATAAATAAATAACAAATAACAATGGACCTATATTAAGCTGGGGAACTTCTCTCTTCCAACAGAAGTTTCGTTTGCCGACAAGCAAACAATGGCACAGAATTCAAGTATGAAATCGGTCGTTGAAGTCGGGAATGGTAGTTTTCCATTTCGGCATTAATTCGGTTCAAAAAGTTCTAGTTTGCTTGTAGCTACGGGTGGGTCAATGTTCTGTTCAACTTCGGAATGAAGATTTATCGGGAACGGGGAAAGAAGGCCACAAGGCGCAAAAGAGGCGACCCAGAGTTCATTGGAGTTCTCATCGACTGCACACTTGTACCTCGCAACAAACAAAACCAAGTTTATTATTGTATTCATTGTTAGTTTCACTGTATTCATTGTTAGTTTGTTCATTCTATCGAGGTTTGAGTACTATGCCTCGTTTCTTTTGAATGTCTGTGAATATTTTGTGTTGGGACTGGTGTTTTTTTCTCTACAACATTATTCGAATTGCAGGTTGAAGAGGAAGAAGAGGAGGAGGAAGACAAGGACGACAAGAAGAGGGACGAGCTTTGAGCGAACAAGCTTGGCCAGCCACCACCACCCAACCTTTTCATCCTTCACATCGCGCCCACCCTTGTTTTCTATTTCCTCAATGCTGTTTCATCTTTGCTTAAATTTAAGAGGATGTGCTGCTTCAAAAAGATGCAAGCCTTTTTATTCTCAAATCTCAAATTGCAAATTCCTTGTTTTTTTAATATATTTGTCGGGTTCAATTTTGTGAAACTAAGGATTCTTGAAATTCGTAATGAACACACAAGCGATGGAATTTAAAGTAACCAGTTACCGGGGCTTCTACACTCTTCGGACATCCCGTGTTCTACATTTTTTACATCGTGTAACGTTTTTTTTTTCTTTTTCACTAGCACTTTACTAGCAAATTTACATTCACGGTTAGTGCAAATAGAGGTTGAAAATTTTGTGAATGTAGGGGCTGGAAGGCCTACACTCTTCTAATTTATGTTGCCGTAGTTTATCTAGAAATATTTTCAAGTAGCACCTCCTCTTAATCTTCCTCACATGTTCATTCATTTCAAGCCCCGCGTTGTGCAATTGTTGTACCGTTTGCTCCAGCCACCTCCAGAGTTTCTGGGTTTTTTTTATTATTATTCTACGTACCTTCAGCCTTGATACATTTTTTTCTTTTATCCCCACGTTCTCCTATCTGTTTGCGGTCGACCAAGTGTGCAGGCAGACAAGGACGGAAATCGTTGCTTTCGAGACTTGTCATCAATGAGACTTGCTGTTAATGTAAGGAAGGACGCCGTGGAAAACGTCCAATGTGTGCTTCCCGTCTCGTCGTGAAGCCGAGACAAGCCGCACCACGGTCTTCGGCTTTTGCCTCTCGGCCCTTGTTTGCTGGTCGAGCTAGCGTGCAGCGTTGTGGCTTTTGCAAGAAAAGAAAAAAACAGACAAAAAAAATCTTCGCTGTTCCCGTTTTGCTTTTCTAACTGCATCAAAGACCTTGTAGCGCTGTTGTAGAGTTCTTTTTTTTTTTTTTTTAAGGGGACCACTCTCGTGATATGGGCTCGCAGCTCTCGACTGTGGCACATGTGTGCAATTTACTGTTTTTCGAAGAGGTCTCACAAAATTTATCCTTACTGCTACGTATTTATTTGCACTGCACTTGTAAAGTTTCAGTTGCTCCATTCTCGATTTACCTCATATTTTTATTCTGTACTTGTCTTTTCATTGCAGTGTTGTGGAATGTGAAAGCGGGATTGTAGTAAGGTTTCTTTTGGAGGGTGTCACCTGCCTATTGCGGTGGCCTGTTTTCTTTTTCTTGCAAGAATGCATGTGTGTATGATGAGCGCATGAATCGTTTGTCTATAGCAAGACAAAAAAAAAGAAAAGGCATGGCTGTGGTTGCGCGCACAATCATCTGCTGGGCATTTACCACTGGTCTTCAGAACTCGCAGAGGAATGTGTTGCGTTGCTGCTAAAATATACAAAATAAAAAAATTTTCTCAACTCTCGTGTCTTGTTTTTCGGACTTCTTCACATGTACTTGTGGCCAGTTCGCAATAACAAACTTGGCTGTTGCTAAAAGAAGTGGGCATGAATTTTAATTACTTTCAGGTTGTTCTAAAAAAATAGGGGCACCACTAAGTTGAAACTGAAGAGCCAGTTTGCACTCCGACATGCGGTTCGGCCACTTGCTAGGCACGATTAGCTGAGTATCGCACTTGGCCATGCGCAGATGTAGCGTTTGGACTATGCTGGAAAATGCATAATTTTACTTTTTAAACGATCGCATCATGAAGACTATCAGTTAAGTGCAAAACTATGGTGAAACTGTGTGCAACTCCGCTCGATCGACTTTGAAAGTGGAGCAAAAAAAATGCGTTCTCTTGAGAGTGTCTTGTATCTTCAACCATGACCTCCGCGGTGCTGTGATGTTCTGTTGCCGGAACTAATTGCAGAGGCCTTGCTTAAGCAGTGCTGCTGTTGCAAACTATGCAGCATATCTAGCATGGGACTGCTGTGTCTGCTTGGCTTCTTAAGAAATCCAGCAGCTGCTGCCTTTTTTTTTTTTTTTTCACTGTAAAGTGCTATTTTTATTCACTTCTGAGAACACTCGCATCGTTCTCGTACTCGGCAGGGATCAAACTGTCCTAACATCATCGAAAGTCATATTTATGAAGCGCTGCAATCTCCCTTTATTGCAATATTACTGCGATATTACGCATTTTATTGTGTTCATAAATGAACGTTAATTTCAGTGCATTCCAAGCTAAGAAAGGTATTTTGATTGCCAGGGTTCAATCCTCAATCGAACCCGCAAGTTTTTATGAGATTAACTTTATTTGCATCATTCTCTGCACCTCTTCTTACTTGACCCTATCTTGCACTGACAAAGATAAACTAAATGCTCTAATCTGCACGGATATGCTCCTAAAACAGGAAATTCACAACACAGTACAGGAACTGATAGATGCACACAGACAATTGCGGTACCTTCATCTGGCTGGGTCCGAAACAGGGCGACATACAGTACTGGATTCATTTGGAATCCGTATACCTGCACATATGGCAATCAGTCTCGCTCCGTCACCACATGGGCACCGCACTTGTTGTCAAACTTCTTCCCAGGAACGTGCACACAGGATACCACAGATCCTGCCTCGTAGCACGAGCAGCAACTCTTCATAGGGAACATGGCACTTCAGCGCATATGCGCTGAGTAGATGCCGCATGTGGTTCAGACTGTTCGGTAGCTGTAGCTTATCCTATAGTTCACACACTTCTTCGCCCCCCCCCCCCCCTCTCTCTCTTGTACCTCAGAAGTAGATGAAGGTGCCATTGTGTTAGCGATTGCCGAAACGAACACCACTTGGCAATTTCAAAACAGGCAATTGTAGAATTTGGCCAGTGGTCGCAGTTCATCTCTCCGCGTGGCAAATATTGAGGGTGTGTATTGTACGACCTCGTGTGTGCTGGCTTTCATTGGCAATCCTGAAAATGAGGCCAGCGATAACATAGCCGCAGGACTTATTGTCCAGGCAAATGATGCCTCAGACGAGATTTCTCGAGAGTGTGGGCATACACGTTCTCTGAACTCTCCCAACAAGCATGCATTGCCCGTCATCTCTATCGCCTTCACTAGCCGGGCTTTCTCATTCGCAACAATATCTCTGGAGGCGACTGCAGACGAGAACTCTTCCCACATCCTCACCTCCTCTTCCGCCCCGATTCCTCCAGAGTTCACTCTATGTGGGGAGTTGCCCGGCACCCGCGACTCCATTCTCTTGGGCTGCCCTGCCGATCTTTTTTTGCAGTGCCAGCTCGCAATCAGCACATGAGAGGCCCTGCTTGCATCGTAGGATCTGGACTCACAGCTTCGCTGTGTGAACCGGGGTGCAAGTGTCCTGGCCCTGCATGGTCTGGACACAAGTTCACATTGCGATAGCCGTTGTGGTAGTCACAGTCGACTCTGGCGAGCATCGTGAAGCTTCACAGCATAGGTTTCTGGCCCCCTGCAGTGGTGAGGGCCAGTTACCTGGCAAAATAGCAATACACAACTTATGTGATGTTTCTGCTCGATCTCTGTCATGTGACAGGGACCAGAAGTGGTGCAAACGGGACCATTCAGGAACCTAAGCGACACAACATGTGCAAATTGCATTTCCTACAAATTAGTGATCAACAATTGTTTAAAAACATTTTATTGGCCTTGCTGCGATAGAGATTGCTTCGTGGTGCACATTGGTTTTCAGCCTTGCAAGAGTGCCAACCTCAACTGCTGTGAAACTTTTGGCCTCACAAGCAGCTCAGCTTTAGGTAATCTGGACAAAAAGTCAACGTCTGATCCTACGACAAACCCGAAACCAGTGCACGATTTCTGTGCTCTATAATTTTTTCATATCTATTGTGTGTTTCTCCTGAAGAGAAACATTAGGCTAGTATCGCAAATCTTTTGAACTTGAAGGCGTTACGAGAGGCAGCTCCTCATGATGCACTTTCTGCGGTAAATGTTGCACAATATTGTTCTGGCATGAACAAAAAGATCAGCCCTACACGTCACGTGCTGAAGGAACACTTGTAAGCTTAATGTCTAAGGCCAACCATAAAATATATGCATGTCGCAGAAAAAAATGTGCGTAGCCATCCTGGAGATTGTGCTGTTTGAAGCTAGCATCCTACAAAAAAAATAATAAAATGGCATGAAAAACAAAAATGCAGAGTCTAAACAAACTAAGCCAGTACATGTGTGCTAAGCTTCTATTGATCGCTTTCTTCTCTTTCTTGCTAAGACATCGTATGAGGCAGATACTAAAAAGTGCTGAATGTCTCCTTGCTTCATTACATTGCTGCAGATTACAGATTGGTACATAATTGCTGCATAAGTCTATCAACAAATTTGGGTACACTGAATCATCCCTATACCTCCAAACTATATTTAGTGTACAAATGGGCTCAATTGTCTATGCGCAGTCAGACCCCACTAAAATATTGTGAGTTTATTAGACTCTTCAAATGAATTGCACATCGCATAAAGTACTGATGAAAGTTCATAATACAGCAAAACATGTACTGCAATCACAGCCTCATGTCCAAAGTCGCAAAAAATGCATAATTGTACTATAGGATTGCATAGGTAAAATGTGGAATCCACAAGAACAAAAGAATGGCAATCCACACATAAAAGTTAACATAAATTAATTTCACCACTCAAACTGAAGCATAAACTACTGCAGGAATGAAAGCAGTATATAAAAATGCCTGGGAATCCCTGCCGTATGTACGCATTAAACACTGATGAAACACAAACTGCATTGATTCCCATATTGCATTGCCTCCAAACGGTAAAGAGGTTATCTTGATCAGAATGGGTGGCAGCTGCCAAAATAATTAGACCAATGTGTATATGACAAATACTAATGTTATAGGGCTTTTTTTTTTGTGAAATAAAATCTCTCTTCTAAATATGTCCGAAGTGGCCCCAGATTTCACAGTTGCACTCTTATTCTAATTAACGTGTCACAGCTTGAAATATTTGTTGCATTTAAACTACCTTTATCTCATATGCCATCACAACACGTAAGCAAATCGTATTGCATTGACCTCTGCAAATTTCAATTTGTACTAGCTATTTGATAGTAAAGTACGTGTGCAAGGTCATTTTATATGTTCATTTCACATTCTCTGAATGGCAATAGCGAAATCGCTTCGCAATGTAGACAGTTCTACTAGCTGGGCATCACTCCACATAGAGCTGGGCGTTACTTCCGCAATAAATCTACATCAATAGATAACTAATTAACAGACCACCAATTAACCTTCTACTAATCACATAGCATATGCATTTCAATTTACAAACTGCAGCCAATTAGTTCAAGATCTGAATATATTGTGCCATGTCAACCCACATTGATTCATTTCATTTTCTGGCCTACATACCAGGCAGCCATTTTCGGGTGGCTGCTACAGCCTTAGCTTTGTTTCATTCTAGGCTCTATTTGATTTTGTCCTGGCAGGGCAAAGGGCGCATGCTATTTGGTGCTAGGGTGCAGAGCTCACAAGCATACAGCCAAACCTTTTTGTAGCATAGTCTCATTTGACATAAAAATAGCTTAGTTATGCCAGAAAATCTATTACAAATGTATATCATTAATACTATAGTAAGGGCAAAGTTACCCGCCGCGAAATTCGCTATAACCAATAATTCATTATATCCAGGTTTGGTTGCGCTGATTATGCTTAGAGAAGCAATGTGCATGTTCTTGAATAAGTATGCGTGCTTCAAAAGTAGGCTTAGAAACAGTGCCGGGGCGAGACAAGCACAACGATTACAGGGGCGGGTACATTCCCGGCGGTGGCGGCGAGGGCGGCGTCACGGTGACCTCGAAGAGGAGGCAGTCGTTCCAAGCCAAGCCGGGGTTGGCTTCGAGGTCGCTGAAGGCCACAAACTCCTGCCACACGTAGGGCACCGTGTGTTCGCCCTGGGGACGCGGGAAGCTCGGATCATTGATGGTGTAGCCGACGTGCTGCGGCCCGTTCTGGTTCACCAGGGTCACCGTTACCTGTTGAGAGGAACAGTACGCGAATTGGAACAGTCTGTCACGTGCTCATCACCAGGTTTGGGCATCGGGAACAAACTATCCTTGCATGTCGATCGCTCGTTGAGGTCATTGTTACCGGCTGAGAGGAACAGCACCGAAATCTGAACGGTCTTTGCTGTGCTGGTCACCAGATTTGGACGTTGCTAATGAGCTCTCATTGCATGTAAATTGCTTGTTCACGATTGCATTTAGGAGAAGTACACAACAGCTATGCGGTGCGAGAAGAGCTGAAATTCCAAACGTAAGATTGCACGATCATCTATTCAAGTGATGAATGCTACAAGCAAGAATGAAAGTCATACAGATTATAGGAGCTTTATGTCCCAAAACAACAATATGATTACGAGGAACACGGTATTGGAGTGCTCCAGAGATTTCAACCACCTGGTGACGAAAGCAACTGCTTGCAATTAATTGAAACTATCAAAATTGAAATAAAGTAAAGTAACACTGCGCCCGTCTTGTCAACTTGCGTTCCATCACCCGTGCAGTTTTGTTTTAGTTTTAATAACGAACCAATTAGCCTCACAACGCACATTACTTGCAACCACTTTCAATGGCAAGGTAGGAAACCGCATCACCACTGGGGTTTGCCATGTGATGGTGCAAGAGTTGGACAGTTCAGTGTCTTGACAACTCTTCCAATAATGAATTAATCTGAAAAATCTACTTTGGTAAAGTTATTCCAGGATTGCAGCTTGCAAGCTCCAGTGGGCAGGAGAAACAAGTATAGTTTAACTTTGTTATAACAAACACAAAAACACATCAGGTTATAAGTAACATCGAAATAAATGCGGAATATGTTTAGTCGCGCTTCATTTCAATGGCATTTATTACTTTTGTACCGAAACCGTAAGGCAGGCTCGCAACTTGAAAGGTAGCAAAAAAAGCGAGACAAACATTAAAAGAACAATTTATGACCACATATTCTTAATGCACATGCAACATCATAATTTCGGTAATCCAGTGTAAAAAAATAAGCGCAGTTGACTGGTTGCGCCACCTATTGTGTATGAACAGAATGGGAAAACTTGGGAAGTTCATGTGTTTATTGCCGTTTCGAAGCCCAGATTAATTTGCTTTTGTATCCAGGAATTTTGTGTGAGCCAGATTGCCGATTTGTTAGAGCCAATATTTATCTCCAATGTTGCAACAAATATCAGACACAACGAACTAGTTTATGGTCCTCACACTATTTAGTCATAATGAGGTTCAACTGCACTTTGACTTTCTCTTGCAAACCATCAATGAGTGTCGAACACGTGAGAGCTTGCGCGTCTCGATAATACTCGCAGAATGAAACACTGCACTTGCCCTGTGTCGAAATGGCCAGGGCAGCTCGGAGTCATTGGGACCCCGAAGCAGAACCAGCTGGACGGCCATGAAGCGCCCTTTCCGGCTCTGGCCCATGCCGTTGAGGTGTAGCCGGAGCTGAAGCCGGTAGCCGGGCACGCCGGTGCAGAAGATCGGGCTAGACGTGTAGCGGTGAGTGCCGTGGCGCTGGTGGCGCTTGGTGCGCGAATACTCCTTCAGGAGCCACCGAAACTGGCCGTCCGGACGAGTTATGACTTCGTCCTGTCAGCAGGGAGAGATGAATTTTGATGTAAGCCTGGACGAATACTCGAGCGCTTCGAATGATTGAACAAATATTACAGTATTTGTATTCACTTCGACATGAATTTGAAATTTCAAAAATTTCAAAGCATTCGACACAAACAAATGCAGTATATGTATCTATTTTGTCGCACGTAAACCCTAGAGACCACCGCGAAACCACACCTCAAAGTTACACATTACCCGAACCTCAATTATTTTTTGCTTTTTTTAAAGTTAAGAAGTGTGTCATATGGGCTTATATGCATTAAGTATAGCAAATATCAAAACATAATGTATTACACCGCTTATAAGTAGCACTCTGCTGCTATTAAAATGCTGCAAACTATTCAGAGTTGCTTCCACATGGCCTTGAAACAAAAAAGTGGCATTCTTACTTAGGTCTTGTCAAAATGCTTTTTTTTTAACAGTATGAAATATATACTGTTCAAACTGTATTCAACTAAAATTATTCTGCCAAGTCACTATTCCCTTCAAGTTCACTTTGAACCTTAAATTTACTATTTGAGGTAAGGTATTATTTAAAATACGAGAGAAACATCTGAGATGACTCTTTTTACGGTTTCACCACAGATGAAAATAATGATTAAGAGACTGATTGATTGATAGATTCATTCACTAATTTGCTTATGCAAACTGCTAGCCTCAGTGTGAGACTGTGGCAGGACAAATAAATCATTAAAAAAGATAGACACTACTCCAAAACATTCAGAAAAGGAATTTACATAAGTACAATTTGACACCACACAGAATGATGTGAAGTGTATTGCCACAACTGCTAGGTTAGTAAATAATAAAACTCTTGATAACTTAGAAGAATGCTTTAGCAGCTTAACAGCTCTTTTTGCAAAAGGCTGCGGTCTTGGGTTGTGCAGTGAAATTAGAAATATTCACAATAAACAAGGAGTCTTTTTGAAATGAGCCAAATAGACCAAATGCAAAAAGAAGAAAAGTTGTTAACACTAAATAAAGGTAGTCCTATCCAAGCTGTTATGTCTTTCGCCTAAGCTAGAATAATCTCACAGTAATGTAACCTTTAAAAGTTACTTAAATACTTGGCTTTCACGGCATTCGTCTCATACTGAACTGAAACATCGTTTTGAATTAGCTTAGTTTCCAAAGTTTTATACTTACTGCTGCACGGTAAAGCTCGTAAATAAACGAAATCCTTCAGAATGGTGCCGCTTAGATTTTGGCGTAAAATTCGAAACAGTATTTGCGATCGCATACTCCGGTAATGTGTTGTCAGCTCTTTGAACTATACACAGATAGTAAGTGGGTCGTCTCGACAGCACAAAAAGCCTTCTTCACAGTGATCTGCATGCTCCTTTTGTCTCGACCAGGACAGAAGGAAGCGACGAAATAGGCAAGCTTTCCCCCGTCCTGACATGAAATATCGAAATCTCTCACGAGAAGGTTCGTGGCATCTTTCACTTTCAGTTCATTAAAAGTAACAGCGAACCACTACTCGAGGCGGGTGAAAGAAACATTTTCTACACGCGGCAAAGGCAACCACGAGCAGTGAAGCCAAATTTTGTAGGCATGGGTGGGACGTTGCGTTTGCAAGTAAAGCACGAATTTTCCACTTTGTCGTGTGCCCTCTCTTCATACAAAGGCCCATTCTCACTTCAGAGTTGCCAGTGGCTACCCTACTTCATCATTTAGCAGGCTGCTGCTATTGGCTGATAACTAACTTAGACCAAGAGCAACATTTGAATAGGATGCACTTTTTGTCACAGAGTACTATCATGTGCAGCTGATGCGCTAGATAATGTCCTAGCCCTTGAGCAGGCATCTTCCCTGTGTTTAGAGCCGATACAAAATTGGACAAAAAAAGCTTGTAGTGGGGCTCAGCTCTGACCTGAAGGCTTGTTCTGGCTGCAACTTTTTGAATGTCAAAACCCTTTGTTTCCCGTAATTTGGAAAAGCAAAACCTTGAAGTAGGCCTAGTCACTGCCGTGCTGTAAGCCATCCAGTTAGTGACATTCCAAACTTTCCGAGCTTTGGCACGGTGCCATGATATGCGAAAATCCGTTTACAGCAGTCTTGATTGTGACAAATGGGGATCCCCTGCCCACTTTCGAGCCATACCTTGCACGTAACAGCAAGACCCCGGCGATGTCCGTTTTCGTTTCTCCTCCTTCGCTTAGCTGCAGATGGTGTGCACTGCGTCAAAATGAACGCCTTTCGTTGCATAGAGCCGAAGTCATCAAATGTCTTAGCGAAGGTCTGCACTGGTGCTTCTGTCACAGAAGCTGTTTGCATTTCAGAAGCGGCACGTTCTCATTCACTCGATGTCTCAGCTTCAATCGATTTCCCCACCTTCCATCGATATCTTCGCATCTGTCCTGATCCATAAAAAAACGGGGCCGCAGAAATGAAGAAGTGTCAAACCGCCAGCGAAACGGGTAAACTATCAGGAGCAAACTTGCGAAAAGGCTGTCATGTTAACAGAATCACATGACCTCTCACTGCTCTTCTATTTTCTTTGTGGATTTGGCTCATTTCAATTACAAGAACTTTACAGGCTTCAATGTGTCGATCTGGCTGAGCTGCAATTCGAAACAGGATATGCGCGCATACGTCGCTTGCGTTATTTGACCCGATTTATTCCATTATATTTTTCTTGAAGAGAGCTGATATGTGGATGGCGCTGGAGCACAATATGACCTAATGTTCGCTCATGAATCTGGCTCATTTCGAAAAAGAAAATGCTTCACACATTTGTATTGAAAATTCACGCTTTGAAGTGCTTACATTTATTCCTAGTTATTAGTTATATCAGAGTCCTTTAATACCGTTCTGGTCACGAAACTTCTCCGTCACTCTATGGGAGAGCTTGATATGCTGCCAAGAGCAACCACTACGTGGCGCAAGCAGGGATAGGGGGGCCACCGCTCCGTTGCGCCCAGCCATTGCCCGGTGGAACGCATTGGCAGCGGCGGCAGCTCGAAGGCGTTGTGTAAAGGCAGCTCGTGGTATTCCTTCGAACAAAGTTTCTGCATCAGCGTCACGAGAACTTCAAGGGCCAGTTCTCCGCGTTCAAGGTCGACGGCATGAAAATCCGAAGGAGCAATGCCTAAGACGTGCTGTGTGATGGGCTGCAGCACCGGATACAGAAGAAACAAGGAAAAGGCGTTGCTCTTCTGTTTCCCCAGTAGCACCGAACTTCGGGAGAAATGTAGATTACATTTCTTCACGCGCGAAAAAAAAAAAAAACAAAGCCTCGCGGGCAACCGTGCGTGGTTCATGCCAAGCAAGTGGGGGGTGGAAGCCGTAGTGTTAAGCATAATGGTTGTGTATGTTCTCGGGCTGCAGCGTGCGCTGCTTCGTTTCCCGCCATCCCTTGATGCCCCAGGATCCAGGTGACGTAGGACAGAAAAAAGAAAACTTGACTGGTTGCCACCCCCCTCCCCTTACAAGGCACTGAGAGTGTAACATTACTGAATACAGTCATAATAGTTTTTAGTGCTTCTCTTCTCCAAGGTGTTGTTCTCTGTGTAGTTTGTGTAAACAAAACATGCTTTCAAACTTGTTCCTCATTAAATGCACCTAATTGGAAGCTTCCATTCATAGGTACACACGTAAATACTAAGCAGCGTATCATTAGTACCAAATTTTCGATTTATGGCTTGCTTTAAATCGTAACCCTCCCCCCCTCCCCCAAGCATAAAAAAGTATGGTATGGTACCTAGGTAGTGTGGCAAAGGTCGCCGAGCAGCTAGCACTGGCATCGAAAGGAACTTCCAGATTAGGCTGCTGTACTTCCCTTCCCGAAGAAATCGTGGGTTGTCGGCCGGTAATTAATGCTGCTCTAAGCAGTAAACATAAGGAAACGTCAAGAGACGGGTGTCTCGACTAAATTGCGTGTAAAAAAGGGATCAGTCAGATGTTAGGCACGTGAAACTCGTGCTATTTCAAGAGGCACCCTTAATACCGAAGCGAGCGGTCGCAAAAGCGCTGAGCTGCTATAACCAAGACATCGAAAGTACCCGCGTCAAGAAAGCGATCGGCACTCACAAACGTGTGCCCAGAACAACTGCGCATTTGGGTGCAGACTCAATTGAAAGGTCTAGAATGTAACATCTAGCTCGACCATTCCTTTCATTCGATTACTTGGATAGCAGCGCGCGAGAGACGAGCCGTATATAAATCAATGCGATTGCCCCTGTCTTACCTAGTCGTGTTTTATTCCGTTCACCTTCCTCCCCGTATTTGTGGCACTGCCAGAATAGAAAGCTTTACTACCGCATAAACAGAATCGCCCTTTGGCCAGGCGCGAGCACGTTGTCGAGCAGATCCAGCAGTAGCTGCTCGCATCGGGAGCAATGAGCATCGTCTTTAAACACTGGCGAGCAACAACGTACTGCTTCGAGGCATCGTAAGTGCGCATATAATTGGGCCATTAGTTAATTCTTGAGACAATGCGTTATCGCGCGATGTTAAAACATTTTAAACGCGCTGCTATTTATAAGGTTGGTCCGCCGCTCTCAGGCAAACTACGCGTGCGTTCTTAAGTAAACAGCTTTCATTCGTCGTCGACACTGAATCACGTTTATACTGATCTAGTGGCATTGCTGCGTTCAGTGACGTTTAATAAAAGGTAACAGGAAGAACAGCACGCACATAATAACGTGGAAACATCGGCAATAGTGCGCATTTAATCCCAGCACTGGCGGCGGCTTGTGGCCCCCTTACGACTGGTGGCGCCGCTAGCGGGAGATTTTCTCCCTATATCAACCTTTGGGCGGAGTTTCGTGACCAGAAAGCATTGAAGGACTCTGGTTATATTCTAGTTATAAGCAGACAATATGTATGATAAAGCTATGATACGATTATTACGGCAGCTTGAAGCACTTACATTGCTTCCCGACATCCCTGGCTGTGCCATGGAAGCCATGGATGCTTCTGTAGGAGCCATCGACATCTGAAATGATCATTTTAACAGAAATTTGTTATAAGCTCCGAAACACGTAGTTCGCTGACTCAGTAACACGGCCAGCTCCCATTCACTCAATGGTGCAGTAATTAGTCTCTCAAATAAGTGATCCTCATTAGCTTGGTCAGCTCATTGCCATTTCAATTCACATTTGAACGTGTTTTAATTCAAATCAGGCCCCCAATTAATGCAAGTGGGCTGGATCAACAAAGCGACGTTCAAGTGAGATGACCGAAATGACACCAATGTCTAACAAACAGCTAAACAAAAATATAACTGTGGAGCATTTAACACACGGAATAATAATGCTCCAACGGGATATTTTCTCTTAAATTCAGAAATTTAATAAAGCAGTTAATTATGAACTACATTTCCAACACTCGGTGAATGCTTAATGTCAAGCTTGTTTTGCACAGTCTACATATAGCTTAGTCTACGTAGTTAATAATATATATATGTATGACCTAAGAACACTCAGCTATAGTATGATCATTAATGATGTTTTTATGTTTGTATACAGTGCTATTTCAAAAAAATAATACTCGTAGCAATCACTGTATTTGATGGTTGTCTTTGAGCCCATGCACCCTTTCCTGGCCTCCACACTTCAAGAAGCTTAAGATTACATCCAGGACACTGTGTCACCCAAGTAAGTGCTCCATCTGCATTGTGCTCAAAATGCAGCCCTTTGAAACAGGCAGAAAAAAAAGTGGATTCCACCAGTCGTGCCTTCATTCGAATCTCCAACGAACATGCACAGGCACACACCTCATGCGAAATCAGAAAAACTGCTTCGCCATGACCCACATGATGCTTGGCAAAAAACTAAACTGCAAGAAAAGAAAATTTAAAGCAAATCTTATGTTTGTTTTGATGGCTTAAGAATAAATTAAAGATTAGATTAAAGATTACAATTTGTTGAACGATAGCCTTAACCCAGACGCTTTACAGGCACTGACTGACAAATCAAAACTACTATGCCCTTGGTTGTCTTCACTTAGTTACGTCACAGAAGCGCCAAAAATTGTTTGCCCTCAATCGATCGATATTGATTGAATGATGTGTGGGGTTTAACCTCCCAAAACCACCATATGATTATGAGAGACACCGTAGTGGAGGGCTCCAGAAATTTTGACCACCTGGGGTTGTTTAACGTGCACGTTTGCCGTCAATCATGCTCAGATAATTTACAGCACTGACTCATAAAGGCGAGGGACTGAACAAGAGCAAAAGAACTTTACGAGGTGCAAGTTTTCCACCAAGCACTATAGAGAATCTCATCTTTCAAGGCGTTTCGAGACCGCATAAGCTACGACTTTAGTATGTCTCATACCCGCTACGAAGGTAATATCAGCGTACCTTCAAACAGCGCGAGTTTATAAAGAGAATGCAATTTGCATATTTTCTTGCATTAAACAGCCTCTGACCTCAATCCAACCATAGAGATTAGCTCAAACTAGAATTACGAGACCTGTGTTAGTTCGCTGAAAAGAGCTAACAGAACAAATAGCTGGGCTGACGAACAACACAAAAAGAATTGTTCAAACAGCGCTCCACTGTCAATGAAACCGTGCAAACCACAGTGTGCCACACTAAAGGTGTGCAGAGGAAAACACCCACGCACCCCCACCCGGTTGAAGTAAACCGTTTTCCTAGGGTGCAGTGGTTAGAAGTCAGTTGAAGTGAGTCTCGCAGGCACATCACCACGACTGACACCCAACCAGATGGGCGCCCAACACCACCAGAATCGTTTCTCACCTCTGGTCGTGGTAACGCTCGTTTCTCGTTTGCTAGGTTGTGCGACAACTCCCTAATTTTGCTGCGCAACGGTGGCCACGTGTTTGGCAACAAGATGCAAAGGCAGCTAGAAACAAGCCTGCCCATCTGTGTCAGATGCGTTTATTTCAATTTTTGTAGCCACAACAATGAATTTGCACTCTTTACTTGCACAAGTCTACCATAAGTTCCGAACGACTCGAAACCACCTAGTTCATTGTCAACACCGATTTTTGCATTCAAACAAACGTGAAACAGAAAATCTTTTTCTGGTTAGAAAACTGCTGATATATTTGAAATCAAACTTGCTGGACTTCAGAGAAAAATCTGCGTTCCACAAAATGTGAGAAGTTTGATTGCAAAACTTTCATCAGGTTTTACTAAAGTTTTCCCCGTTGAAACACTGAAACATTTACAACTGACATAAAATCATTGTTACTATAGTACATTTAAAAGAGTTTCCAAAATGGCTTTCTTACGATTAGTGATATGCTTCGGAATACATTGCGTATAACCCTTCCAGCAGCAGTGTGTACGATTGTACACATAAACTTCGGAGGCGTGTCACGCACTTGTTTCTTCAAATAGCTCAAAACGCAGGCTTCTCGAGTGGACAACTAGCGGTCATTTGCAATAGCGAATCACTAGCAAACTAGCGTATTGCAATAGCGAATCACTTTGCTGGAGACGCTACCACGTTTGACGATCGTTTGATGTACCGTATTTCAGGACCAATGTCAAGACTTTTGCTTTCAGCTCAAAATAAACACAACCACAAGACAAACTTAATTCGCATGCATTCTGAGCCTAACATTTGATAATTTTTGTGCAAGCACTGATGCTGACTAATTAGTTACCTAATTACATTCTAATTATTGTTAATTACTGAAACTGTCACAAAATAATACCTTCCTTCAATTTATTTCTTGGAATCTAATGCTGCGTGCCTTAATAATGGAATCATGCGATGAGAATTTCATGCATTTGCAGAAGTCCTGAACAAAGTTGCAGAGCTTATACTAAAGGGGATAAGTTCTCAACTTTGCCTACATTAGATACCACAACAAGTAAAGCTTCTATAACTGTATTGTCGTGTTCAATCTTTAACATGAAACAGTTAAAGCTTTTATGCTTTGTTCTTTAGTTGTTTTTTGTTTACATGACAAATATAATCAAGATTCAAGCACATCAAGCTGGCAACGCTATTAAGTTTAATTGGTTCAGTGAAATAGGTACCGAAAATCTGGGCAATCATTTATTTAGTGTATAAATTCATTCGCTAATCAATGCGTGCTCACAAAACCTACAAAAAAGCACAAAGTTCTTGCCTGGTTAGAAAATCCAATGCTTTCAAAGTTTGTTGGGGCACTTGGTTTGTAAGTTGGTTGTGCCTGAAAAGCCTGTAAACAGAAAAGAAAAATGGTAGCGATGTATTGGTGTAAATGAAAAAAAAACTAGTGCACAGAACTTATAAGGGCACTAAATGATAAAGTGCTGTTGACACCATTAGCAATGTCAATCTTTGCTAACGAAGCTACAGCTTACACCTTTGCCTTTGTAATATGAAAGGAAGAAAGTAATAGACTAAGACAGGGAGGCTCGTTGTAATATAATATAGTTCATAACTATCATAACGATGGCACATTGTTGTCTATATCACTACTGTCATGCAACGATTGCTGTTTAGTTATATATACTGTCACGCATACGAAAAATGTCGCTCAGGCACAGGCGCTGAGAGAACATTCAATGGAGGTACATGACAACGTTGTTGTAGCGGGTTGGACTACTGAACTGCCCTGTTGGCTTGCAATACTGTGCCCACTGTGTAGCGTTAGATCGATAAGCTCTAACAGAATAAATACTACCTGTAACAACACGTATTTAAAAGTGGTGTCTGAAACATAACCATGCCATTACCTGCCAATGTTTCTGGCAGTGCTGTAATAATTACATCAATGTATTGGAAATGCTCTTTGTTGCATTCTGAGGAGAAATGCTGTCGAGGTAACATTGTGCATTAGATAGGCTTTCTACATAACTGATTCAGGCCAGATGCGCAGGTGAATGTTGCTGGTAACTGAGAACACAGAATGCGTTTGGGCTATTTTGCAACAACCGTTTTTATTTAATCATTGTATTGCCAGTTATAAGCTCGCATGACATACACCAGGCCTGACCACTACAGTCGACGTTCGATTTCTTGGACGCCTGAAATTCCGTACACGTCTGATTTTCCGAACTCATCTGTAGCACCGTCTATTTCCCCTTAGAGTCAACGTACTAAAATGTCCAAAATTTTGTACGTTTATAGCTTTCGCCATCCGATTTTCCGGACTTTTTACTGCTAACCACAGATTCGAAGTCGCTATTGACGCTGCCATTCTGGTTGTTTTTATACCCTCGAACCCACTGCACCGCGGATGTCGTACCCTCGAAACAACCATTGCCGCGATCCAGTTCAGGCCATTCTGTTGACAGCCGTACCTTAGTCAAACCTGTGGCCACAGATGCATGGCGGGTGACAGTTCGGAAAGCAACGCCGTTGACCTATAGTCTGCCATCACTATGCATGCAGACTCGGGGGAGGCGGTTACACAACAGACCCTTCAAAACTGTTTTCACCACGCAAGCTTCATACTGGACGCCGAGACGGTAGAGTTGTCCGGAGCAGATAGTGTGCGACAAACTTCGCCCGCGGACATTGCCAGACGTCAATCTCGACCGCCTGGCGGAGCTCGCCGATCAGGTTCATGAAGCGACCTCCCCATCTGTCAACGCTGTCTTACCACCAGCAGACACAGCGATTTCGTGCCTTGAGGCCCGCATCGACGAACTCGCCGCCTCCATTGCCGCACTCCGGAGCCCCCTGCAGGAGACTCGTTCCTCGTTCGCCTCGTTCCGGTCATCGAGCTCTTCCACGCACACGAGATGCTCGGAGTCCCAGCCCTCCACCCCTCTGCTGGTACCACCGGCGTTTCCGACACCGAGCCACTAAGTGTACACCCCCATGTTCGTGGCAGGGAAACGCCTGCCGGGATCACTGACGGCGGCATGTGATCTCCCTTCTCGTCCCAGCCGCCTTTTCATGGTCACGGACCAGCTATCGGGCGCCAGGTTCCTTATAGATACGGGCGCGGAAATTAGCGTTGTGCCCCCGACTAAGGCTGATCGTTCAAAGTCACAGGGGCAAGTGCTTCGTGCTGCCAACGCCTCGTCTATAGCAACGTATGGGCTCCGATCTCTCACCCTCGACTTCGGCCTTCGCTGCATTTTCCGGTGGGTTTTCGTCATCGCAGACGTGGTTCAACCGATCATCGGCTCGGACTTCCTCTCATACTTCGATTTGGACGTCAGCGTGCGGCGGCGCCACCTCATAGATGGTAAGACTCGTCTCTCCATCTCGGGAGTCCTGTCCGACATCGCTCCAATGGCCATCCGCATGCTGATACCTTCCTCACCGTTCGAAAAAATCTTGGCGAGTTTCCCGGAGTTAACTAAACCGTGCAACCTCACTCAGCCGCCTAAGCATACGGTGACACACCACATCGTCACCCGGGGTCCACCGGCAGCCGCTCGGCCACGCCGCCTGTTCGGAGACTGCCTAGCTATTGCTAAACTAAACCGTGCAACCTCACTCAGTCGCCTAAGCATACGGTGACACACCACATCGTCACCCGGGGTCCACCGGCAGCCGCTCGGCCACGCCGCCTGTTCGGAGACTGCCTAGCTATTGCTAAACGGGAGTTTGACCACATGCTGCAGCTCGGCATTATCCGCCCGTCGTCAAGCGCTTGGGCTTCCCCGTTGCATTTGGCGCCAAAGCGTGATCCTGGTGACTGGCGTCCTTGTGGGGACTATCGAGCGTTGAACGCCAAGACTGTCCACGACAGCTATCCTCTACCTCACATCCAGGATTTTACATCGCGCCTCGACGGCTGCACAATTTTCAGCAAAGTGGACCTTGTTAAGGCGTACCACCAGATTCCTGTCGAGCCCGCCGACATACCTAAGACTGCCATCACGACGCCGTTTGGGTTGTTTGAATACGTGCGGATGCCTTTTGGACTCCGCAATTCGGCTCAAACTTTCCAGCGGTTCATTTCTGAGGTCACACGGGGTCTTCCTACTGTGTTCGCGTACCTTGACGATGTCCTCATCGCCAGCCGCACACCTGAAGATCATGAGCACCATCTACGCGCTCTGTTCCAACGTCTTCAGCAGTACGGCCTCGTTGTGAATGCCTCTAAGTGTACTTTCGGCGCATCTGAGCTCGAGTTCTTGGGCCATCACATATCATCCAAAGGAATACGCCCTCTCCGGTCCCACGTTAAAGCAATTCAGGATTATCCTCAGCCTACAACACTGCGCCAATTACGCCAATTCCTGGGGCTTGTGAATTTTTCCAGGCGCTTCATACCACACTGTGCCGAACTGCTACGACTGCTCACCGACCTCCTTCGGTCGACCGCCGGCCCGTCCTCCGCCATTCCTTGGTCGTCAGAGGCCCAGACCGCCTTTGCTGCTGCTAAACAAGCGGTCGCTAACGCCGTGCTTCTCATTCATCCAGGCAGCAACGCCCCTACTCGGTTGATGGTGGACGCATCCAGCGTGGCCGTCGGAACCGTCTTACAGCAGTGCATTAACTCCGAGTGGAGACCCTTGTCGTTTTACTCTCGGAAGCTACTTCCTGCTGAGACCCGCTACAGCGTCTTTGGCCGGGAATTACTAGCCATCTACGCTGCAATACAGCACTTTCGGCATTTCCTGGAAGGATGCTCGTTTTACGTGCTGACTGACCATAAGCCACTGGCATATGTTTTCCTCACTAACTCATCCAAGTACGTGCCCCGTGAACTCCGCCATCTGGTTTATATATCGGAGTTCACGACTGACATCCGCCACGTGAAAGGAGCTGACAACACCGCCGCAGATGCCCTTTCTCGTATAGCAGCGGTTGACTCTCCACCGCCAACCATCGACTGGGCCTCATTCTCCTCGGCACAGCAGGATGACAGAGAGCTTGCCGCTTTTCGGGAGAACCCCCGTTCTCTCCGACTACGCCTGGTGCCTCATCCATTATCCTCTGAGCGCTTGTGGTGCGATGTCTCAGCTGACCTTCCCCGCCCTTTCGTTCCCGCTTCATTACGACGCACCATTTTCCACTCCTTACACGACATCTGTCACCCTGGCATTCGGGCTACTCAGCGTCTTCTCACCCAGCGCTATGTCTGGCCCGGAATCAACGGTGATGTGCGCGCTTGGACGCGCATGTGCCTGCCCTGCCAGATGACAAAGGTCTCCCGTCATACTAAGACGCCGCCCCAACCTTTCCTTTTACCCGGCCGTCGTTTCGACCATGTTCATCTAGACATTGTGGGCCCTCTACCAGTGTCTCAGGGGTACCGTTATATATTGACCATGGTCGATCGCTTCACACGCTGGCCAGAGGCTGTTCCAATTCAAGATATCACAGCCGAGACAGTTGCCCGCGTTTTCATTTCTACGTGGGTATCCCGTTTTGGCTGTCCTGGCACCGTGACAACAGACCGTGGACGTCAGTTTGAGTCCTCGCTGTTTACTTGCCTTAATCGCATCGTCGGAGCCAGACATTGCCGTACCACGGCTTATCATCCCTGCGCCAACGGCATGGTGGAACGCCTTCACTGACAACTGAAGACCGCCTTGACCACCCGCCTCAATAGAGCCGCCTGGGTTGATGCCTTGCCACTGGTGCTCTTAGGTTTACGAGCTGTCATCCGGACAGACCTGCAGTGCTCAACAGCAGAGCTGGTGTATGGCACTTCTCTACGGCTTCCGGGAGACTTCTTCACGTCAACGAAGCTACCAGACCAGCCACAGCAATTCCTACAACGCCTCCTCGACTGCGTTCCGGCCCACTCCACCCAGACCTTCCGAACACAAGACCATATTCGCCCACCCTGATCTGGCCACTGCAACACATGCTTTCGTGCGCCACGACGCGGTCAGACTACCTTTGACACCAGCCTACGACAGACCATTCCGCGTCCTTCACCGCACCCCCAAAACTGCCACTCTACTTCAGAACGGCCGTGAAGAGACAGTCAGCTTGGACCGACTCAAGCCGGCATACCTGGAGACCGCCCTAGAAAGCCTCTCATCTACGACTGATCTTCCGTTGGAATACCACAAATGGCATGTCACATTCCGACTTCCAGTCTACACGGGGGGCCCTGTAGCGCCCTCGTTCGGGCGGCGCGAAAACCGGAGAGCGCGCGATGGTGACAGAAGAAAATAAAGAAGGCGCTAGGCCGTGGCACGTGAAGCCACGGCTCACGTTCCGGGCTGGCATCGGTTATCGTTCAAGCGTGTCTCTCTTTCGCTCCTGTGGCATAAGCCCACAAAATCATTCGTCAAATTACGGGGGATTCCTATGACGCCGACACCGATATCGAAGAAGCAGCACCTACACAGGCAACGAGCTTGTAGTTGACGTGAGCACCGACGCTGTCATCTGTGCTGTCATCGGTTTACAGCGAAAGCTTTACGTTTGCTGAAATCGAGGCAGATATCATCGCGGGCAAGTGGAACGCTGTGCAAACGAAGATAAGCAACTTTTTTTTTTTTTTGCACCTAAGTGTTTACAAATGTGGTAGTGCCGGCCACATTGGATGTTTTTTTCTCTGTCACTTTTTTTTTACAATATTGACTCTTTTCAGGGCCACCTGAACGGTTCATTTGCTGAATTGCAAGGACAATACTGCCTTCCTGCCGTGACCCTCTCCATCAGCGAAAAATACCCATTAAAGAATGTGTTTTCGCTTGCATTCGTTTTTACGGACTGCCCGATTTTCAGGACATTCTTGTGGTCCCTTGAGAGCCCGGGAAATCGGACGTTGACTGTAGCGACTGTATGGGTCAGCAGATCACTCTTCTAAGAGACTAAGAAATCATTAGAAGCTACTTAAAATATAATACCAATCTAATGTGGCTCTTTGTTTTCCAGTTACCACGTACAATTCTACCATTAATCACAAGTCGAATGTCATTCATAAAAAGTCACATAAACACTAAAACACCTTTGTTGTATATATTGTTCCTCATTAACCATTTTGTATTATATGCTGATAATGTCATGAAATGTCTATTATGCCAACATATTCTGATAAACCTTGATATATTGGATATAATATCAACACAGTAATAATCATGTGAATATTGAAGTCACGTTTCGTAGTGTAGACAATAGCTTTGTTTCGTATAAAGCTCTCATACACCAGGATACACTTAGAATCGTTCGTGGTCAAACAGAGCAGACTGCAAGTAACTGTGGCCAGTAGTGATTATTTCACAAAAAATATTATATCGATGAATCAATAGGGAAAACAAATAAGTTATTCACCTGAGGCGGGGCGACGGCACCTTGTTGGTCGAGTTGTGCCAGCCTCTGCTCCAACTGCTGAATGCGATGCCTGAACTCATTCTGTGTGCTCTGCGACATGAAAAAAAATATAAATTACAAGCAGCTTCAACTGACTAAACATCACAAGCGCTGATTAAAAGGCGCAGCTGCAGGCATCAGCGCGTCTTTTCTCTGCTTCTGGCAACACTCGGCACGCCCATCTTTCTCCCTCACAAGCACAAGCTATGCTTGAGCACATGCTACCATTGGTCGACTCAAATCGATGGCACAGCCACTCACGATCCGGCTTCGCCTTTGCTCTTCCTCTCTCTATTAAGCTTCATCCTCTCCACATGGCTTCCCCCTTTCTCTACGAGGCTCAACTTGCTAAACTGAGCCTCTCTCTCACCCACTTATCTGTACTCTCCTTCTCATCGTGCTTCACTCTCGCAGCTGGACTAGACAGTATGAATCATGGATCCCCAGGGATTCGCCTCGGTTTTAAACAGATTCACTCTTAAGAAAGCACATGCCCCAAAACGTTTTACAGCGAATACTCTCTGTAAGTTCCTCGATCATGCAGCATGTCGTTCAAAATGTTGCTGTGCCTGAAAGACTACTGCTGCAACATGGTAATAGATGAATGAGAGAAAAACGGCTCGCTGAGGAGAGCTGCATTGACATACAGAAAAGCACGTCTAGAAATAAGGGAAAGATGTGAGCTACTACATGTCAAAAATAATCACTGGTACAGCTTTACCTGACACATGCACACCCAAAAGTGTAGATGGTTTCCTTGCCAAGAAAGTTGCGAAAGAGAGGCAAAAATCTGGTGAATTCATAATACAGAAAGTAAGAAAAGCAAACATATATAAAAATTTATGTACAGGGCAACTTCAACTTTAGATATATTTGGTCATGAATGCAATGCTCCATAGCACTCCCACTACATGACATTTTTACAGCATTTCCTTCATGAAGCAATTTCAGGCACTTGAATGGCTCTGTGGTAGAACAACTTGTTAACATGCAGGAGGTATAAGTTTGATTATCACTTGGACAGAATTATCGTTCACTTATTTATTTATTTATTTATTCACGTCTGTCTCGAAATTTCGCTAAGGTACAATGCCGGCTTTTTGCTTGCAACCGACGACACCAAAATCAATGCCAGTATATCTGCGAAACGGGCTCTTTAATGCTATCGCGTTAAAATGCGACGCGCGCACTTACCGCAGAGTGCGTGCAGTGGTGCTCGAAGCCAAGGTTCAGTCCTTTGAGAGAGGCATTCACCTCGTTCACTTGGTTGCGAAGCATGTCACGCTCGTTTTGGATGTCCTGCACACGCAAAAAAAAAAGCGAGACATAGACATGCCTTCGTTCTCATGATAATAAGACTATTTTCACGTCTTTGGCAGAATGAAGGCCTCTGCCAACAATACCCAAACACTTTGCATGAATTAATTACTTGTTATCCTTCATGTTATGTAATTAACCACCTAATTATATTGCCCTGAATAATGGCTGGTGTTACGCTACTTCGACATGAAGTTGAGTTGCATGCAAAGAGATGCACGGGGTTCTCGGCTGGGGCGAAAGGGAGGGAGGGCATAATTTTTCGTACATTCCTTGCAGAGTCTAACCTTTCTGTTGGTCGAGTTCAAAAGAGAATAGGCTGCGCAAACCCTTTCACTTTTGGGCCGCCATTACTGTCAGAAACGTGTGCCCTTTCAAAAATGTTAAGACAAATCTGACTGAGTAAATATATATGGAGCAAATTTCATGCCCCCCTTACACCCCGGTCACTTGAAAGTCTGGCACAGGAAGACTTCTTCCTAAAAAGACTCGCCCGCAAACACGCGACAGAGTGCAATTTCTTCATGAAGCGGTCTCTTATAAAAACGAAGTTCGTGTACCGTATATACACAATTGTATGTTTCGGTCGACCCATTTCGCTAGGTAAAATCTGAATTTGGAGGGCTGACATAGAATCGAATACTCCTTTCGGTTGTTAAGTCTTAAAAAAAAATGACCGCCGTGTACTGCTGTAAAGCTAGCTTTTCTGCGCAACTTTTGAACACTGCCGTGAAGCCATCTTGGCATACTAAAATTTGATTTTTTTAAGACATCGTAAATATTTTTTTTTTTCGTGATGAAATGTGCCCTCATTTTTTTCTGTGCCGTACGATTTTAGTGGAGTCAACCTATACTCGAGTTGACTCAGAATTGTGTAAATACGGTATACCTTTCACGACTGCAACTGAGTAGCCTCGAAACCAACGGGCACTAGCAATTACGAATTGGTGAAAAAAATTGGCAACTATTCATCGTTATTTCTCCTAGGCTTATCATAAAAATAAATTTCACGTCCCTTAGAAAACAACAAGTCTTTTACAGCTCACTTCCTGGTGCACTCTCGCAAGCAGGTAAAACGAGTCAGTGACATCAGATGTGGAAGCCTAGTGCGTCGCGTGCAAGTACTCAAGAGGCACAGCATCGTAACATGTATGGTCACGGCCGGTGGCCCTTGAGGAATGCGAAAAACAATGGCTGCAGTGGTCTAAGGGAGACACGCGAACTAATATCAAGATGCATAACTGTTTCTGTTTCGAAAGCTAGTGCTACGCCTTCGGAACAATACACCGAAAAGATATTGTCAGTGCTATGTGTCTGCAAGGCAATGTGTCTTCATTAAAAGTGTTTCAACTTTGTAAAAGACCGCTCGCGTAAAAAAGTTTTTGCGTGTTCACGTGACGGGAGTATTACATGATAAGGAGAGAGTCCCCCCCTCACATCTCCCTCGTGGCCGTCTCCCAGCACAGCCCATGCGAACGCTTACGGTTGCCGAGCTCGACGAACTGGGCCACGAATGCCAAATCACGACAAGCAGTGGGACAAAACTCACCTCCAGGTTGCGCCTGTACTCGGAAAGACGTGTCACAACCATCTGTCTGTGAAGCTGCCAGTCGTTCTCGTGTGCCTCAACTTCGGCAGCAGAGCCCTGGGTTGGCGAACGAAACACACTTGTACGTGAAAAGTGCATCGTTATTCGGTGTCACACCATTGTGCAATCGTAACTTAAACGAGGAATGTCGCTGGAGCCAACGTTTCAACAAAACAACAAGTCTTCGTCCATATAGTGAAGTTAAGAAACAGTAATTGAATAAACCAAAACACCACAAGCATCCCATCATTGAAACATTAGCTCCAACGATATCCCTTGTTTAACAACTTCTTTCACATCCCAGCACCCTCTTCCCTCGTTCAGGTTTCAGTAACACGGCTGTGCGGCAGTGAACGAAGATTTTGAACATATTTGCCATGCGAGAACTTTTGATTGCAGTGACAATTTTTTGCATAGTTTATGCCATGTGCATGCCACAGGTCTTTTCTGCTGCAAGGTTACGCATACTATAATACGAGTACTTCGCAGTTTCCCAAAAATTTGCTTTGCAATGGAAGAATTCACATTGGGCCGTGTTGGTGTTGGTTGAACAAACTGATGGTGATAGCGCAAAATGTGTTGGTCCACAGACGTAAACAGTGCGCTGGTGTACAAAAAGACGCTGAAAAGAGCCGTGCCTCTTATGGCAGCACAATAATCTCATGCATATATGCAGGGCAGTCTCTCGATGAGCTCATACAATCATAACCACATGGCACATCTTCTGACGATTTAAATATAAAGAGAGGAGCATTTGTAAAACAGATGCTGTTCTGCGTAGAAGGTTCGAGTGCCAATAGTGCAGTATACTACACTCGAACCTTGATACAACAAATTCAAATATAACGAATTATCGGTTATAACGAAGTAAGTGACCAATAGCTTTACCATACACACAGTGTTAAAAATAATCACTTATAACAAATATTCGTATATAGCGAAGCATTTTCTTGGCAGATGTGACTGTTATATTAAGGTTTGAGTATATGTAGATGGTACAACTTTAGAAGTCAGTGGCAATTCTAGGCCAAACACGGACGAACACAAGCCTGTACCATTGAGTGCAGGCTTTGGAGTGACGTCGTGTGTTCGTCGAGCACAACACCGTGTGCACATAAGTGGGACAATTTCTCTTGTCAAAGAAGCAACTGGCCGTGGCGCTTCAGTTATCTTAAAGGCCAGCTCTGGCGTTTTTTTTTACCATGTCAGGATAATAGGGATTTTATGTCTCTTAGACACTCCTCACGCGCGCCGATAACTCAAATGTTCAAACAATTCGAAAACTATTTTTAATTACTGAAAAACCGCAATACCGAAACCCAACCGAGTGCGCTTCTACGTGTGATGCGAAGATTTGCCTGACGCTGCCAGAACCTACGTGACTGTACGTAATGCCCACCAGATGACACTACCTGTCCACGCCGTCTGCGGCGATTGGCTACAATGCTTACGCTGTTATGGTGAATATATGGCGAATCATGTGTGGCTTACAACGCAACACCAATTGGCACCTATCGCACGCTCAACCAAGAAAGCGCCAGCCAAACCCACACAATCCATAGCAAACAATCAGATGTTGCAGTGGCACATCAGTTCGTCACTTCCACCAGGCTAAACTCAACCTCACACACACAATGTTGCCATTAATTCTGGCAAGCAAATTGAGCGTTTCGACACAAGCTATGAAATTCATTTGAAAAGAATCTGCAAAACTCTCAAGCCTGCCATTTGGCATGAATGGCACAAACGTGCAAATGAGCGTACATAGTGAATTTCATTGAGATCCACTGACTTCGAAAAATCGCCGGAGTTGGCCTTTAATGAGGGCTCCACTACTCTCTAATGTTGTACAACTGTTCACTTTGCACTAACCTGAAAGTCGCAGCCAAATTCGGCCATCCAGCACCTCGGAGTGCCGTGAGTTTCCGCGCTGCTAGCTGGGCTGTTAGCATCGTTGCCGGCTAAAGAATTGCCATTGCCACTGGTACCCGGAGGTGTCGACGTCATCACGCCTTGATTGCACTCCCTGAGGTGGTTCTAATGAAGAGAAAAAAAAATTTCAGCCAAATCCCTATCGTGAAAATTGTTAGACAGTGAAGCTGTAAACGTGGTAGTGTGTGTGATCGACTCGTAAAATCACAATTAGGAGAATCGTAAATTGACTATACAAAAAAACAATAAAAAGCATGTATGTGGCCTATGACAGCAAATAATAAAGTAACACCTTGAAATACAAATAATATATTCATAGCAATGTCCTAAATAAATTAATGATGATAATTTACCATCAGCAAATGCTCAATTTATCAAAGCCACTTGAAGTGCACCTTTACTTTCTTCTGCAGCGTAAATAAGCCACCCTTGAATTATGTTGAATTTCAACAGCAGAGTCGGAGCAGCCAATAGACTTCGCGAGGAAGCACTCAACTTTGCGGTAGAACGGCACCTCCAGGTTCGCAATTGAAGCATAACACGTGCAATGAAGCAAGGCAGAAGCAGAAGGTTTATCTTTCGAGTGACATGTTGTTCGGAGTACATTGCATACAGTTACTCCATTCGACTGTCGAATTCCCACTCAGATGCAGCGGTTTCAATGTCGCTGTCACTATTCAATGAATCGCACGAGCAGGAGCACCATTCTAATACAAAGCTCGAAGCTGTCACTAATAAGCAGCGGAGGCAATGCTGTGCAATTTGCCCACTTGTCCACGTCGTCTGCCATTACCACCAAGCGACTACTAACAGCACCTCCAAGCATGGAAATGGGTCAAGAGAAGTACGTCTCGCTGAGTTGCTGTCCCCTCTGCCAACTTAGGCAGAGCGACTCTCCTGCTTTAAGGAGTGACTCCTCCTCCTCTGAATTCATTCAGGCTCTTCCATCGGAACACTCGACTCCCACACTCATTGTGTCATCGGCCCCAAGTTTCTCCGAAATGAGCCGAAAAACTTGCTCCGACTCTGCCATTGGGATCCAATGTTACACAACGGATTGAGAAACCAGGGCTGTCTACTCACTTTAAGGTCGCAGATGCGAGGCGTTACGGTGCAGCCCTGGCCGCGGTTGGGACACCAAGCCTGGAATTGGGAGGCCTTGCTCTGAACGGAGGTGTCCTCGACAAGCTGCAGGCAGAAGCATGTGTATACTAAATGCTACAATTACCCAACTTTCAAACATTTATTCAACACTGATTTGAATCATACTTTTCTTTCTTTTTACAAAAAATCAAAAGAGTCAGAATTAAATTTAGGTGCTGGCATGCATCTGACAGAAGCCCTGACCCCTGCACAATCGCTACAATACAATAATTCCTCAATAAAATAAGCAATTTACTCACAATATCACTCTATTCGAAATTTATTATGGTTCCGACCCAAATCATGTTATTAAGCCACATTTTTTGAAGCACACAGCGAGCTTGGCACGCTTAAAAAGTGGCGAGTGGAGGTGTTGCCGATTGGCGGCAACCCTTTTGCACATGCAGAATAGGCCACAGAAGTACCAATCCCCTGACCGATGCCTGCCCAGTAACGGGTACCAAGCGAGTGCCAGCTCTTTATACTGTGGAGGGACAAGAGCTGTCGACTTCCATGATGCAGTGCGCCCAAACTGTTTAATCTCAATCATAATTCCATCGCTGGTGTCCCCCGTAAAAGAATGTTAACAAAAATAACATTTTCCTGGTGCTTTGCGGCAGTGGAAAACCTAGGTTTCTTGGATCCTGAAAAAAGGTCAATAAACCGTGGGCAGATTTGTGCCATAGCATTCCATGGGGCGCACTCTCTGATTGGCCACGTCATTGTGCTTTGCTTTAAATAGTTTTCCTTTACTGAATACATTGTGTTTTAACTTCTTCACAGTTGTAGCACGATTGAACTTTGACTGCCTTATCTTTTCTCAAATAGTCACTTATATTGAAATACTGCTTATAACGAATACTCACAAGCAACTCGCGACATATGATCAGCTGCTGTTCTTCAATGAGAAATACCAGTATGCTGGGGGTTCTGCTATTTAACAGGACCACGGTGCCCTTCCGACTTTATTTCTGAGAGCGGCCACCCCGAATCTCTCCGCTTTGTGTTTGAGGCTTGCCACAGGCTCGAGTGTTCCCTTCCATATTGCTCACGACAGTAAAAAATGTTTAAAGAGTGCATCTGTGACATTATCTGACATGCCAACTACACAATTAAGCTGCAAGAGTGCGCTCCATTGTGCTTGTGCTGTGGACACTAGTGAAACAATGACTCTGTTTAGATTGGCAAATTTTAATTTTAGGACCTCTATTGATGCTGGTTTTTCCAGCATAAGTTTGTGGATAGAGGAGAAAGTCGAAGGAAAGTTTTGTTTTCAAATTCTTCTTCAAATTCAAATCTTTGCCTGCTACGTCACAAATTTCAGATAGTATTTTCTGCATTCAGGCGACACTGACAAAAGGAAATTTCCTGAAACTTGGTATGTCAAGCAAATTCACCAGAAGACTATTTATTTAATTTTTACCAATTATAAACTACATAGGTTCCTGTAAATGACGTCAAAGTTAAAGACAACACGGCGATTGGTGAGGATATTTCAAAATGGCATCGCCACCTAGATTTTCTCTTCGCTCGCTTCGTCACCTAACAAGCATCTTCTCGTAATAAGAATGGTGATTTTGGTACTGTGAAAGAGAAATTTACCAACACTCGAAAAGTGGGGTTACTCTTTAGCGTCCCTCTCGCGTCTTCAGTTCTTCGGAACGAGTAGGACAAACTTTGCACGACTTTGCTTCCTGACCTGGCCACGAGAGATTTCAGCTTGGTCCACGGGACAGATGGACTTGCTCGCCTGTCCGAGGAGCGACTCGAGGCAGCGGGTGCAGAAGCGGTGCTCGCACGACGGCGACAGCCACAGGATGCCGACCAAGTCTTGGCACGACGAGCAGGTCAGGTCGTCCGGCACGGATTGCACAAAGTCGAGCTGCAGGCCCTCGCTGAGCTCCGTGAATCCACGAACTCTGACTTCGTGCGGCATTCGACCGGGTCGCAACTTCTGCAATGTCAGTAACAAGTGCACTCGATGAAACATGCAATGCTCAAATGTTTATTAAAGAAATAAATGTAAGCTTAATGGTTTGTTTCTTTGTTAGACATAGTAATATTGAGCACTAACAAACAATGATGCCAAGAATTACTTCTAATACCATCCCCTAGATCTTCCCTGGCATCATTGCCTGATAGCTTTCAATGAAATTTTGTTAGTTCTCAATATTATAAATATCTTAACAAAGTTATCTACTACAAACGTGAACACTGAGGCATGATCCGCACTGAGGATTGCCGACAGTTCTGGTGGGTCTGAATCAAGCGCATCAAAATAACACGCAGGGCAATGTCTTAGGAAAACGGTGCGCAAGACCAGGACAATACTGGCACACACACATGAAACACTGACTGGCAACTGGAGTTCATTGCGATGAAGAATGTAAATGCGTGCATATTCACGTATCAGCCCTCGTCAATAAAATCAAGAAGTAAAAACTAATGCCAGAAATAATCGACGCCGACACGATTGCTCTGTTAAAAGGTAGAAGTGTAAGCACTCTTTGAATTTTGTCATCCGACAAGAAAATTGCATAAGCATTTGCTGCTGAATCATGTTGGTCATTGTCGTCACATACTCAAAGCTTCTTGCATCTTTGTCTTGGTCTTAATGTTATTGACAAGGGCTGATATGTATTTATTTATGTTTTTGCCGCAGAATTTCATTTGCCAGACAGCGCTTCGTGTCTTGGGTGTGTGCTTCTATTGTCCTGGTCTTTGCCGCCGTTCTGCTAAGGAAACGTGTAGTTGTTAACCTGATCTTAATATTCATATACGTTATGTGCAGCTTGTGTTTTGATAATTAGCTGGATCTGCATCTAACTGTTACGAGCGAATTGTTGCTGAGCAGCTGTGTCTATAAGCACAATATATAAGCACAATTATGAAAAAAAAAATGCGTCTCAAAACATTGCATACAATTGGAAGTTATAAAAAGCAAAGTACTACCCTTACGTGATGCTAGTATTTTCTAGCACATGTCCCAACTTCCATGGTGTAGACAAACAAAAAAAAAACAGCTTGGACGCAACTATTTCAACTTGGTAAGTGCAGTATTTTCTGTACAATCACTGTACTACCTAAATGACCAATCTAGGAAGTAGTATGGCACGTATTAAATTAACGACCATATCCTCCTGAGTTCCAGCTATGGGGATTTGTCCAAAATATTGGACATGAAATACCCCATCACTACAAAGATCTCAGCATGTTTTCTTCCTCAAAAACCACTTGTCCAATATTTTGGACATCTACTGGCGCCCTCCATGAAGTTTTATCGAAATTGCGCCAGGAGATCACGAAACAAAGAAGAAAACATGGTGGCGTTCAACAGGGCAATCTTCTAGAAGTTAAACGGCGAAAGTTAAGGTCCACTTTTCTGTTGGTTTTTTATTATTTGTTACATTTTGAATAATAGCTTGCAGTTATTCCGGAATTTGTCACAATTTTCTTCAGTAGCCTTGCTTTGTGTTGCTTCAGGCCCACTACTTAACGCTTTAATTAAGTTTCAGCGTCCAATTAGTTGGACATCACGCCATACCAAAAGCACAGGCATCACGGAAATAATAAGCTTCACTTTTTATCTTCGTCATCTACACACCCAGTTGTGAAGGTTTCAGAAAATTCCGTGGACCAAAATCCAACCCGGAAGTCAGGAGGATATACACATATATTATTGGTGGTGAACTTTCATGCAAATTTGTAATATATCTCATATTTAAATGCACGCATATCACGTCGAAGTATTTGTCCTGCAATTAAGACAGCAGAAGAAATATTTATACAGAGCTAGTTGTCGCAATTCGTCTCAAAATTTACAGGTACGTATTGCACGCTCTAATTTTTGTCGAAATTTCTCCAATTTACATGCAAGAGAATCCGCACTGTCTCGCGGCATTTTCAAGAACAAACTTCCGTTACGCAGACTTTATCATAACACGAGAGGCTCAGGACAACACAATGCGAACATACTTACCGCGTCCAAGTCCGCGCGCTTTCTGACTCTCTGACAGCTCCAAAAAGTAGTTTTATGCACCCTCTAAGGGCTACGTGTACCAAACGTCGGCAAGTGGGTCAGTGATTCATTTGAGGAAAGGAAAAAAACTTCGGCTTCCGCAAAAAACTCTTTCCCCTAGCCCGGAAAAAGAAAGTACGGAACGATTACCGCATGAACGCGCATGTACTGCGGTTGATACTTACGTCACCAGCGGCGGGTTAAAACTTCTCAGATGCACGCCCGCAATGGCACGCCGCGCTAGCGTCCGTCAACAACTGTCAAACAAGGCGCCGCAAACAGAACTTCCTCGATGCGAGCGCTATCTCTATCGATTAGCCGAAACGTCGCGAAGAACACGGCCGGATATCGTGCCAGAGGGCGCGTCACCACACGTCACCACACCATTGTTTCAGAGAAGAATGGACACTTGTCACCACCGGCGTCGTTGAGGAAAAACAAGCTGGAAAATTGGAGTTTCCGCCGCCGCCGCCAACAACGTCATGCCAATGTACACACGACGTCTCAGGGCCACACGTCGTGTCCACGACCTCCGCCGCCGAAAAAAAAAACCCGCTCACCTCGAAGGGGCAAGTAGCGCAACGAAACCAAAACTAAAAAGTCATGACGTCATGCAAACAGCGTTGACGTCATACTTTAAAAATAGATTCGACGTGACGTATTATGACGTACTTTCACCGAGTGCTCATAAGCTTAAAAATAAACTTTGTGTGTTTACACAGTTGAAATTATGAAGACAGGTGGCTGACACAATACCTGCATGTTCTGGCACCAGCTAAATGCATGCCTAAACGTAAATACTAATTTTTTGGTGTTAATGCTAGTCTCAAAGGCCATACACTGAGGCAGTTGTACGGTAAATCAAGACAAAATTACGTCATACCCACCTTGTTAGGGAACAACCATTTTCAAGTTATAAAAAAATGCACGTGTCACTTTTGCTTTAGTGGAGTGCAATATTCGCAAAAATTTTAGTAGTACATTTGTATGAAGTATGAAAGATATTTTATAATAAAGTTAGGAACTAGGTGAGCAACAATGTCCTTGCGAAACTGCGGCCTGCGTTTTGCATCGCTGAAAGAATTGCGGCAGTCGCCATCTTTGCGTTAGAGGCTTGGTGCGGACGGGTCGGGTCAAGGAGTCAGCGTCTGCGTTATCTTTCTCGACGAAAAAAAAGCCATGGGACGCAAGAAGAAGAAGCCAGCAAAGCCGTGGTGTTGGTATCCTTCGAACGATTGTCAGTGTAAGATTCTCGCCTCCAATGTGTGCGCGCGTTTCTCTGTTCTTCCAGAGTAGGCGCCGACGCACCCAGTAACGCGAAATTTCGACGCACTCAGCACGCCCTGCACTTGTAACCGCGTTTTTCTCGCGAACCTCGAATCGTCCCCTTTTGAAACGGTTGTGGCAGCAGATGTTTCGCCGCCTGCTGCTAGCGACGTGCTCTGCGACTTCGTTTCCCAACTGTGCCGCTTTGCATGCGAAAGCAGCTTAGTACTTGATTGGGACTGTAGTATGTTACCGTAGCACTCATAATCTTGCGCACTTTGCGGGTCGCGCGATAGTTTTGCTTCACCGCTGTACCTGCTGAGCTAATAAAAGTGCTCGTCTTTTAAGCCTAGTTCGCACTGAAACATCCGCTTTCTACAGCGACCGAAATTCCCCTGCCGCCGAAACGCAGCGTCGTTCGCACTGGACGCGCCCCGCGCCGCCGAATATGCCATCTACTACGGGGCGAACGCGGGATGGATGCGCTGTCACCCGGTTGTTGTCGCGGCTTGCAAACGCTACTACGCTATCCGGTGGTGTATACTTCGACGATTCTCGTACGCAAGAAGCAAGAAAAGACAGTACTGCTTACTTTGCTGGCAAGTGGCTGTCTTGTAATGCACAAAGAGCAGAAAAACCCTCGACGCCAGCGGCGTTGGTGGGTTCGTTTTGCTCTGCAAGACCACAACAAGCTCGGTCACCTCTTTCACGAAATACGGAGGCGAAGTGGGCACAGAGTAGGTTAAACTCCCGTTGGTTTCAACATTCAGTTACGTGCACTGCGGCATAACAAGTGAGTAGGGCTTGGCCGCCATTTTTCAAAATTCCTTGACTAGCGCTCCTATTGGTCCGCGGTGACCGATTCGGCGGCAGACGCCGCAAAAATCGGTCCGAGAGTGATCGGCGCGGAGAGGGCCCTTTCGGCGGATCTCGCTGCCGCCGAACCGGATTCGGAGCACTTTCGGCGGCCGGAATGCCCAGTGTGAACGCGGCCTAAAACTAACACCTTCCGCCGATTCTAGCGAGAACTCTGGCATAGCGTTTGGCACGCAGAAACGAGAATGCTTCATGAACGATCAGCGGTGTGCCCGTCGTATTTTCCGCTACCTGCACGTTGTGGGAGTCGGGACACAGTGGTCGAACAGAGTCTATTCTCTTCAACGCAAATTCGACATCTTGGATCGCTCAACAATCGAGACTGCGGAGCACAAGTTTTCCGCAGCAGTCTGGAAAAAGATACACGAAGTGGAGAATGCGCAATGGGAGATCTCGATGCAGCAGAAGAGTACACTTCAGCTGTATCGTACATACAAAGAGGCCATTATGACAACAGTTGTGGAAGTGGGCTACTGTTCGAAGCGCGCGCGGGAGCGCTTCGCACGATCACATACCGTAGCCACTTCGACCCAAACATCCACTTGACCCCATGCAGAGCGTGCGAAGCGGAACAGGAGACAGTTGAGAACGTGGTGCTACAATGCCGAAAATTCTCACCCTGCCCACCAGAGGCCACTACACTACCTCAGGCGCTGGCCTTGACGGACAGGAATGCAAAAGCATCTTCCACCACAAAGACAAGGCTCCAACAGGGGTGCCAAAAGTGAACTCTTCTTTATGCTTTCGATCCTCTCTTGTTTGTTCTTTTCTTTTTATGTACCTAGGCTGGAACACAACATATATGTGTTCATCCGTTACAAAGGGCAAAGCCACAAATCGCCGTCATCAGAAGAAACGAGACCCTTAACTTGTTCAATGGCTGTGCCATCAACGGTTGATGAGGTTCGAGTCGAATGCCGATCGAGTACTGTGACGTTTCATGCACTTTTCGAATGGCTGAATAAATACTGCGAAACGTGAAGTAATGTTCAGAGGTACGAGGATGCGTTCTTCTCGTTCGTAATTTTGTAGCGTTCGAAGCCCGAATGATGGAATAACCAAAGGCCGAGGAAGAAATGAACGGATTCTTTGAAAGCATGGAACACTTTCCGAAAGTGCGAGTGATCGTTGTATTTGCCAATGAAGCATGGCTCTTGGGTCATGTCACCCACACCATTTAAATGAGCCGTCATATTTCATGCCTGTTCTGAGTCCTTGAAAGTGAAACTCATCCACCACCCCCAGTGTTTATTCTCACGCAGCTGGGATTTCGACATAATTTTTGAATAACTTGACTAATGCTCCAATGAAAGCATATGTGAACGCCGAAAGTTACTTTTTCATAAAATACTGAGGAAATCTTGCGCCCCATAGTTAATCTTTCTGCGTGTTGTAAACTTTCCCTGGAAAGCGGGGAGGGGGCATATACTGGATGCCTGTGGGAAAAGGGCACCTAGCTCCTCCCCCTTTTGTTGGACTCAAGTGAATGAGTCTAAATAGTCATGCTAACAGCTGCTAAACTGTGATGTCATGACACGTTTGGTTCCATGAAACGAAAGTGCAAGCCTGTTTGTGGAATTCCCATCCTAATTATACCAGTATCTTTTATGTTTACCTGACTAGAATTCTATAGGCCTGAAGTCTGGCACTAAACACATGACAAATCAAAGATACCGCTTGGATACATCTTCAAAAGGGGAATTAGCTGTTTTGCACCAAGCGTGAGGGTGTCACTTTGAATTCCTGGTCACGGCAGCCGCGCATCGACAGAAGGGAGACACGCGGGTTTAGACTTGGCCGCACGCTACAGAACACTAGCTGGTCAGAATGGACCTTTTTTCACTGTAGGTACAGTTCCACTTGCGGCGAGAGCCAAAAGCAAATACGGTGGCCCTCTGGTTGACGGGACCGCTTGGGTGCTCGTGTGTTCGTTTGCACCCATGGCCTCCGAGATTGTGGGCGGCCAGGTTTCAGAGGCCATGCACCGCCAAAAATGTTTTGGGGTAGCGCTGTCAGACTATTTTCGGTGCGTATATGGCGCCCGTGATGAAGCCCCCCTTCCCCCTCACTGTGGTACACCTAATAATGGTGCTGCAGATTCGGTGCTTAGTGCTTGAATTTTTATTTCTTGATTGGTGGGTGTGCCAGTTTGGTTCCCTAACCGAACGACCTCAGGTACTGCAACCGAGAGTTTGATGACGAGAAGATCCTCATCCAGCACCAGAAGGCGAAACACTTCAAATGCCACATCTGCCACAAGAAGCTGTACACGGGGCCCGGGCTGGCAATCCATTGCATGCAGGTGAGGACTAGTTTTTATTAGGGAAGCTTTTTATCCCAAGCTATCTTGAATGAAACCTCTTTAATGGGCGTCATGTCCACTTTGACATCTTGAGTCCAAATAATGTTTTATTCACATAGCTACACCTGGCACGAATTGCGGTGAATAGTTTGTTAATGCGTCTAGCTTCCACTTCTATGTTCAAGCACTCTGAACTCAGTCGAACTTGCCTAAATCGAATATTGAACAAATTTTGACCACCACAGGGCTTGAACATCAATGCATTTGAAATGTACTGCAACGTGGAACAAGAATGGTTTGTACTCTTGATGTATCAAACACTGGGCAGTGTTATGTGCTCCAAGAAGTGTGTTTCCTCATGGGAGAGGGCTTTCTCACGTGCATTCGAGACGCCGAGAGATGCAATAAGTAGGGTAACATTGTTAAAGCTTTTTCTCGCCTACAACCTGCCATTGTTAAAATCCCCACTGCTAACCAGAAAACCGCGTAAAATTGGGAAGTAAAAAAAAAATTTGTTCCTCTAAGCCACGCTCCTTACGTGGTCATAAAGTCGACTGGTGCATCTAAAGTTTATTCCAGATACAGAAATCTTCTTAAATTTTACATTAATTTATATAAAATATTGAAGTAATGCCCATTTCCTAGCAAGCTCAGTAATGTCTGCAGGTTCAGTAGTTGTGTGTTTTATAGCAATGAATTGCAGTTACAGCATAAGGAATTCTAAAATTACTGAACGTCGTGCTTCACTCCTTCGTAAAACGAATTCACAGCGGCCCTCTCGAATCTCGTGTGGTGGTTGTCTGCTGGTGTCATGTGTTACCAACAAGGGGAAAAAAAAAAAATCGAGATTCCTGTCAGAACCCCTATGTCCAGCTACTCGTTAAACATGGCACTGCTTTGACTGATGTGATTGTTTGTGTGTATGCGGCAACAATTTATCTTGACTCTTGAGCGAGGACTGCAGATGTGCAGCTTCCGCACATTAATATTACTCCACCACAAGTTGTACAGAAGCTTACGGCTGAGTTTAGTTTTGCTCACTTGCATTGTTAGTACATCAAGAAATACTTCTACATGGTTAATGTGAATGGGAGCCCCGCCGCGGTGGTCAAGTGGCGAAGGTACTCGGCTGCTGACCCGCAGGTTGCGGGATCGAATCCCGGCTGCATTTCTGATGGAGGCAGAATCGTTGTAGGCCCGAGTTCTCAGATTTGGGTGCACGTTAAAGAACCCCAGGTGGTCGAAATTTCCGGAGCCCTCCACTACGGCGTCTCTCATAATCATATGGTGGTCTTGGGACGTTAAACCCCAAAAATCAATCAAAATCAATAAATGTGAATGGGAGAGACATTTCGATTGTTCTGAGTAACTTCTAGTGTCATATTATGAATATATTTTTTTTAAGAACCTAAACAGCGCATTTGTAGCCGCACAGTGACCCACTCATGTTACAGACACTCTGTTTACTTTTCGTAAAACGGGGTGCTGCAATAGAAATGTAATGCACAAGGAAGCATTTTTGCAAAGGGAACAACTGTATTTTACCTATGAGTTCCCACTATTGTCATATGTCATTATAAAAAAAAAATGGTATTTATTTCAGCAAGACAAATCAGAAATTATCAGTAAACTTGAGTACAATATTTTGGCACTGTTACAGGCATGCGTTTCAGTGTTTTAGCTGGCTCAGTATGTCCCAGAAAAGTTAGCACTAAATATAGAAAAATACTTCTGCCAGAAGTGGCAGAAGGAAACTTGAGGTATCAAGAAAGTTTACCATTAGCTCAGTGGTTGCGCTGCACAGTGAGATTTCATGAGCATCAGTTCACTGTATTTATTTATTTATTTATTCATAATACCCCTAAAGGCCCTCGTGAGAGGGTATTACATAGGGGGAGTTACATGAGCAAAATTACAAACAATAAACGTCAAAAACAAAAAAAAGTAAAAAAATTCAAATTAAGTGTAGACTAAGGTTGAGATATATGTTATAACAAGTAATTGGTAAAGACAGCAAAAATAGAGAAAAAAATAGGCAACAAATCATTGGAATACAGATAAGTACACAGTGAACAACCTATGAAAATGCAAGAAAAAATAATCAATACACTTGATAAAAAAGAAAACAAGTAAAGCGTACACTCAAAAACGGATAAAAAATATACACTCACTCATCACACCTCAAATAAGCTGAATCAAGGTAAAAATAATACACGTGTGCTCTGCGCGTTATAGAAAAGAGGGAAAAACAAGTAAAAGAGCAAAAGTTAGATGATGTCAGTATTTTGAATTAGTTCTTGAAATTTCGTGGCGTTTTTTTCTAAGGCAATGTGTGATGGTAGATTATTCCAATCGATTGTGGTACGCGGAATGAATGACTTGGAAAAAGCAGATGACTTACAGTTTAAGCGGCGAGGAAAAATAACAGCAGGTGGCTCGAAGAAATCGCTGTGAAGTGACACGTGGTGATAAAGTTTATGGAAAAGTGATAGGCGTGCAAGTTTGCGACGATGGAATAGTTCGGGTAGCTCTGCTCGGCGTTTTAGTGCTGTGACGCTGGAATGACGTGAATAATCTGAAAATATGAAGCGAGCGGCACGATTTTGCAGTGATTCAATGTCGTTTATGATGTAAGCATGTTCGGGATCCCAAATGGCTGATGCATATTCTAATTTTGGACGTATTAGTGTAGTAAATGCAAGTTTGTGTATATTAGGAGGAGCCTGTTTAAGGTTACGCTTGAGAAATCCGAAAGACCGGTTAGCAGCCGCCAGGGTGAGTTTTATATGGTAGTGCCATGTCAGATCAGGTTGCAAATGAATTCCAAGATATTTATAAGTGGAGACGAGGTCAACAGTAGTATTATTCAACACGTAGAAGGTAGGAATCCGGGTTACGTGTTTACTGAAAGACGTAGACTTCGTTTTAGAGCAGTTTAGGGTCATTAGCCAAGATGAGCACCATGCATTAATAGCATTTAGATCAGTTTGCAAAGCTTTCTGGTCATTGTCAGAGGAAATTATTCGGTAAATCACACAGTCGTCAGCAAAAATTCTAATTCTTTTTGTTTGTTTCTTTTTTTATTTATAACCATTGCACATGCAATTACATAAGCATTATGGTAAGGTTACTTCCAGAAGACACATCCAGCAACAAGTAAATGAGTTAGAGAAAATGCACTGCAAGCTTTCAATTCAATTACATTTTGTGTACTTTCAATAGACGCTCCTTGATGTGCTTATCGTCGATGTGAAACCTGTTTCAGGAGTTTCAAAATGTAGACGAATGCCTTTTTTCAAGATCTACATTTTCTTAACCTCTTGTTCAGAAATTTCTAAAACTCTTATTATTTCCTACATGCTGAATGATGAGTTGTATCCACTTTGCTCTTTTCTGTGTAGCATAGCTGTTGCTATGCTTTTCATAGCATCCAGAGTCTTTTGAAGCTTACTGGCTGTTGTACATTTTAAGGAAAACTCGAGAGCGCATGGCTGTGCAATGCAGTGAATGCTGGAGTCTGGCAGTGGCATATGCTGGCACTTCCTCGCATATGCACGTGCTGCTCTTAGGGGCAGTGCACGAATTTCATCGTTACTGCGAGAACTGAGCCAATCATCATTGTGTGATGGGGCTCTACGAATTTCTTTTGACAGCAGCGTGCTTCGTTTGTTTGAAAACTTGGGCTAGTGAGAGTGTGCACATATATTTTTTCGCTGTGTTCGCTACTCTAATGTGCAGGAGCAAGAGGCACTAAAATGTGCGTGCTACCGCTTCCCCTAAACATAACATGCTTCTTAACAATGAGGCCAGCATGTTGAACAATGCCTTTCAAGTGGTTGCAGCACTAGCTGCTGCCATTATGTGGCTGGAGCGCATGCCACGTCGCGGTGTCATGCGCTCCTAGATTACCCCGAAAGGTGAAACTGGCTGTAAGTTGTAGAGATTGACTGGATGTGTGGCAGCTTTTATTAACATTAGAGGAATAGTAGTTGAATGAAAAATGATAGGAGTGATATCTGGAGATGAGAAAACAGCAGAGTGAATCGGGGGTAGCTGTCGTGAACGTTTCCACAGACTACTCCCGACTACGTCAGTGCGTTCCTTTCAACGTTTTCATGATTTATGCCAAATTACAGGCTGGAGGTGTGTGTAGGTTCTTCAGAAATTACTTTTATTCATTGCTCCGACTCTCCCACCTGGCTTTCCTCAATTGTTAGCTTTTTCATTTAGACACAGTTGACGAAACGAAGGTGCTTCATAACATCTGGTCTGCACTGGACAATGATTTTGTGCGTTTGACCTGCACCTCGTTAATTCGGTGTACGAATTTCAGCTCCTTGTGGGTGTGCATGCAATGAGTGGCAAGCGAAGTTGCACTGTGAGCTGCCAGAAATTTTCTTCAACAGTCGCCTGAAGAGTGAACGTGCACAAACACTATGGTACGGAAAAACGCTTGCCGTCCATCACGACCTGGCCTAAGCATGCTTGGCAAGCTGCGCACCATGCATAGGGTGGCTTGCACTTGGCTTATAATAAATTTTAATCCTGCCTACACAATGTCGGTCATCGTAATCCACAAGCTTGCGTATTCTTTCCTTAGCAATGATAAATAGTCTTAGTCTGTCTGCAAACTTTTTTCTAGAGGTAGCATTTTACTCAGTCGCAGCAGGCACAAGCTTGAGCTCCCTAGACAGGTGGTGCTGTCCAGTGGTAAAGAACGTAACCAAGAGAGCGCGTAGCTAAACGGGTGTGATGTACCTCATTTGGAAGGAATGACAACATTAATTGGCCTGCTAATGCGTCCAAATCGCAGCTGTCATTGGCAGGCATATTCAAGGATTTTGGGTACATGGCACAGTCAGTCAACAGGCACGGTACAGCTTCTGTGGCGTGGTCATCTTTCGGCAGAACGCTTCTTTGCTGCTTTCATATTCTTCGTTGGCGAAACCGGCTTGCTTTGCGCACTTTTCAGTTTTTTCTAGCTTCCACGTCACGTGAAGACACTGCTTAGTTGGGTTTCTGTTTGGATGGTGCATTTTTTTTTGTTTATTTAGTGTTGTCTCATTTGCTTAGTGTTTTACTAATGGAACCATGACAGGAGTGCCTCACGAACATAGATACACCGTTACTTTGGCATGGCTGAAAAATTGCTGGAATTGGCCTCATAGGGACAATAATAGAGCAGAGTAGGTCGGGGATGGTTGAGGAGATATTGGTTGAAATTGATGAGGGCGGGGCATGTAGCACAAAGGCAAGATAACTTCTGATCATTAAGAGCAACTGACTGGATTCTGAGAGAAGGCTAATGTGGCAAAGAGAGGCAGAAAGTTCGGTGGGCAGATAAAGAAGTGCTTAGGAACTACATTGCTGCACCAAGAAAAGCAGTAGGTTTGGCAGAGAAACATGGAAGAGGCCTTTGCCCTGCAGTGAACATAGTCGGGCTGACGATAACCAAAGGCCTTCATCTAGCGGTCGAGATAAGCTGGTTCTTCTAGGCGACTGTGAGCGTAAAGTGGAGGGTGGCAATATCATGTCATGGGGGCGACCTCTCTCGGCAGATTGATCTGAAAAAAGAGGAGCTTTTTCTCTCTTCGCGTGTCGACAGGTTCACAAGGAGACCATCGACAAGGTTCCCAATGCGCTGCCAAACAAGAACAGCGTGGACATTGAGATCTACGGCATGGAGGGCATCCCCGAGGAGGACATCAAAGAGCACGAGCGGCAGAAGCAGGATCGTGGAGGAGGATCGGGCGACGAGCAGGACGACGAGCGGCCCGCGAAGCAGCCGGCGTCCCAGGTTGGTTTGTCCCTGTGTGGCGTTTGTGAAAGGGACGCTAAAGTGAAACAGCGAATTGGTTTAGATTGATAAATTGCACTGATATAGCTCTCATGACATTGTTTTCACCGTCGTAGCTTTATTAATACAAGAAAAAGTGAAGGTCAAGAGTTGGATTTTAAAATTTTGTGCTGAAGTATCGGCTCATCGCATCACATTTCAAAGATCCGCCGGGGTGGTCTAGTGGCTTAGGTACTCGGCTGCTGACCCGCAGGTCGTAGGATCGAATCCCGGCTGCGGTGGCTGCATTTCTCATGGAGGCGGGAACGCTGTAGGCCCGTGTGCTCAGATTTGGGCGCGCGCTAATGAACCCCAGGGAGTTGAAATCAACGGAGTCGTCCACTACGCCTTTTCTCGTATTCATGTGGTGGTTTTTGGGAAGTTAAACCCCACATATCAATCAATCAACATCATATTTTGAAGTATGTTTCTTCATATTTTGTAGGCATTGACTCAACAAATTTTACTGAAACTTTGTTTGACAAGTCTCTGGCTTACTTATATAGCAATGTATTATATAATGACCATTGAAGAACTAAATAAGCTGTATTATATGCCATCATAACCAATAAAGTTGTGTTGACAGCTGTGGGTTATCTAAGGGGATGCCACCACCCACATATTCTTTCTTTGTGTTTTCTTTCTTACCAAGCATCTTCTCATCGAGCGTGGTGATTGTGGTATTGTGAAAGATAATATATTACATAATGCTTTTATGCAAAGCATTTTATTGGAGTTAAATTGGGGTTTTGGAAGTTGTGGTAACTAGTGGCTGCAGCATTTCTCCCCTGAGCGTGAGGATCGATGAGTATAATGTAAGCTTTTGCGCTTATGACTCATTTCTATTTGTGACTCAGATTGACAGCTTAGCGGCTAAATGTGAGGCCGCGCCTTTGAATCCTGGCCGTGGTGTCCACATTTCAAAGGCGGTGAATGCAGAAACACCTGTGTACTTTTATTTAGGTGCATGTTAAAGGACTTCAGCTGGTTGGAAAGTCCTCCACAGTGGCATGCTTCGTAATCGTGCTGTGGTTCTGGCATATTAAAGTCTAGATGTTAAACTTTCGTCTGCAGGTTGCAGCCAGTAATGTAGATATTGTAACATTTTGTTGAAGATTGTATGGCAGCTGTTTTCATCCCAAACTTGTCTGTCTACGGCTTTCCATCATCATCTAATTTGCATATGCTCTTGGCAGGCCCCGGCAGCCCAGCAGTCTGTGTTACAGGCGCAGCAAGCGGCGGCCATGGCGGCGGCCCAGATGAACCCGGCACTGGGAGCTGCACCAATGGGCATGGCGGCGGTCATGCCCGGCCATCTGGGACCCATGCACCCGTCCTTAATGGCAGGCATGCCCGGTATGCCGGGCATGCCCCCCTTCGGAGCACCGCCGGGCATGCCTCCGGGCATGCCCCATCCAATGGCGCCCCACCACATGGCAGCCATGGGTGAGAGTGAATGACACTCCGTAGTTCTAGAAAAAAAAGTACACACACACAGCACAAGCCCTCTAATAATACATTGCTAATCAATATGTTTTCCGGCATACAGTCAAACTTGATATAAGGAAATATCTGTTACACAAAGTAAATGAAGAATAGTCTTGCAATAAATATAGTCTTAGGAATAAACCTCTACAACAAATTTTCAGATATAACGAATTCTTTTCATTCTAGATGCAACCGTGTTATAATGATGTTTGAGTGTATAACGTATGTGATGTGCGCTCTTGACGAGGAATGTGTACAGGCACCTATGTGCAATTGAAACACGATCTAGCGAAGTGATCGGGGTGCTCAAATCATTTCATTTGAATGGGAAGTTCATCGAGGAAGGGATTCTCCGGCTCTCCGAAGTTCATAATTGTAACGTAGACCAAGTACTGTGGCCTCTAGCACACTCCGATACACGAGAGTGCTAGCCACTGCCAAATCCATTGCTCTGTGCGCAGGCGCGGCATGCAGCCTTGCTAAGCTAAAACTGCAGGGCAGTGAGTAGGGCTCCTAGGCAGTGGCAGAGCCTGCGCTCGAATATAAAACTATCTCGTCGAAATTGGCAGGAAATCACCTTTTTTTTTACTCTGGTGTTCAATCGCGTTCGCAACTAAGCTTGTTCATTAAATCAAGCTGAAAATACCGAGTCTTATAGGTGTTTGTTGGGGAATATAAGTTTCTTTGCGAGATAGGGAACTTTGCAGATCAAGTATCATCAGGTGAAATCAGACTTTCTCTGCTAGAATCTTCTACAGTAAAATCTCCTTAAATCAACACTCGTTGATTCATAAAATCGAACAATTGGGACATCTGTTCTGGTCCCATTTATGAGGCCAGCATTTGGTTGATTCGGACTATTCTTAGAGCGCGCAAGTGTGCAGCACAGCATATAAGCGATGAAAAATAGCAAAACTGTTGTTCACCATCTGCAACCATGTTGTTCGTAGGAAATGAGCTACAAGTTCAGGGCACCTTTCGGCTTAATGTGGCAAATAAATTCTACTGGTGTAGAGTCGCATGCAGTCAGGTATGTTTTATTGTTTAGCAGCCTTTTTCTTCCAGATTTTAACCACACATTCTCATTGTACATTTTCCAGCTACTGCTTTGTTTTTTTTTCTGCAGCCTTATATAATATGTATTAGAATGACTGTGTTTAGTGCAGTTTTGTTTTGAGTGGTTGATGACTCATTCATTAGATAAGAAAGCGACACTTTTTTTTTTTTTTGTCTTTTACAGGAATGGCACCACCATTCATGGCACCAGGGTAAGTGAGCAAATGCTTTCCTCATGGTACCATTGGTGGCGTGGGTTTTCTCCTACACTCAAACCTCGATATAATGATCACGGTTATAACAAAGTAAATGAAAATTTGTCTTGCAATGAACACGTTAGGTATATACTTTTATAACTACTAACTTATTTTTGTGTAAGATGCAATTTCACTAAAAGGAAGTTTGTGTGTATTCCTATGCCATACGTTATGTTCCAAAATCGGAGCAGCAGCATTCTTGAAATTTCTCTCATTGTGTAATGATCGACTTGTGAGCTTTAGTCTAAGCTTCGTTCACTTTCTCAGTGGTATTCCGGGGGCTCCCATGCCCATGATGGGCGGGCTGATGCCACCACCACATCCAGCTCCACCCCCACAGCCGCCTGTCACCCAAGCACCACCCAAGCCTCTTTTTCCAGCGGCGCAGGTGAGTGAGTCATCGTGGGGGCATGGATTTTGCGTCTACTTCCCATTCCATACGCCTGGTTCAATGCTGTAAGCGCTATGCAAGAGTTTCAATCAGCAAAGTGTTATAAATCCCCATGTCTCGCTTGTCATAAATTGAACCTCAGTGATTTGTTTCGGCTGTGCGCTACTGGAACTGATTGCAGAGGTCGTGATACAAGAAGAGAATAAATAAATGCTAAAATATCCGGAACCATCTATTGGCAAGCACGATGAGGTTGGTCCATTTGTAAAGCACAGAGATCTTCAAATATTACTCAGTCTAAAAACAATCATAATAAATTGCACTGCGAGTGGTTAAGTCACCTAACTATGTCTTGTTGCGAACGAAGTCTTGCTACTTACCATAATGTGGCATAAGCATGAAACGGAGTTCCAGGAGAGAAATGTATTAAGAGTCCTTCTTGTCGGACACCTTCTTTTCTTTATTCACTATAATTTTCTTGATCTTTTTCGTGATTTCATTTTTTCAGTCATTTGTGCACTCTTCACAGAAATATGTAAATGAAAGCATGAGCATATTTTGTACGCCTATATAAACGCCTCAACGGGAACACATGTATTTCATGACGATAGTTATAACGCGAGAACAAAACGACACAGAGACATGAAGGACACGTGTCCTTCTTGTCTCTGTGTCGTCGTTTTGTACTCGCGCTATAACTATCGTCATGCCATACCAACTAGCCCAAGCTGCCACACTTCTAAATGTATTTCATCCCCGGTTCGACTCTGTCTTGCTGGCAGGCGGTTGCCACGGCGACTACCACAGCCACGAAGCCCACTTTCCCTGCGTACAGTACGTCCTCGCCAAGTAGCACCACTGGATCATCCACGCCGACATCCACAACAGGTGAGGGACGCAGGATGTTTAGTGTGTGCAGCGTAATGTTCTTCGTTATCCACATCTTTTTCAGAATATCTTTGGTTATTTATGCATAGTCTTTTGCGTTTATGGAGCATGCTCACTGTGGCACACAAAATACGCCGAGTGTGTTTCCAGCAATTTCGAAGCACACTTATTGTATTTGCTCGCGTAATCCTCGCACTCGCATAATTCCCGCACCTCTGACATCGCCCCCAAAAAAAAAACGATTTCTTTTTTTCCTCGAGTAATTATCGCGCCCCCGAAAACTGTCGCAATAATGTCGTCTGCTCATTCCAGCCACTGATGATGATAGCACGCGCCATCTGGCACCATCTCTTTATTATCAAGCGTGCTATTGCACGGAGATTCAATTCAATCCACGCCTGGCCGAAGTGGCCAGTGCGCGTTGCGGCGTGTTTTGTAGGTCGTGTCGGTAATCTTGTCACGTTTTGAGGCGATACTGAAGCTACGCGGCTGCTTTCAAGTTGAAAGTGATAGATCATGCACTAAACGACAACAGGGCCGTCGCTAGGCCCTTCAGAGTTTACGAGTTTTGTGTTCGCTACTGGTGACGGCAGCTGCAAGCCACCAAGACGCTTGGGCCTGCCGTGTGCCTAAAACTGGGATTGATGGTAAACTTTATTTCTTTCAGAAGGAAACTGCAGACGATTCTGTTAAATAGGCATCAGCCCAATACTGACATCCTACGCTTACCTTTTGAGGGCTCCTGTTGAGCGGCGAACGCTACCGCTACGCCCGCAACGTCCACAAGTTTTGCGTATGGTATTCTAGCTCTCGACTATTTGCTTCCACTTTTTGTGTCTCAAATAAATCTTGTCTTGTGTTAAACCTCTGCTTTTATTGTTGAAATAAGTTTTAATTAGTACTTCTTAAAGCTTGCCGTTAGTTTCTGGTGTGAGAATCCCAATTTGCGGCCACTTCGTTCTTTTTTTCGCTCTGTACGTATTCGTAGAAAGTTTTCCCCGCGTAATTCTCGCACCCCCCAACTTTGCATCGGTATTCCGGCAAAAAAAGTGCGAGGATTATGCGAGTAGGTACGGTACTCTCACATGGAGAGTGAGTCTAGCATGTTTCCTGGTTTCTTACAGCATAGTCTGTGTTGTGTGCCGAATAAGCCGAGTATGTTTCTTCTACTGTTTCTTTAGCATACTCGGTGTAGTGGGCACATTAGGTCCAGCACATTTTCTGCATTTTTGAGGCATACTCAGTGTGGTGTACAGATGATTCTGTACTGGAAAAGGCATTGGAAACTGTCAACCCCCTGCTTTTTTACGCAATTCGCACTGTGTGACGCCAGGTTGTTCCTTTACTCTTCTAAAGCACTCCATTACACAATAATGTGATTCATTAAACCAATGTGAAGCTTGCACAGGGTCAGTTTGCAACGGAGTTTCAAGCACAGGGGGTGGGGCTTTATGAATACTGGGCAGCCGTGCAAAGGATGTGGGTTCGAATCCCTACGTCTTCCGGGCATTGTTCATTTCTTTCTTTTTAATTTTCTGAATTTGGAGCAGCCAACAACTACGGCGCCAAAATCTGCCCGTGTTGCAACCTGATAACAGCTTTCACTGCAAACCGAAACGAGCCGCATGGTGTGCATGTGTTCAGACGAGCAATCGAAAGAAGCGAAAGCCGGTGCGCCGCTTTGGAAATAAAATAGCAATGGAGAGACATCGGTGCATGGAAAAAATTCTATGTATTCCCGAAGTGTGTAAGCACATGCCACGCACGAGAAACGATCATAAAGGCACTCGGTTTAAGAGTACAGGCAATGCTGTACATCTACGGAGAAAACTTTCGAAGGGTTAGGTGATTTCGTGTGAGTGACCATGCACGTGACTGCGTTTGTGCAGAGACTGCGTCCAGTACGCCTCCGACCAGCAGCGCAGTGGTCTCCGCACCGCCGGACATCAAAAAGCCGGCGCTTGTGGTTCCCGCCGGGGCTTCCAGCAAGATCATCCATCCAGAAGAAGACATCTCCCTGGTGAGTTGGTTGTCTGAAAGTGGAGCTCATAGGAGTGTGTTTGGGGATATTATTACAAGCTAAAGCTAACGTGAAATATTGAGTGTGAATTGACTAGTACTGGCTAGGAATCGAATCACCTTTGAGTATGCTTCAGGTTGTATGTTAACCATAGAAAGCAACCGCACCGACTGGCTCATTAAATTGACTCGCTGTAGTAGTCTAGACGGCGTTCTGTTTGGTTATTAGGCATTGTGTCGAAATTTCAATCTAGGAAAGCTGCAGAGGTTTCCGACTGTAAACCCTGTTCTCTGCACACAGGAGGAAAAGCGCATGAAGCTTCCCCAGTATCAGACGGCCGAGTCGAGCCCACCTGCAACCAAGTCAGCAGCATCTCCCTCGGCAAGCGCATCTCCGACCGTCAACGGAGGCCTCCGACCACCGGTCCCCCCGCCTCCCCCTGGTGAGGCAAAAAGCCTTCCTGCCATTCAATAGGCTTTTTTGTAACTGAAATGCGGTGCACTTAGCCCAACTAAGGGCAGCTATAGTCGGATACAACTTTTGTAGTTCTCAGTATCTCCTCCTCAAAGGCGAGTGCACACGAGCCTTTGTGCATCATACCGTATTTACTCGATTCTACCGCGCCCTCGATTGTAACGCGCACCCGATTTCCACCGCGAAAAAAAAAAAAAAAAAACGTAAGACATCGATTGCAACGCGCACCCACTTTTTTTTTGCTGGCCCGCACGATCACACCACTCGAAAAAACGATTCCTTTCGGGATTGTCTTCCATTTAAATATGAGGTACGGGCGAAGCTTGTGCCCATCTGACGTGTAACAGAGCATTGCCGTCACTGTAGTTTTACCGTGGACCGATGTCAGCACGCGAACTTGCTTCGCCCCCTTCTTCTCGACAGTTGTGGTGCCAGGCATGTCGAAGTAAAGAGGCGTCTGATCGGCATTCCAGATTTGCCCAAGCAGGTAGCCGTTGTTGCGCCGCAAGTTTAGGACGAACCTCTGAAAACTGTAAAGCTTTTCATCGTACTTCTCCGCAAAAGTTTTCGCATATGCATGTACCCCTTCGGAGGGAAGAGCCTTTCCTCTTCATATAGTTAATTAGCCAGCACCTGCTCGCTTTAAACTGGCTCCGCATTAGACCTTTTTCTAAGACTAATTGCATAGCCCGCACTTGGAGCCGTTCTGTCGTCACGGGCCGCTGTGCCGCTCGCTGCTCAAGCACATACTCGCCGAGCAGCTCTTTAATTTGCGGAAACTGAGCATGCTGTGGTCCACTGAAGCCTTTGCGTGAAGCTTTGCTGTCGACAATCTTCTGCTTTTGTTTCCACCGGTCCCGCACGCACGTTTCGGGAACTCCGAACGACCGCAATGCGGCCCGATTTCCCTCCGTTTCTGCACACGCGATGACTTTTCTTTTAAAAGCGGCATCGTGGTGCACTCGAGTTTTTGGAGTCGGCCCTTCCACGTCGTCGATGCTAATGCACTACTAGATGACGAACTCCTCAGCACACGTACGAAGTGTCGCACATGGTAAACACATGGGCAGAAATAGCCGACGCACCATGCCACGGAGGAAGCCTCCGTGCACCATGCCGACGCACGTAGGGGGCGGCCATCTTGGATTTGCGATGGCAATAGATTGACCGTAATTTTTTTGTTCGTACTCGATTCTAACGCGCATGCGATTTATGAACTCGCTTAACCGGAAAAAAGGTGCGCGTTAGATTCGAGTAATTACGGTACTATGGAATGACAACACTAGCCAGTCAGTCGGGGATCCTGCCTTTGGAGAACGTTACCGATTGCATGAGCAGGCTTGTCTCTTCATTCGTGTAGGTGACCGGCTGTTCTGCTTTGGTCGTCAGGGTGAGGCCTTCTTGGACTTCTCAAGTTGTATCTAACTACAGTGGAATCTCGATGATACGATCATGGCTAATACGAATTTCCGGATGATACGAATTTTTCTGTGGTCCCTGCCGAGCCCCATTACTTTGCAATGCGCTAGAGTACGTTTGTTACGAATCGATTTTCTGCCCGCGTCGTTTGATACGAATGAACGCCGCCCACTGACGGCCGCGAAATAGAACAGCGTTCAGTCGCGCACCGGAATGCGCGCTGCACCAACGGTTTGGCATTTTGCCAACGGTGCCTGCCAGCAGCGCGTGGCGGTCTCCAACATCGGCGCGCGGCGTGCGCAATATCGGAGACCTCAGAGACCGCTTGCGCCCTTTGATTTCGGTTTAGGTTCAGAGATGGCGCTGGGCACGGTTTCCTTTCTCTCTCGCTTTTTGGGTGCGGCGGTGGCGGCGGCGCGGACGCGACGACGCGGCGGACTGTGCGGGGCAATTGGGCCGGTGACGCTTTTGTTGCTGTTGTGCTTTTCCTCTTTCTCTGCGTGGCGTTGGACGGAGTGGTTGCAGTGCTGGGCTTCGGACCGCGTTCTTTGTGTTTGCGCCATTTTGCCTAGTCGCAACGAGCTATGTCTCGCAAGCGAAAAGCGCTCTCCTTTAAGGAGAAATTAGACATCCTTCGCAAGTTCGATGAGGATCCTAAGAGAAAGCGGACGGAGTTGGCTAAGGAGCTAGGCCTTGCAACGTCAACACTGAGCACAGTTGTTGGACAGCGAGAGACCATAATGAAAAACGTGCTTTCGTTCAACGTCAACGCAAAGCAAGCGAAGACCGCTCAGCACGTGAAACTTGAAGAGACTCTGCTGACCTGGTTTAAAGAAATAACCGCAGCTGGCGTAAATATCGATGGCAAAGTTTTGCGGGAGAAAGCCGACGAGTTTGCGCTTGCTCTGCATATCGACGGATTTCAGGCCTCAGGTGGGTGGCTGCAGCGCTTTAAGACTAGGCACGCTCTCGTTTACAAAAGAGTCTGCGGCGAAGCGAAAAAAGCTGACGAGGCAGTTGTCAGCGACTGGTTAGAGAAGCTGCCGTCACTCATTGCAGAGTATGAGCCTCGTGATGTTTTTAATGCTGATGAGGCAGGTCTCTTTTTTAACCTGCAACCCGAAAAGAGCCTCTGTTTAAAAGGCGAAGCATGCAGAGGAGGCAAAAAAAGCAGAGCGTATTACTGTGCTCTTGTGCTGTAACGCTGACGGATCGGAAAAGCTTAAGCTGACCGTAGTTGGAAAGTTCCAAAAGCCCCGGTGCTTGAAGCACGAGAGTCATTTGCCGTGCGTCTATCGCGCAAATAAAAAGGCGTGGATGACGGCGGCGTTGTTTGAAGAGTTTTTGTCACTCCTTGACAGGAGGATGGCTTGTAAGAATCGGAAGATTCTTCTTTTCCTTGACCAGTGCGCCGCCCACCCGAGGCAAGTAACGCTTCAGAACGTCAAACTCGTCTTTTTACCCGCAAACGCGACGACGCACCTGCAACCCCTTGACGCTGGGATTATTAAGAATGTGAAGCACCATTTTAAGAGCTTTCTTGTGCGTCGCCTACTCGCAAAAATTGACCGAAAGGACGAAGGTGACCTGCGAATAAGCCTCTTGGACGCCATCCATTTTATAGCTATGGCATGGGATCGGGTAATTCCGACTACCGTAGCGAACTGCTTCGGCAAATGCGGCTTCTTCGGGAGTCCAGAAGAGGTGCCCCCAGAGCCGGAAGATCCTACAATTGAGGACTGGGAACAGCTCAACGTCGAGTGCACATCTGATTATTTTTGCACGGCAGATGACAATCTCGCCACCTGTGGCGCGCACGGTCGAAGATATTGTTGAGGAGGCCACGTGCGGGGCTGCCGATTCCAGCGATGATGGCGACGACATAGACGTGGGCGACGGCGAAGGACCACCACTGGCGGCTGAAACGCTGCACGCGCTCGACGTTCTGAGGCGCGCTGTGGCCGCGGATGAAGTCAGCGGCGACACGTGCAGGCGTTTTTATGCTTTCGAACAAAGTCTGCTAGGTGACCTGGCGAAGAAAAAGAGGCAGAAGGACATCAGACTTTTTCATCAAGAAATAAATGCTTTTTACGTACTTGTGCCTGGATGAGTTCACGTCTGACTCTTTGTTAATTTAGCTAGTTTTATTTGTTTCGATGATACGAATTTCGGCTAATACGAATATTTTTCGTGACCCCGTGAGATTCGTATCATCGAGATTCCACTGTATACTCTTCAAACACCGCGTTCGTGTTCAAACGCTGTTTTGATACCAGCACAAACATTAGTTAAGGGGAGATGCTACTCGAAAAACGATTTTCTTTAATAAGAGTCTGAATTTAACACAAATTGGCATGTTAATAGAGTTTTTTCTCCTCTTTTCGAATATGTCATTTATTTTCATGTAGATTGCTTGGTTTTCTTTTTGCAGGTCAGATACTGCAAAATTATGGCCCTTGTTATGCAATAATTCTGACCTATAAAAGTTTGAGATAAAGCATGCAGATATAGCTGACTATGATCCTTTGGAACTGTAGAGTGCAAAAAACTATATAAATTTTGTGTGTAAAAAGGCGAAATACAATAATAAAATAGAAAAATTTACTATGGCTCTAGTTGCCAAGGGCTTTCAATGTTATGTAATTTTTGAAAAACATAATCAAGCAGCACTGACAATCTGAAAAGATTGTCAGTGCTGCTTGATTACTCTATGGGCCTTCATCATGCTATGTGCAAAATTTCATAGAGGTATGACAATTCTAAGTATACGAACTAGCGTGTATAAGAAGCACAGATCACACAAAACTGCAAAAGGAGAAAAACGCATTTGAAAGTTTGAAACCTTTTTTTTTATCACAGAGTTGTTAGAAATGCATAATCTTTGGCCATAATGTTCAACAGAACTTTGAAAAGCACTGCAAGTTACTAGAACTGTCCTGCAGCATACCGTAATTACTCGAATCTAACGCGCACCTTTTTTCCGGTTAAGCGAGTTCATAAGTCGCATGCGTGTTAGAATCGAGTACGAACGAAAAAAATGCGGTCAATCTATTGCCATCGGCAAATCCAAAATGGCCGCCCCCTACGTGCGTCGGCATGGCGCGTCGGCCATTTCTGCCTATGTGTTTCCCATGTGCGGCACTTCGTACGTGAGCTGAGGAGTTCGTCATCTAGTAGTGCATTAGGATCGACGGCGTGGAAGGGCCGACTCCAAAAACTCGAGTGCACCACGATGCCGCTTTTAAAAGAAAAGTCATAGCGTCTGCAGAAACGGACGGAAATCGGGCCGCATCGCGGTCGTTCGGAGTTCCCGAAACGTGCGTGCGGGACTGGCGGAAACAAAAGCAGAAGATTGTCGACAGCAAAGCTTCATGCAAAAGCTTCAGTGGACCACAGCAAGGTCGGTTTCCGCAAATAAAGAGCTGCTCGGCGAGTATGTGCTTGAGCAGCGAGCGGCACAGCGGCCCGTGACGACAGAACTGCTCCAAGTGCGGGCTATGCAATTAGTCTTAGAAAAAGGTCTAATGCGGAGCCAGTTTAAAGCGAGCAGGTGCTGGCTAACTAACTTTATGAAGAGGTAGGGCTTTTCCCTCCGAAGGGGAACATGCATATGCGAAAAGTTTTGCAGTGGAGTACGATGAAAAGCTTCACAGTTTTCAGAGGTTCGTCCTAAACTTGCGGCGCAACAACGGCTACCTGCTTAGGCAAATCGGGAATGCTGGTCAGACGCCTCTTTACTTCGACATGCCTGGCACCACAACCGTCGAAAAGAACGGGGCGAAGCAAGTTCGCGTGCTGACATCGGTCCACGGTAAAACTACAGTGACGGCAATGCTCTGTTACACGTCAGATGGGCACAAGCTTCGCCCGTACCCCATATTTAAATGGAAGACGCTCCCAAAAGGAGTCGTTTTTTCGAGTGGTGTGATCGTGCGGGCCAGCGAGAAAAATGGGTGCGCGTTGCAATCGATGTCTTGCGTTTTTTTTGTTTGTTTGTTTTTTTTTTCGCGGTGAAAATCGGGTGCGCGTTACAATCGAGGGCGCGGTAGAATCGAGTAAATACGGTAGGTTGTGCCCTCACGGTCCTTGCGAGCACTCTCTTCTAGCCGTGCCCTTTTCACTCCACGACGACGGTGGGCCCTTGCTTCTGCTGTCAGACGCTCGGACATTCTCTTGATGCACCTCGCATCGCGGGAATCACTGAAAGTAACTAGATCTCTAGATGGCAGTATGCTGAGCTCTTCCAGGATGTGCTCGAAAGTAGCATGACCCTTGTCGAACCACAGGATTGCCATAGCTGCGGCAGTCTCGACAACCGTTCGGGAGACAAACTTAAAACTTAGTCTTGGGGCAAAGTAGCCAAATTTTGCTGTTCAGGGATTCCGATGCGTTCTGGGTTTTCCCTTTGATGCATCGAGCAAGGAGCTTCTCATCCGTTAGCCGCTTATAAATGATCAAAACAGCAAATCCCTGTGCTTTTGTCAGGAGAGGTGTGTGGCGTGGTGCAGGTTCACCAAGTGCTTCAGCGCGTTGATGTTTGCACCACGACTGTTCCTGCAGGGCAAAACTTGTGGCTGCCAGCATTGTCAGTAGAGCATGAGTGGAAGTACGAAGCCCATACTGCAGTGTACATATCCCGTACACTCCCCCTGTTGCTTGTTATGGCAATCTGATAGTATGTTTGGAGCTTCCGAATGGCTGGCTCTTTCATTTTCTGCCCTCGTGGTAATGGCACATGCAGCTTTCGTAGCGCGGTGCCAAGTCTCTTGGCCACATGATTAGTGCAGTCTTCTTTTTCTGTATTGACAGCACCATAGACTTTTGACTCTGCAACTGCACTATATGCTTTGCTGTCACCGTCACTCAAGAATGTCATGAAATGCAGTGGGGTGTCATAAGTCAATGTTCTCTGCCAAATGCGCATTGCAGCCTCCGTTTCCATGGCATGGGAGGAACAGTCTGCATTTTTTTCGCAGACTGGGCCGTGGAATGCCTGCCACACTTCCTCGTCTGGGCCCATATCCTTGTGCCTACTGCATGTCAGGCAGTAATTTGATATGACCTCGAAGTCTAAGCAGAAGCCAGTATCTAAGGAGATAACTGCACCAATCCCGTTGTGGCTTTTGTGGCCCCTCTTCTGCCAAGTGCCGTCGAACATAACAGCCACATCAGTTTCGCCTGTTACTTCTTTCGTCAACTCTCTGGATCGGCGCAAGTTTTCACTCACAGCTGCCATGGCAGTGGTGTGCAACTTCTTTGCTATCGAAAAAAGTCCTCGGTGGTGCATTGGCTTTGGGAGTCCAATAATGGAGCAAAATCTCGACAATTGCTCATGCCCAATGCCGACAGCGCGTGCAGCCACCACCGCCTTCACATTTACAGCGAAACTATCTCGGGAGCTCCCACTGTCGTACCGTTGGCTCACTCGGCTGCTGCCGTCCGCCGTAACACGCAGTGACGTATAGGAGCACGAAAGAACAGTCGCTGAGCATTCGCTGTTTTCGCAATGCCGTTCGGGAGCCGGCAGAAAAGCACAAGGGACTTTCGTCGCTCCTCGAACTTCAAGTTTTTGAATACCGCAAGCAGGGCATGCCGCACCTGCCAGAAGTGCCGTCTGCAAGAGGGTGTCGCACAAAACTGTCTTTGCACAAACCTCATCGCGCTGTCTTTCGTCTTTTTCGAAGAAGCCGAGCTTCTTTTCCGAAGCACTGACGAAAGAAAGCGCAGCGTCAATCCCTTCATCGCAGCCACTGTCACTCGCGCACTCGTCGATGCCGCCGTCAGGCCTAGCACACGTAGGCGCGTTCTCGTTCGTCGCCGTCCCTTGAACTTGTGCTTCGTTCGAAACTTCTGCGGTCTCACGTTGCACTTTTTCGGGCTTGTCATCGCGTAAATATGCGTAGACGCGCAGAAAAGCAGACGGACCAAATGCCGATGGCCGCCACCAACACAGCTGACAATGACTCGGTAGCCAAAGGCGATGCGGCTTAGTGTGCCGCGCGTTTCAAACCGCTCAAACCACGGATAAAAAAGCCTCGTTTTTTATTTATTTTTTTGCCCACGTACGAAACTGGCGGTCGCCGGAGCTGTAAGAAGAAGGCCGGACGCAACTTTCCCAACCGATCGCGATGGCGGGCGGCACTGCGACGGGGAGCAGCGCGCAGTCAAAGATGGCCAATATCGGCGCAAATTCACGAAATTTTGAGCCACCGCGATGCGTTCATACACATTTTTTTGCATTTTGCGGTTCGAATTCAGTTGTGAAATTTTCACATATGAAAGAAGGTTTGAAGATTACAATGCAATAAAAATCGGAAATACGAGAAATTTTGCTAAAAACGCGATTTTTCGACTCGCATCTCCCCTTAAGCTTAAGCACGTGCAACTAGGACCCCTGCTGCACATGAAGCACGACAGGTGCTTTCATTAGTAGGGTGAATATGCAGTGCTGCAAAGAACACTTGTGGTATATGAAAAGAGTGTTGTATTATTAATTGAACTTGTACTCAAAACGTTTCCTTTTGACGCACAGGCATGGCCCCCGGCATGCCACCGGGTGTTGCTCCGGTGCCGTACCGACACGCGGGGGCGCCACCCATGCCGTATCCTCCGCAGCCCGGTGCCGCGCCTCCCATGATGCCCCGGCCATTCTAGGCCGCCATCTCCGCTTTGTCACTGTCATCATCCATTGCTCTATCGTCAATGCCACGGAACAGATAAGTGGTCGGCGACATCGTCTTCCTCTCTCCCCCTCCCCTGCAACACACCCTCCAGGGGTGGGGGTCTGAAGAGGGGGAGACGGGTCTGCTGCTCAACAAGGTTTGTTGCTGTGGCGATGTCTCCTCACCTCCGACCAACTTCACGAAGTTCCCTTCACTGACACACGCTCTTCTCTTTTTTTCTCTCTTCCTGTTCGAAACTATGCTCGCTGTCAAAAACCTTTTTTTCTGTGGCCGTCATCAACTGTCTGCGGGCACAAACGACACAGTAAGTCTCAAAGCAGGCAAGTGTTTCATTGTTAATTGTATATTATTTGCACTTGCGCCCGTATTTTTGAAGATTAGAACCACAGGGAAGTGAACCGTGCGCGCACGCACACCAGTTGTGGGGTTTGTGATCAAGAGACGACGTGGTGTTCCTGCGAACGAGCTTGTGCAGTCAAGGTAGGGGTGTCATGCATTGTGTGCTGTCAAGGTAGGGGTGTCGCGTGCCGTGTGCCGTCAAGGTAGGCGAAACTACATCAACCTGCGAAGTTTCTTGTGCGTTAGGCGCTGTGACTGCAGTGATGTGATCATCTGGAAGAACACTCCAAGGTTTGTGCAAAGGAAGTCATCCTTTCTTTGCCCCCGTTGTTTGTAACGACCATGCATTGTTTTCTTTTTCTCATTTTATTTCATCACCTGTCCTCCCATCTCCTGATCCCTGTAGTGTGTGAATGTGAGAAAATGCGAAAAAGCACTTATTTTGCTTGGGCTTTGTAATTCCTTCTGCTTGTTGCCATTTTATGCTCAGTTTTTCCATTGTCACTTGCGACGACGAGTGGCTTTCTTGAACTTGTGTAAGCAATAAACGACTCCCTTTTGACTCCCCTGGCGCTCCACCTAAAGGTGTAAGTACATACACTTATGTTTGGTGCATTGTGGACCACTTCAAGGCTGTCCCAGCCAAATGTAACGGTGACAACTAGGAATTAAAAAAATATATCAGACTAGTTCTGAGCAGCTTATATATCAATTGGCTGGGGTGCTTCATTGAAATAGCTTTGACATTCTGGAGCACAATCTTTAAGTGCGCAATTTCCTCTATCATAGCCGAAATTTAAACTTGGCCAAAAATGAAAGCATTCGCGGAGAGGCCAGTAAAAGGGTGAAGAGGAAAGCAGATTGTGGCTTAACGCTTTGGGATTGCACAACAGTATAGGCAAGATTTGAGTGTGTCTGCCTTTCAATGAGGTCTGCCGTTCTCTAAAATTGTACCCGGCTTCAGTAGTGTGCTATGAGTGGCTGTTCATGCAGGTTCTAGTTTTGATCTCTTTAGGTGCAACTTTTCAAGAACTCTTTGTAAACACGTCCGATTTACAAGACATCCCTCCAAAGCACTCGGTGGTCAATTGCAACACCAATAATGTCGTAAAACTTCAACTCTGTGTCTTGCATTGATGTTCATCTCTAATTGAAGGTCTGGTTATAAAGCTATTCGTATTGCTCTTGTACTAAGGGCATCAAATCTCAGGCTAGAAGTGTTATGCTATTTTGTTTTTGGTTATATTCAACCGAGAAACACAAAAATGCTTTAGACGTGGTTTATGGAGAGTGGCATGACGAATAGGGTGGGGCCTTCAGCAAAATTATGTTAATTGCAAATTGTGAAATTAAGTTAAATGAAGACATCCCTGTTTGGTGGGAGGTCCATTTCGTCCAAGCGTCAATGTATGTTGCATTTTGCTGCCACTAGCAGACTCAACTGTGTACATCGTGCCTGAAGCTGTGTTCACTGCACAGCTTGGAGGGGGGGGGGGGGGGGGGACAGTGAAAGCTGTGTTTTGGGGAAGTGGGGCATAGCCTAGGAGTGGTCCGCAATCGCTGTGTACGGTTTTGAGGGTGCCAAGAGTTTTGCTGTGGGGGGAGGGGGTGACGCAGAGTCACACCGACACGGGATCTCTCTTGTCTCTCTCCTCCTCCGTTGGTTCCCCCTCTCCTCCGTGTAGGCTTGAGGAGGCCCACTGTGGGGATGACCGCCAACCTCAATCCCCGCGCTGTTGAGCGAGAGTCGGTGAGCCACGCCGCCCCGGGAGGAGGCAAGTGTGTTGTCCCTCTCTATGACGACGGGGCCGTGCCACCTTTCACAGTGGCTCTCCTGAGTCTGGGAGTTTTGCTGCTGTTGGACCCTCCCCCCTCCTCGGATTTAATGGACGGGGGAGGGGGTCCCCAACCCCTCCCATCTCGTGGGCTCTGGGGTTCGGCGAAAGGCGGCCCCCCCTCTTTTTTTGTTTTCTATTGTGTTTTTCGTTCGTGCTTTGCATTCGAAGCATTGAGTTGGTAGTTAACAGAGGGGGGTGCCTTACGCGACTCGCCACAGAATTTCGTCTGCCTCACCTGTACTAAGGATGCGACGCAGCTTTTTCCGGAAGGCATCGCCCAGAGACACAGTTGCTTATATCGAGGACATCTCCCAGCTAAAGGTGTACTTACTTGAAAATAATTTGAACTTAAGCTGTGTAAGCCTTAGCTTTGTAAACCCTGGCCAACGCAGTAATATTCTCATGCAGACTGTGCTGTAAACTAAAAAACAAAATACTGGAGAGAAGGGATGCAGCTCTCTTACGGGCGCTGCCAAGACACCTGCTGAAAGCTGAGACTTCCAAAGTAAATGATGTACTTCATTGTAAATCGTTGTGTCAATCCTAGTCATGTAAACCCGGGCAGGGTTTCAGTAATATTCACAACCAGATTGTGCTTCAAGCGACAGAAAGGAATACTGAATCTGATCTAACCAATGTGCATAGAGGAGCTTTGCTTCAGGCATTCCGCTAGCGAAAAAGCGTAACAACCTCGTCAGTTGCATTAGTCGTACACCACACCGCCTGCAGTCCTGCTGTATTATTGACAGGCTGTAACACTAAACGGATCGCTAAGTGAGCTCTGCCTTCCAAGAGCTCAATGAGATGTCGGTTACCACCAACAGGCCAAAGTTTGCCTGTGCCACAGCTTTTTTTTCACCATAAGTCATTTTTAACTCCCCCTTTCGTTGAGCCCTGCATTGTCTAACTGGCCAACCATTTTACTTCTCTTTCACAAGCACATGCCGGCTATATACCCTTCAACAGCACCTATTTTACTCCCTTTCCATGAATTCCAACCTGCATCCTTACTCTTTATGCCCTAAACAGAGCGTTTTTATTTCGTTTGGTGATTTTTTACTCCATTTGGTGATGTGAACCACCTGTGGTTGTCATGCAAGTGAACTGAAGGGTGTCATTGAGGCATGGTGACTTATGTAGTGCCAAGTGTGTAGGTTCACTGGCACACCTAGTAGCCCCTTGTGCAATGCGAATTGGCCTTATTAGTATGCACAGTGACACAAATAGTAGTTCTGTCAAAATTTTTTCAATGCATCCCCCCCCCCCTCCCCTTATGTTACAGTGGAGTCACTATGCTTGGAGGCAGTTCCCGATAAAAGGAATATATTAGCATGAGTATCCACATGTTTTATTAACTGAGAAATCAAAGGAAAAAATAATTGTGTTTATTTGCCTGATGTTCACAGGCTTGAAATTGTGTGGTGGGTCTTGTACGATTGCTGTCGTACGTGCTAATGGATGAAGCCTTGTTATCAAAAACAGTGTCTGCATTCAAGCTTTTACGAACAGGAGGCTTTTGTTAGTTTGGCATGCCAATTGTTTCATATCGACATTATTATAGCAATCTTTGGGCAGGTGTTTGCCATTACACTGCAGTGGCTGTCTGTATTCTGCGAGGTCCATGGTAGCTATACCCACCTTTGAGGAGCAGTTTGAGCTGTGTCTGTCCTGTTTACATATTTGACTCGAGCAGCGCTGAGAGTCTTACGCTAAAGTGATTTCCTGACAATTAACTTTGCCAAAAAAAAAAGTTGTTGTGAGTATTGAAAGTTGTCTTCAAAGTAACTCTTGCAGAAAACGGGACTGCTAAATTTTTGGCATGCATATATGAAGCTCATGTAGTGTGAAGGAATCATATCGTTCTGTGGTAACCATCTGACAGCACTTGAGTGCAGTGCTGGGGTTCTAAAGCATATTAGCAGTCTGCCATCCACTGCAGTGCCAAGAGCGTTAGCGGAAAGTTCGTGAATTTCAATTACAAGTCAGATTTCCCAACAAGATCCATTATTCTGTGCTTAGCCGTCACCTTTTTTCATACAAGCTAAAAGGCTTGCATAAAAACGGTACTACATAATATGCTGCATTCACGTATGAAGCCAACTTGCTATAAGAGCATGACATTCTGTCAATTACTTTTTGCCAAAACTTTATGCCAGAATTTAGGTGCAAAGGAGCACTTGCAAGCCAGGCACCTGTGGCGTAACAAAAGCCTCCTGTTTCCTGGTGTTTGCTTTTTTTCATTGTGTCCGTCACTGCTGCCGAGATCTGTTGCAGTGCGCATGTTTTCTGCGTAAGCCTATGCAAGAAGAGCACCCTTTCTTCGGAATCATTAAACATACAGTGCCACCATTACCGAAGAAATGCATTCACAAACCAAGGGCCGAGCATCGGCAGTGTCATCATCTCTGAACATGTACTTTTAATGATCGCTTGTATCACCGAAAGGTACCCAAGGGCACGGGTCTCCTCCGCAATCGTGTTGCCAGGCAGACCAGTGTCTACATGTTGTGTGTCGGGCGAGCTTGTGGGGTGCCCGCGGGGTTCGGGCGATGACGCGGCAGTGGCGACAATAAATGGCTTCGAGTTTCCTCCTCGTGTGATGAGTCTTTTTTGGAAGGAAGTGGTGGTGACGATGAAGTGAAAGCTTATTTGACCACTGTTTGCGGTTGCTGATGGCTTCTTAGTTTTCATCACCACTTCCCCATGGTGATGTGGCGGGCCATTGACTGGGCTGCCAGCGGTGCGTCAGCTGGAACCTGCATGATAAGCAGGGGACCAAGTGAGTGTTTTACACGAGACACAATATACAGAAGAATCTCTTGTTGAATGGAACCTGATTAAAACAGAGAATTGGCGGCGTATCTACGTGCCTCGTTGCAAATGTCGTTGAAAGAGATGCTGCGTTAGATATAGGTGCCATCTGGCAATAATGCTGAGAAACGAAACCTTGTGGAGAACGCACAGCCGCTGGTAGGTGGCAGCATGGCGTTGTCTTAGTGAAGCGTAAGAAATGCCCATGTTTTCATGCATAGCGTGTCATTGTCAACTCTGCATAAGGGTATTTATGCATTTTCTATTAAGAGACTGTCTACCGTCTTCCACTGTTTTTCTGTTTCGTGTCGGAATATAAAGAGTACCATCTGAAGTCTCCCACCTTGTAGCAATTTCTCCGTAAAGTGTCTGTAAAGTGTGGACGCAGCGCTCGCGTTTCTCCGTTTGCAGGCAGAAATGTAGGAAACTGAACACAGCTCCGTCGGGCGCCTCTGAACGCGTAAGAAAAACAAGCCAAAATTGCTCTCTGGTGCAATCTGCAGCTGCCTCAAGTGCGTAGGATACAATTTAAAGTTATAAATGTTTGTTTTTAAGCAAAATGACTCTGCCAGTAGGAATTTCTTGTCCTGCCAGTAGATTGAACTGCATTGCTGTTGGTTGACGCTAGTGGTCCTTCTTTGTCAACTTTCAACATTAAAAAAAAATAATTCCTTTTGTATGGGACAAACCATGCTCGTATCCGCCAATGTGATGACCGATCTACCCATTTTGACCACAATCATTTGAAGACGTGCATCTTTTCACGTACCAAATCAAACTACTATTCTGACCATTGCTTCCATTAGCGTGCGCGGGGGGGGGGGGGTGGCCGCCTCCCCACCTCGTTAGCCACTAACGATGGGGGGGGGGGGGTAATATGGCTCAAATTGCCTTATATACTTTTGACTTGAAGGGGGGGGGCTGCGATAAGCTTTTGCCCCCTCCCCCGAAGGGAAACGGCGCGCGCCTATGGTAATTACTGTCGACTAGCCGGGTCACATGGACCACTTCGCAAATGTATGATTGGAGGGTAGTTCCCACGCTGCACACATTTACAACCCGGCATTGCACAGTACTGCTATATAGTGGACTGTAGTCAGAAAATGGGGTCGAGAGTGAAGTTGCGGGCATACCATGTGCCCTGCCTTGAGGACCCAGTAGAGGGTGAGGTTCTTGAAGGACTTGTAGTAGCCGGCAGCCTCGCCTTCGACTACCATGGGCTTCTTGGCCGTCGCTTGGAATTCCTTCATGCCTGGCCACCTGAGCTGCTCCATCCACTGCAGCGTTCCTGCACGCATGCGACACGGATGTCAATCCGTGTTAAGAGACAATGTAGGCTCCGCCCACAGAACCGCAGAGCGTCCGCCCTTCTAAAGAACAGTCGTGCTAGCCGATTTCCACAAGAACAGTAATAACGCTCTTTCTCAGCTATTATTAATACTGCGCGTAAAAGGGCCACTGCAGCGCGTTTGAAATGAGTCTGTGCTACCTCGGCACCGCCCAAAGACGGCGCGTTCGAAACGTGTTGGTGCTGCATTGAAGTCGACGGCAAGTCAAGACAAGCAGAGTTTCTGAATACGGGGGTTATAGAGGTAAGCGACTTTTCTCTTATTCCAAATTACTGTCATGATTTCTAAGTCGCCAAGATTTCCGTGAAGAGACTAGATAAGCGGGAAACTGCAGGTGTCGACTCCATCTTGAAATTACTGCGTCAAATGGCGCGACGTCAGATTCCGACGGCGTCTGCTAGGTACTACAGATTTTCTAATGAGTCAAAATGCAGTGCATTGTCTTCTGAGTGGACCATGCAACACTTTTGGAGCATGGCCTGAAACGAGGCCTAACGGTAGTCGGGGCTCCCGAGAACATGCGAGCCAAAGATAGCGCAGCACGCGGCTTGGAATTAACAATTCTTAGTCGGCTGGAAATCACGGCTGATTGATTTGAGCGTCGCGGGCATAGCCTCCGAGATTACCCAGCTGCTACCTTAAGAGTTTCCCAATGTACACTAGAGGGAACTCTGGCGCTAGTGTCTATGGGAGCTGCAATGCACAGCGCTCCAGCGAGCATGGGAATGATGGGTAGTACACACATTTCTCTAAACTTCGTACTTCTGGCCTGCTCTTAGCTCCGTGTGTGTTCCTGTGGCTTGAAGCTGTTTTCTCACGAAACAAAAATCGGCAAATGTTCAGCGATTGCGCTTCACCACACTATTTTTTTCGAATTACCTTTCCAAATTGGGTCACTAAGTTCAAAAGCGTTGAATCTTTCTTTTAAAACAAAATCGAAACACCGCAATAAACGAAGCCGCAAGTACGAAGACTAAGCAAATGTGTGTACTACCCATGATTCCCATGGTCGCTGAACGATCGCAGCGCCAAAGTGCCCTCTAGTTAATTTTGAGAAACTCTATGGCTGCTACAGCCGTCCAATTTGGCACGTCACCCAGCGGAGAAGTGCGCTCATGGCCTCCGAGATTGCGAGCGCGTGGCGGGGTTTTCTCAAGAAGGATTATATATAAAAAAAAAATGCTGGAGTGGAAGCTCCCGCAATGCCTTGCCAGAAGAAGTGAAGCCACCTTTCGCCACTGCCAAGATGGCGGAAACATGCTCTTTTCTGATAGTGTCCACTTAAAGATCAATTGGCTTTGATATGTTATGTATATGCTACGTTAGTTCTAAATTAAAATATAGTTGTTCCCGACGAAATAACACGCAGAAACGAGTATGGATGACTGGATCTTCAAAGAACTTTGCCTCCAATTAGAGGCTCGCTAAGGAAAACTAGTAACTGTAATATGCACTTAGAGCTTTAGGTGACCCGAAAAAGTTCCCACATTAAACTCGTTGGGCGTGCGAAGGAAACACTTCGTTTTTAATCGCTCAACGGTGATGATTTATCTTGGCCCTAGCAAGATGGCCGCCGCAGCCGCCACCTTGCCTGAGGAACGGCTTCACTTCTGCGCAATCATTTACACTCCAGCAAATGTTTTAATCCATCTTGGGTTCTCTCAGGCATATTAACTCTATGCTTTCCGGCCGTACCAATCGCCACACTCCCCAGCAACACCAGCGAGTATTGCCTCACGCGCCCGGCTACCGCGAGGGAGTGCGTTTAGTGTAGTTCCTTGAGCTGTGGAGAGCACGGCAGAAAGCAGAGCGCGCGGGATTTCAGCGTGCGCATGATTTTTTATTTTATTTTTCTCACGTGTGAGCAAAATCACCGACAAATCTGACTGCACTGAAGGCAAGTGTTCTTTTTCTGTTACTGCTTTTTGATGTAATTGGCGAATAAAACCATGACAACTGCTGCATTGTTCTTACATAGATCATTGCGAGGATGTATTATTTCGTCTGCGACAAAAGCATTCTAGCATTCCCCCTTACTGGAGACGCGTATGTGGGTGAAGACTTGGCTAGTTATTGTCGTTGAATCTTTATTGCCCTCCTATCGTTAGAGGTCGTTTTACTATTTTATAGCGTACCGATCTTTATCAGATGGTCAATTACCCGAATTCCACTTACGCTCTAGATAATTAAGAGTACCGATCGTGCCACTTATTAATGTAATAAGTAATTTTGCCGGAATATTGTAAAAGGCTACGATGAGCCGACCTGCATTTACTTCCAACATCCTTCCCAGCGAAAGTGCTTGAGCTATCATCGTCTCCTTTTTTCGTCACCTGTATTTTGATTGTAATTTGGTAGGACATTGACAATGTCAGTATCGGGATCATTTGCAATTATCTCTACTGCATCCAAGTCAGAGGGTCGCACATGCGGCCGAACGGCATCTTTCACAAAGCCAAGTATTTGTCGAGGTAGACTACTGGAGAATAAAAAGGATCGGGCTACCATATTTCTTTTCTTTTTCACCACTGCCTCCCCCCTCCACTATACAGACCGCGAACTTCAAAGTATAGTTTCAAGCACATGCAGATCTCTTGCAGAGGCATCGCAATTTTAACTGCTCTAATATAGGCAGCACCAATCTACAGCAAAATAAAAACCCCATGTGAAAACAAAATGCCCCAGCGTTCACTTTGCCTCTCGTACACCCTGACCCAACATTTCCAAATGAACACAAAGTTATATAAAAACTCCCAAGCATTTCCCCGAGGGTGAACATGGTTAAGTGCGAATGCACAGGGTAATGCTATGAGGGGGGTAAAGTTAAAATCCGTTGGCATTCGCCAGTGAGTTAACGTAAATTCCCCCGTGTGATCACATTGCAATTCCCAGGAACCATTGGACCCTCTCGGGAAATCTTGGTGAGTTTACGCGTATATGTGGGAGTAAATTCGCACTACAATGATGTTTATGTCCGCGGCCCGCTTGCACTCGGCATCACGGGCCCTTCGACGCACTGCCTTGTCGTCAACCGGCGCGACATTTTCGACGACACGTGCAATGCTCGCATTCGATTGCGTTGTACTCGTTGTTGGAGGTATCGCAGTCGAGGCGGATGCCTGCGATGGATCCATATTTATGACGACTTGCCGATCTCGAGCAAGTCGTGGTTGCGCAGCCACGGAGCGGAGGGCGGAGCGCGCGCAATCACGTGGTGTGTGACGTCGCTGCGTCGTTGCTACAGACGCTCCTCTACGCTCCTCGCGCCGTTGCTAGGGGAAAGGAAGAGACGCACCGCGGACGGCGAATTCAGGGTCGCTTATAAAGTGCAGTCGCACTTAAAGCGCAAAACAATTTTTTTTTTCTCGCCACATAGAAGCTAGAAGCTTCGCCAACAGCGCGGCAGCCTTTTCGACCGTAAGGCAGCGCCGCGGTGCGGAGAAAAGAGCGGGCCACGCCCACCTCCGGAAACACGCGCTCTCTGCGCGTTACTTAGAAGTGTGGCAGTTTGAGCTAGTTGGTATGCCATGACGATAGTTATGTCTCTTTGTCGTCGTTCTGTTCTCGCGCTTTAACTATTGACCTCTCTGTGCGATTGGGACGGCCGGAGAGAAACCCACCGCGCGCCCGCAATCTCGGAGGCCATTGTGTGTTTGTCGCCTTCTGAAAGCGCCGCGAGGTGGCGATATTTTCCCATAAGTTTAGAGTTATTGTATAAGTAGCATATACCGTAACTCTAATGAGTCGAGTGGTGCTCGTCTGCCTGCCTACAGTGTACTAGAATTCTATTATATTACACTGCAGCTCTGCGCACGAATGGGACGGCCGCAGCAACGGCGCGCCGCCGGCACATCGGAGGCCACGTCGCGGGCTGCGTAGTCACTTAGAAGTGTGGCAGCTTGGGCTAGTTGGTATGGCATGACGATAGTTATAGCGCGAGAACAAAACGACGACACAGAGACAAGAAGGACACGAAAGACACGAGCACTCGTGTCTTTCGTGTCCTTCTTGTCTCTGTGTCGTCGTTTTGTTCTCGCGTTATAACTATCATCGTCCTGCGTAGTCACCGTAGTCGCTGCGAGATGCCGCCACGTGCCCAGGCGCGCCTATTTTCGCCCTGAAAGTACTCTGCACGTTGGAGAACGATACAAGTGCTCAAGGTAGTGACGCGTGCGGGCGAAGAGACGCATCTTGACTCTGTCTTTCCCCCAGCGTTACTTGTATCTCTGCTCGTACCTGACGCATTATAAATATGCTCGTGGCATGTGGTTCATGAAGCGTCATGCGCTTATAGTAAGACCTGTCTATTAACTTTTTTATAAAAGTGTTGCGGCTCCCTTACATCCGAAGCACGAGTGACCAAAATGTGCTCATAAAGCGGATGTCTTGTACGACTGTCTTCTGCGCTCTGGTTTTACAAAGAAAGTAAGCACCTACGTATACTGTGGGCAATGTGCGAGATCTAAAAGTTACAGTATCGTTTCGTGACTACTAGACAACGAAGCACGTGACGTCATCGAAGAGCAAAACTTACCGAGAGCATCGACGATGAGGTCCAGCTGCCCGCTATAAACAGCCACCGTGACGTCAGTCTCATTCAGCAACCTGTCCACTGCATAATATGGGAACAAGATTCACTTTATTTCGGCGCAAATGAGAGAGAGAGAAAAAAGAAAAAAGCGTGTTGGTGCCTCTTTGTCTCAGTACTTCTTTACGAGAACTTTTCTGAGTACTCCCGAGAACAAAGAAAATTCGTAACAATGTGTCTGATGACGATGATCATTTGGAAGTAAAAACGCCCTATACAGGGTGCAAAATTCTGTGCTCTAAGAAAGAAACTAGTATTTGGGGAGTAATATGTCCTATGACGGTTATCGTTGGGGACTAAAATGCTCCCCAGAGGGTGCAAGCTGGCCTAAATTTTATATATCCAACTAGTGGAACTGCATTTTAAAGTCTTGCTCTCTGACTGCACCACTTTGATTCACCAGCTGGGTTTTTGACGCGGTGTATGGAGGTGTCCGCGTGCAAATAGGGCGCCATCAACTCCTTATATCTTAGGGGGTTCTTTAACGTGTACCACTGAAGTAGCCGGGGAAGAGGCGTTAGACGTTCAGCCCCCCGCCCCCCCCAAAATTTTCTTTAATTGGTTACGGAAAGGAAATGAAGAGAAAAGTGCCACCTGTAACTGTCTATCTTTCAAAAGTTTGGCGCAGGAATGGGTAATGGAAGTCAAAGCACGCGCGCAAACTAACGCATCGAGCAGCCAACCGGGAAAGCCGCCGAGAAAGACAAGGCACAGTGATGCGGACTATTCAACACGGGCAATAAGAATAATCTCAACTTTCTTTGCGTTTATATACACGCACGCATTCAAAGCACGCACAAACATAAAGTATTGAATCCTCCTGAAAAAAAAAGTGTCTGGTTACTCCCCTGACGAGTACCTAAATCTAAGTACGCGGCCTCTAGCATTATACCTCCATCAAAATGCCGCAGGCATGCATGCCATTAGACAACCTCGGCGGGTACAGTGACTCACCTGCGTCAACAGCCGGCAGCATGAAGTCGGCTTTCAGTGCCTGGAAGACTGCACCTGACTGACCTGCGTGCCATAGAAGATTGTAAGAACCGTGAATGCATACAAAAGCGGTATACACTGGAGCCACTAAATACGTAATTATATCTAAAACAAAACGAAATCATGGAAGATTAGGCGAAGACCACAACGGGTGGACCAGGAGCCAGCACTTTCCGTATGTGCAACCTTCGTTCTTGATTCTTGACGATAGGCGTGCGTAGGGTCGCGTCCATTGGGGGTTGAGGCAAATGTCACCTCAGTGCCTTCGCCCCCTTTTCTTGATTCTGTTGTTTGAGTCCGAAAACGGGCATTGGAATACACGACAGTAAAGCTTGTTGGGCTGTAGTTGATGCATGATGCATGGAATGAGTAGACGCATTACACTTAAAAAGAAGAAAGACCGTGCAACAATGCAGCGACACAGAGCAGGCGAAAGGACATATTGGTGATCCTACTCCCCCCCCCCCCCCCCCCCTTTTTCCCTCTTGGAGTAGTGTGACATCTTATTGCATGAAGCTTCGCAATGTATGCAACAATGAGAATGGAACGAATGGCACGCTTCCCAAAACAACTCGGCCACCATAACAGTCGAGGATCGGCGTCGTGTTCGTCAGCACAGAACCGACTAAGTAAAGGAGGTAGGTTTGAACCTCTTTGTAAGAGACACTGATGTAAGAGACAAATGAGTATAAGAGGCACCAATGTGCCAACATTAGAACAAGGGTTAGTGAGAAAATGCATAGAAGGTACCCTGCTTATTTATAAAGAACGCCTTACATAAAAGACAGGAATCGCTCCTCGGTGCAGGTCTCTTACAAAGGGGTTCAACTGTAATTAAAAAGGGCACCCTCCAATTCCCCCTTGGTACGCACGCTTCTGCTCCCGACGCACTGTTGATTCTGTTGATCGAGTCCGCAAACAAACTTGTCTGCACATCGGGAGTCGTGGACGAAGTGCGTACGCGGTAAACCTATTTACACCTTTTTGGCTCCGGGATTCGCGTCAGCGATTATTTCCCTTGCCAAAAAGAGGCACTCATCAGTCCGCAGAATTTTCGTTTGACTGTTCAGAAAGACCGCACAACAATGCAGCGACACAGAGCTCATGGGATTGCGCCGTCCTCACCTCCCCAGGTGACGTTCTTTGGGATGCTGCCGAGCTTCTCCTTGATTGGTCCATTCATAAGCTCGGTCAGGGTGCCAATGAATATGTTGTAGAAGTGCGCCACATGGCGGACGAATGCGCGGCCTGTTAGAGAGGAGAAAATGGCATTACTATACAGTTCGCTGAGAGTCGAGGGGGATCACAAGGTACAAAGAAAAAAGAAGTCTAGGAAAGCGTTAATTGGCGCATCAGCACAAACCAAAGCCCTGCCAACTCGCCCAACTTTCGGTGAAAAGCCAACAACGGCTATTTTTCGAGGTCAATGTATCTCAATGAAATTCACTGGGTACGCTCATTTGCACGTTTGCGCCATTCATGCCAAATTGCAGGCTTGGGAGTTTCGCAGATTTTTTTTTTCAAATGAATTTTATAGCTTGTGCCGAAACATTCACCTCGCTTTCTAAAATTAATGGCAACATTGTGTGTGTGACGTTGAGTTTTGCCTGGGCGGAAGTGACGAACTGATGTGCTACTGCAGCGTCTGCCTGTCTGCTATGGATTGTTTGGGTTTTGCTGGCGCTTCCTTGGTTGAGCGTACGATTTCCTTTTTCGTGTTAGTGGGCGTGCGATAGGGGCCAAGTAATGTTGCCTTGTGAGCCACACACGATTCGTCATATATTCACCATAACAGCGTGAGCGTTTTAGCCGATCGCCGTGGAAGGCGTCGACAGAAAGTGCCATCTGGCGGGCATTATGTGCAATCAAAGGGTTCCTGCAGCGCCAGGCAAGTCTTTACGTTACACGTAGAAGCGCACTCGGTTGGGTTGCGGTTTCGTTATTGTGGTTTTTCGGTAATTAAAAATTATTTTAGAATTTTTTTTGAGAATTTCAGTTATAGGTCGCGTGAGAAGAGTGTCCAAGGAACATAAAAGCACCATTATCCTGACATGGTCATAAAATCGCCGGTGTTGGCCTTTAAGTAGATGATTAGTTTAATACGCGAGCAGTCACAATTCTTTCGAGATCATCTGGACTTGCAAAACAATACAACATGCCGTCGCCTGTTTATTGTCGATTCTGACGCACAGCTTAAAACCTAATCACGCTATGTACACTAAGCACTTTATACATAGAGTACTCAATGTATAGGATAGCGTAGACATGCGTATATATACGCACCGATTGTTTTGTCAGACGGCAGGGACACTGCCCCCAGAGAGGCCGGTTGTTCTTGCTGGGGCAGTAGGATGTTGTACCAATCGATGCCATTCGTCAGCTATAGTACCGGTATTGGAAAGAGAATCATAAAAAAAAGTCAGTAGATCTTACAGGTTCGGCTAGCGATAGCTACCACGTATAGATAACGAAGCAGCACGTACATTTGAAGAATTTTGAACTACGTTTTAAACCGATGGCCCTTTCACTGCAAACCTCAGAGGTTTCCCACCTGTTCGACTATGTCTTCTGCCGAGGCCCACAAGGACGTCGCCTTGGCTCCGTCCTTCGCGACCAGGGCTTGACGGATCTCGCCCACCACTTTGTTCAGCGTCATCAGGTTGGTCTTGTCCAGGAAAGACTGCGAACATCACACATGCAGCGTATACTCACAGCACCACCTCTGTACATTGGTAACCACTCCCTACGGTTTACAATTAATGCGTGTAAATTCTACACTCTAGCGAGTGCACATAAATTGATTGTATACTGTAGATAATGTCTATGCATGATTTTTCGGGCCCCCTCCCCTGCTTGGTGAGGAAACATATCCTGTGTAAATGTTTTCATGCATATAGATTGTGCATTGTAGGGAGTGTATATAAATTGATTGTAAAGTGTAGATTATGTTCATGAATAGACAGCGAACGAAGGGGACAACGAGGACAAGCACTAGTCCTCGTCGAGTCCTTTTTGTCTCCTTTGTCGGCTCTCTACCACCCGCTTGCAAACCTTGCACTGTCACTCCACTTTTTCTGGACAGATGCGAGGACTCCTCGTGGCAATCGATTAAAAAAAGCAAACTTTGATACTCACATTACATGAAAAATTTAGAAGAATAGTTCAGGAGTCTGGACCCTTCCAGTACGACAAAAGAAAAAAAAAGTTGAACGACATTGATATCCTGCCTTATGCGTACTTCAACCGCTTAGTGCATGCTTCTTATTGTATTGTTTGTTACTCAAGAAGTTCCAAATGTGGATTACCACAACACAATCGATGATGTTGAAATGGGCTCGTGCCACTGAAGCTTTCGCATATGGCTTCATTTTGTGTAATGGTGAGCATATGTTTTAAAACCATGAGCAATTATGCGCAATAAATCTTTTTGCCTTTTTCTAATGGGCGGTAAGCTTTAAGCCACGAATTAATTTTGGTAATCGCCTGTTCTGAAGCCCTATGGCAATGTATACGCTTGTATCACGTCGTATTATTGCCATATTACATGTTGTATTGTGAGTTCTGTATACAGGACGCGTGAACATTATTTTCACAGCATTTCCAAGCAGATGAGTTTTTTTTTTTTCAACTTCATACACAAGCACGGACTCGTACACGGACTCAGAAATTTATTTGCATCTTTTTGATATTCCGCTCACTCACAAGATGATTTTACGCTCACAATCAACTACGCCTACGCCGCCGCCGGAATTTCTGAGAAACGAGTCTTTCAAGGCACTAGCATTAAAACACGTGACGTTAACACTAAGTTGTTCAATGCTTGGCACAATGAAACTGGTTCACATTTAGTTCGTCGTGCTGCAGCCTGGGAACCAACTCTCCGAAGGCTGTTGAGTCCAGAGTTTTTGACCGTAGAAGCGGCAGCCAAGAAATGGCGACAGGTGGATCCGGAACACGCTTGTAATCGCTGTCCCCGACCCGCGGGTAAGGTGTCTGGCAGTTATGACGGCAGCTCAGCGCCGCCTGTTCATAGGCGCGGCGGTGGCTTGGCTATTTTTGGCACATTTCGCGCACATCTGTGGCGGTCGCTACTACAACGATGCCGATAGAGTTTGTGTTAAAAGGACACTAAAGTCAACTATTAAGTCGACGTTGATTGTTGAAATGGTGATCCAGAAACCTCGTAGTGTTACTTTTGTGCCAAGGAAGGGCCTATTTTGAAATAAAGTCACGTTTTAGTGGTCCGCATCAGGTTAGCGCACTTCGAATTACCCGCCTCAAGAAGCAAACCGACCGGTCTATCTCACGTCACTGTTGCCGTGCACAACGTTGCCCGGCTTTACTGCGCTAGTAACAGCAGACCGAAAGCAGGGGGAGGCACAGTAGCAAAGACGGTCATTGACCAATTTCCCTCCATAGACTCCGAGATTGCAGACGTTTTTGTTTCAACTGTGCTCCGCTAGATGGAATCACCTGTTCTGTATAACCACGCGAAAATTGAATTTTTGAACCGCTCGCGCGATTCTCCATAGTAACGTCTGACGGTTCTTTTTCCCATAAAACAAACAGAAAAGAACAAGCAGCATTTTATTGCGTCTCTTGATGCACGGAAAGTTCTTCATTTAGTGCAGTCAGACCGATTACTAGTGATTAATTGTAGATGGTCCATCTGATGTCATCAGGATCATTTTGAAAATGTCCTACTGCGGCGCTTGTGTTCTTGTGCATTCACCTTGATTTCTCGATAAGTAGGGCACTGTTGTTGATAATATAGTCGTTTTAGGTGTTGTCATACATTGAGCTTTCTTTCTGACGTAAATTGCTATTTGACTTCAGTGTCCCTTTAACGGACGTCTTGCTTTCAGCTTTAACAGTTTCGCTGTAGAAAAGACAGATAAGAATGAAACAGCGAATCACTCACCATAGTGTACAGGTATTGTCCCCACGTTGACGTTGAGTCCAACGGCGACAGCCAGCCGTCCCCGAGTGCGACGCCAGACAGCTTGCACAACACCTTGCCACTAGCATGGGCCTGTTTACAAAGAACTAGGTACAGTTATTATTGTTCATATCTCGCCACACACGCCCCTTTCTTTATTTCTATGTTTTACATTGGTGGTCTGCCCCGCCGCGGTGGTCTAGTGGCTAAGGTACTCGGCTGCTGACTTGCAGGTCACGGGATCGAATCCCGGCTGCGGCGGCTGCATTTCCGATGGAGGTGGAGATGTTGTAGGCCTGTGTGCTCAGATTTGGGTGCACGTTGAAGAACCCCAGGTGGTTGAAATTTCCGGAGCCCTCCACTCCGGCGTCTCTCATAATCATACGGTGGTTTTGGGACGTCAAACCCCACATATCAATCACACGTTGGTGGCCTATTGCGCGTGTTAGTGCTTCACGCAAACCGTGCCAGCATGTGTGAGAGCATCGCAGATTATTTCAGTATAATCTGATGGGCTTGAGCACACTGCAATTCATTCTCGAACAAACGCAGCCAACAAGGATAAGGCTCGAATGTTTGCTGCCGGGTGCTTAGATGCTGACGCGCCTCTCCGCGGATTAGTTCAACCAACACCACCTCGGTGGTGTTGGTTCAACGATGGCCGACGCCATGTACGCTGCTATATATGGGTGTCAGTGCGTATTGCTGCATTTACCAGCCAAATCAACAGTTTCATCTTGGGCATAAAGACTCCTGCCTTCGTCTACGTCACGACCACGTGACAATACTGTCCTCAGCGGCTTCCTCCCTACGCAACTAACGGAAAACTTTGTGGGAATTACTATAGATCATCTGTGACCATACTTATCGGCGAGACAGACCAATCTTGTTTTAGTGGCACAATTATAGTTATGATTATAGTTATGGCGCTAGTAATGTGTCTTCGAAGTAAAAATTCTGCCGTCAGCCTTGTGTACTAGTGCACTTGGTATTAGCAGGTCCCGCGACTTCGATCGATTGCGAGACGTGTTCTGACTGCAAGACAGACTCTGCATCCGTATTTTACGGGGTCCTTAGCTCATGAAGAGCACCTGGGATGTTATTGTGGAGACACTCAAGTTCCTCAATATCGTCGCATTTCGCGGGTGGCGCGACGTTTATGCGCACGCGAGGCGTCGACGTCTGCATGTCATGTTATGACCACATGTAAGTTGCTCTTGAGTGAATACGATGTTGGCCTAACGCAGACGATACGGCCGTTTACGGGCCTTCGTGTTTCATGTCAACTTTGAAGTCACGACGTTTTCCATGCACCGCCCTCCATACGTCCACGCTGCATTCTACTTTTTGCCTTACCTTGTAAAGCTGGAGGGCGAATTCGGCGGCCATCTTGCCGCCGTAGGACTCGCTGAATATGTATAGAGGCACGTTCTGCAACGAACAGAAAGAGTTCAGTCGTTAGCATTTGAACACATTTCTACTCAGCGCGCGACGGAAACACGAGAATGGAGAAACTGCAGCGCTGACTCGCAACAAAAGTTTTATTGGAAAACATAAAGGAAAAAGAAACATTTCAACCTTCACACCCATGTGACCACACTAAAGCAAGAAAACGGCAGGTCAGCTAACAGCTTGAATAATGAATAAACCTTGATACACCAACTGCCCAAGCTTTCAGTCCTGCTACAGTCGTCACGTATGTGTGCATTGCCGCATCGGTACGACAATGATTGATTGACATGTGGGGTTTAACGTCCCAAAACCACCATATGATTACAAGAGACGCTCGCTACAACAAGCATGTTCAGACTGTCGAAGTGGCTGATGCTTATGTAGACATTCGATAAAAAAAAATGAGATTCCTTCACAAGTTATCTCGAAGGTAATCTTTGGTGATCCACTCAAGTATATCCGTCAGCCACGCCCTGAACTGGCTGCTTAGTTTGGAGTGATATTTTGATGTGACGTGCGTCACAATCTTTTTTTTTAAAGCTCAAAAGTTTTTGTCCCGAGCTCGATTTTGTCCGCAGCGGTGGCATTTCGATGGAGCTGAAATGGTAAATGCTCGAGTATTGTGCGCCGCTGGTGCACGTTGAACAACACCAGGTGGTCAAAATTCCCGAAGCCTTCCACTGCGGCGCCTATCATGATCATTTCGAAGTTTGCGCGCGTAGTACCTCACATGTTATTATTATTATTATTATTATTATTATTATTATTATTATTATTATTATTATTATTATTATTATTATTATTCGTTTTTTAGCTGAACTTTTTTTAGGCAGACCGTGTTGTGTAGTCTCCAGCTGACCATTCATCCTTCTCTTTCTTACTCCTTTTCTATCTCTTTCCTTTCTAATATTCCCCCTTTCTCCCCCTCCCCAAGTGTAGCGTAGCCAACCGAGCCAAGCTTGGTTAACCTCCCTGCCTTTCCTCTCTATATGTATCTCTCTCTTTGCTGCCCCGCCGTGGTGGTCTAGTGGCTAAGGTACTCGGCTGCTGACCCGCAGGTCGCGGGTTTCAATCCCGGCTGCGGCGGCTGCATTTCCGATGGAGGCGGAAATGCTGTAGGCCCGTGTGCTCAGATTTGGGTGCACGTTAAAGAACCCCAGGTGGTCGAAATTTCCGGAGCCCTCCACTACGGCGTCTCTCATAATCATATACGGTGGTATTGGGACGTCAAACCCCACAAATCAATCAATCAATCAATCAATCAATATCTCTTTGCTGGATTGACTGTTTCGCACGAGTGGACGATATGCGACCCGGTGACGTCACCGGCACACACGTGTATGTGCGTGACGTCAGTGCAGATCTCGAACTGTCACGTATGCCGCTCCAACTTCTTCTACGGCATATCACCCTTATATTTCGCCCGAGAGCTGATTACGAAAGCAGCCCGATAAGAACTCGTCGTTTGCGATTGTTATCAAACATCAGGATAAGCAATTTGCATTCCTTGACCTGCTAGCACTTGAACGATCAGTTGTCTGTTGTTATTATGTAAAATAAAAAAAAAGTGTACTTAGAATCTTCATTACGTAACTCTCCCATGTGTAACTATACTAGACTATTTAGGTTTCGCATTGTAGTATCGGACACGCCGTGAAGCTATAACTTGTGTTTATTATGTTGACCAGAATCTCTATTAAACGGATGTATAAAAATATGAGATGTTTTAATTATGTTCAGTACGCAAAACCTAAACCTGTTCAACTATTGTGTATAAGTTAAATTTTTTTCAGTATATTCTGTACGCTAAGTTAACACGTCGTTAAATTATTGCATTACATTGTCTCCTGCCTGTATATTTATGTTTGTTATAGTTGCACGGATCCATACTAGCACTATGCTAAGGATACAGATGTTTCCAACATGGTTTTTGTTTAACAGTATTTCGTTCAATGAAGTTCACAGTTGAACTATCTCAAGAGTCACGTTGACTCTCTTTAAGGAGAGTCGTGGTGGTTTGACTCTCTTTGAAGAAACTCGAAAACTCTCTTTTTAAAAGTCGTATACGCCTTATGACTCTCTCTAAAGAAAAGTCAACCTATATGTCTTGCTCAAGAGATTACACGCGAGTCGATAGCAGGCCCGTAGCCATGAATTTTTTTCGGGGCGGAGGCGAGGGGGGGGGGGGGTTAGCTGAATGCCTTGAATTTATTATATGTCAAAACGAATAATCTTCGGGAGAAGAATGGAGAAGCTCGTCCCCCTCCCTCCCCCCCCGGCTGCGTGTCTACTCGTGAAGCAAGAAAGAATCAAAGTACAGCTTTTTTTTTCTTTTTTCAGCGTGTACTGCACTGGATAAACAGTTCTTGCTTGAAAAATTGCTGGGAGAAAGTTTGACGTTGCCCGAGATTACCGCCATTTTCGCGTATAGTCTCTTCCTCTGATCTTGGTATCTTCATTCCGAGTCGGTGCCTCGATGGCTGAACCGAAGGTTGTGGGATCGAATCCGTACTCTCGATGGAGGCGAAAATGCCTGGTATACGTGCACTCTACTTGAGGCACGTGATTTGTATGCGCGTCAAAAAAAAAAAAAGAAAAAGAAACATCACATGGTCGATATTTCTGGCGCCTTCTGCTACGGCGTTCTTCATAGTCATGTCGCGGTTCTTGGACGTCGAACCTCAAGAATTTTTATTTTTTTATTATTTCAGAGCCGCGCAAATTATTGAGAGAACTGTATCAGTACTTCAACACTGCATCCGCTTCGAAAAAGGCCGCTCTAAAAACGTGCGCTGTGGTTTCGGTACTATTTATTTATTTGTTTGTTTATCCTAAGGTCCCACTAGGGGCATTTCATGGGGGATGTGGGTTAAACCCGATACTGTTTTCACGGAGAATAATTATTTGCAGGTTAACACAATTCTATAGTACAGAAGTTCACGAAACATAATGACAAGATAAGCAATACAAGAATAGAAAGCATCGGACAAAGCATAATCGTTAATGAAAGTTACAGGGCCCGAAATACGTGAGAAATTCTGAAGTAAACGAAGGCGCGGCTCAGTTATTGTAGCAATCCTGAAAAAGTAATTCATTCCATTCTCTCATTGATAATGTTAAAGGCGAAAGCGACTTTTTTCTTTTCTATGACGAGAATGAACTGCACAAAATCAACCACTATGCGCATGCATGACTTGCCTGGAACTCCGGCATCTTTGCGAGGAACACGGAGATCATGGTGACCAGGTCGGAGGCGATCTGCGAGTTGTTGACCGCGAAGCCCGTCTCGTTGGTCACGAAGCTGTAGCCCGATCCGACGGGGTTGTCCACGAACAGCAAGTTGGCGAAACGCACCTGTTTGACGCAGTGAAGTCAGGTATAAACAACAGCGATAATAGAGCAAACTATGGAACTAGCATTGCCATCAGCTAGTATGGTGAAAGAAGTACGAAGCCCTCCTCTCGCCTGCCCCCCCTCCCCCGCCTCATTGCCCTTTTGAAAGAACTCAATTACTGTTCCCCCCCCCCCCCTCGTTAAGGTAACCCTGGCGCCACTCCTGAGAAGGACACACACAGGCTTTCGCCTACCAGTCGTGTCAGGTGAATGCATAGGAAACACCGTGAGTTTTTTTTTTTTTTTCCGATCAAAGGGAGCGCGCGCAGAGAAAGCACAGTCGTTTCTATAGAAGTGGATTGGGACACCACTTTAGGGGATGTGCGCTACCGAAACAGTACGACATACCCAGCTGTGGTTCCTCGGCAACAGCTGGACGTCCAAGGGTCCTATCTCGGCGAAGTTCCCAAAGCCGGCCGAAGAGGCACCTGGACCGCCCTGTGGCACAGGCAGCAATTGAGGGTCAGCAACCGTGTACGACAGCACATTTCATTCATTCATTCATTCATTCATTCATTCATTCATTCATTCATTCATTCGATTTAAAGGAAGCAAAACACGAGATCAGTTAATTTGGAATTAATATTGTTCTTTGTGAACTCTAACGTCATTAATTTTTCCATCATTGGTTCATAATTAGAGAGGAAGTTAAAGTCGGCACTTTTTTTAACTATTACGCCGAAAAATGTCAACACCTTAATGTCACTGTGACGTCACTGAAATCCATAGTCAAGATGAGAGCCGACAGATGGAAACTCACAATACGAATAGGAAGTAAGTCGAACGGGCTGGAGAAAGTTGCTCAGACAGGCTCCAGCTCACTTACCCTCTCCGCACTGTGACGCCATTGATGTGAACGCCACCATTTTTTCACCCTCTCCCTCCCTCCTCCCTGCCGACGACTGATAATTGGAGTGTTAGGAGGCTCCACTACGTCACTGAGGCTATAGGAAAGCGCCGAATTAAATGATTAAGTGTCTTTTTCACAACGTGCCTGTCTTGTCACCCTTTCTCACACATGCTTCAATTTATGTATATTTACATTTCGCATATTACTGTTTTTTTTTGTTGCATGAAATGCCTCCCAGCGTCATGGACCAGTCAAGTGTCACTTATACATATTTCATACATCGCAAAACTATGTATGTATACATTTGTCATTGAAAATTGCCTCGAGTGGAAAGTGTATAGCCGCGTATGCCCACCCTTTAGTATCGCTTCACGAGAATTGGAGGTGTGGGCGCCTCTGAGGTTTTAAGTCAAGTCGTGTTCAATAATTAAGAGCCTTTTTATAAACACGAGCGAAAGAATAAACCAAGAGCACGTTGTCAACGCTAAATGTCAAAACACCCCGAATTATTGTTATTTTTTTTTCTTTGCCCACACTTATCCCCTCCTCAATAAGGAAACAACCTTTTCACGACGTAACTGTTTAGGCCTTTCAGTGAATCAACAGCCTTCTTTTATTCACAGTTAAGCCCGAGCGGACACATTTGAGAGATTCGGTAAACACTCCAGCTGCCACGCACGAAAGAACGGTGACGAAATCGACACCGCCTATCAATTAGGTACGTAGCTACGTAAGACACTGTTGCCGTGTCTAGCTCGATCGCCGAAGTCTCGTATTCAAAGTAACCCCCGACAAAGTAACAGTCAAGGTCTGCCACGATTGAGATTACATCGTCTAACACCTACAACCGCCGAAGTCTCGTATTCAAGGTAACTCCCGACAAAGTAACAGTCAAGGTCTGCCACGATTGAGATTGCGTCGTCCAATACCTACAACCGCCGATAAAGAAATAAACCGGCAAGGACGCATTACGTCACACACAAGGCCTCGGTAACTCCCGACGAAGCCATTAATTCCAGCGTTGGATTATCTGCCCGTCGCACTATGGGTCACGTGACCTCCGTGAGGCAACGTATTGGTTGGGAGCCTTTGTTCCTTTGCGCTCTTGTACCGTGGCTTTGTCAGCCCTGCGCGCTATGACGTAAGTATTACGTGCTGGGCCAATACGCACCCCCCCCCCCTGTTACTATACTAACAATATACCTCCGCCCCCCCCCCCTTTTTTTTCGGAATAGACCGCGCTGCTTTCGCGTTTTACGCGACAAGCATTCGAAGTTTCTTAGCACGCGTGTTTTTCTTTGCATGTAGGTTGTTTGCGGGCGCCATGTTGTCGCGTGGTCTTGGAAACAGTCGCGCGTGTGTGCTCTGCGTCGGCGTCAGCTGGCTGCCTGCCCGCCAACTAATCCGTCTTTGATCCTTTCTCGACGACGTGACTCCATTACGGTGGCCGCCTCGGACACCTTGTGTGCCTAATCCGAAGGCGTGAGGGTTGCAGACTTCGCGGGCCGTGTTTTTTTTTTTTTTTTTTTTTTTTTGAGGCCGTCTGCTTTCTTTCTAGAGCGTCGTCTGCTAGCTGCTCGCGGTACGCAATGAGCTTGCGCAATGTGTGTCCCGAAATTTTTTGAAAAAAAAAAAAGAGCAGTATAACTCTACCAAACTGTACTTGAAAGTTGGGCCCACGCATGCACAACACGAGAGCTCCTTGCGACGCGCATAATGTGTGTAAACCCGGTCTTTTATTTTTTTGTTTGTTTCAGAGTGTTTGATCGCTCAATTACCCGCTTGCCTTGCATGTTTATTTGTTCGCTCACTGGTATCTGGAAAACGCGAAACCTTCTTTTTTTTTTCCCTATTTTTTCACGGGGTGCAGCGAAGGTTAGGAACGTACGCCCGCTATAGCCTCGCAATACTGCTCACGGACACCTCATCAGGTTACCGATCAATAATTTATGCCGGAGCAAGGGGTCATTCATGCGAGATGATGGTGTCGAAAAACATCGGAGGCGCCATCACTGCCCACCTCTTTCCACCCGAAGATTTATATATATATATATAAATATATGATATATAACGCGCTTGGTCACGGCTTATACTGTACGCATTGTAATGAATGCACGGAGCTAAGCCTAACGGGAACGCCTCTATCGGTGCGTCGTCTGCTTGCTGTTCACGGCAGCAGACGAACACCTCTGCGGCATCAGCTGCTACCAACACGCGTGTGTGTGTGTGTGTGTGTGTGTGTGTGTGTGTGTGTGTGTGTGTGTGTGTGTGTGTGTGTGTGTGTGTGTGTGTGTGTGTGTGTTCACTATAACGAACAAACTTGGTGAATGCTAAAGCATCCTACATTTAACATCGTAGACAAAAAAAAAAAATAAACGACCAAGTTTATACGGAAGGTAGTTATATAACCTCTAGGTCCATATAAACCGGAGTTCCGTAAAGTGCTTGCTTTGTCATGCGAGATAAAATTAAGTGGTGATGAGCTACACCATCACGCACATGTTCGCAATACAGCACCTTCCCCTATAATGGTATCCCATCTATTGCTGCAAATATTGCCGAAGAGTACCCGCCCCTTCTTGAATTATTATAACTTATAGTCAGCTAAGCTGCCAAGCTTGCGCAAGTTCGGTTGACGCAACAACGTACGTGGTAGAAAAGGAGCTTGGTTTGCAGACTTAGCTCGCTGGGAGGCACGTGACGTGGGTGACGGCGCAGGTTACGTGACATTGATGGATTTCGAGTCGTGCAGCGCAACGCAAGCTTGCATCGCTTTTTCTTAGTCTGCTTTGCAGTCTGCGAGTGTTGTCATGCATGCGAGGTATTGGACTGCACAGCACAGCAAAAGCGACACGCTGTACGATTGAATAACGAGCCGAGTTGAGTGTATGTGGCAAAGGTGACGTCACTAGATGTGCGGATGTACAGCGTTGTAAGTGTCGATAAAGCTGAGAAGTTCATGAAGTTCATCCTTGCTGTGGATATATATATATATATATATATATATATATATATATATATATATATATATATATATATATATATATATATATATATATTTACACGGTAGAAAAAGAGGTCGACAAACGTGCGAAAAAACACTAGTTTTACTAACGTTTCGGCAGGTGGGCCTGCCTTCGTCGGAGTGAATAACGCGTTCGATGAACGCGTTATTCGAAGGTCGTAGGTTCGATTCCTGCTCACAGCTGGTAATTTTTTCATCCACTTTTCTTTCTTCTTATTTACATTCCATTGGTTCTAATAACTTCCCCTGTACATTCCTTGGCATTACTGTCTGTTATATCTCATTAATATTGTGTTAAAACACGGAAATACGAGCCCTTACGTATACAATATACAATTTTCTCCCTTATATATATATATATATATATATATATATATATATATATATATATATATATATATATATATATATATATATATATATATATATATATATATATATATAGCGTAGCTCTTTTGCAGCAGTGCTTTTGTACAACTCCCCTCATTGATAACACCCAGAATCGACCACCTACAAAACGTCTATGTTCCTCAATGCAGAACCATAACCCATTCGCACGCTTTCATTCCAAGAACTACATCTGAATTCTGAATGGAATCTACTCCCTCAATCAGCTACCACAATCACCGAGACATCACGTTTCAAGGGTTTTTTACGAAGCATCTTTGGATTTCCGCTACGTTATATATATATATATATATATATATATATATATATATATATATATATATATATATATATATATATATATATATATATATATTGTGGGCATTTAGTATACCAATCCTCTTCATCTGTACATTATCATCATTATCATGTATTGCTTATGCATCCTCATCGTTGTCACGTATCATCATCATCTTGGTTCGTGCATCTCCGCTGTCGGCTGCCGGTTCCTCGGGCCTAATAAAGGTCTTCCAAACCAAGACTTCATAATATATATATATATATATCGTTTTGCGTGATGGTGGTGGATAGTAGCCACCAAGGTCGGCTGTTGTTGTGATCTCATATCAGCTTTCGCTGTATAAAAATTAAAAAAAAGTTGCTAGTTCAGCGCTTTCGTTCTCCTGACAATCAGCTCCGAGAGCTAACACTGGCGTCGCTGCATTCGCGGCCAAATGACGTCACTGCGGCAAGGACTCGCATGCTCCGCCGCCACCGACGCATGCTGGCGGTGGCTCCTTTCCGAACCCGCTCTTCCGTGATACGGCGGTGATCTTCCCTCAGTTTCGCGGTGTGGATTTCGGTACAAAGTAAAGTTATTCATTACTATCACAACTAGACTAACCCACGTATTCTAGAACGTCCCTTCACTCAACGCTTCACCTTCACTCGAGAAAGCCGATGGGAGCGCCGTCTCTAGGCGCGGCAAGTCACTCCTCATCGGCGATAATCTGCTGCGATTCTCGAGTAGCGCAGCGTCATTTTCAGCCGTGCGGTGGCGCAGTGCTCAACTTTGTCAAGTGAGGGGTGGAAATCGAGTCAAGGAGCGTTTGTGAATACGTGGGTAAGATGCAGAAAGTATCAATAATATAGCTTAGGACGGAGAACTACGGCTGT